TGGTCTGTGGAATCCAACATCATGGTCATGTCGTCCAACCAGTCATAGCCGTCAAATTCATCACCAGGAAATGTGACTGCCAGCCTAATAAATTGGTCAAGTTGGCCTTGTAATTGTCTTGGTGTCAAGCTACAGCTAGCTTCTGGGTATCAGTCGGTTGCTTTCCGAGGTTCTTCACATCAATCAGGAGTGTCACTTGGGCCTCCTCAAGTGTAATTCTGGAAGCCAGCCAAGTTGCAGCACTGCGGTGAATGTCTCCAGCAGGCCATTGTGCCTGATGGTTCAAAAGGTGCAACTCTTGCTGTTTTCTTGTCAGTGCTTTTCCAGGCATCCACATCAGCATATTGGAACAAGACATTCAATTGCACAGACCTTTTCTCAATTGAACTTCATATATGTTCATGGAGCTGGGATTATGGAGTCAGTCATCTTGAGCTGCAGCAGCCTCTGCTCTCCATTTCAAAAGCATGTCATCATTGGTGGTCTCACTCAACCGGTTGAATGCATATTGGCTGTCTTTGACTCCCTGCACTGCCTCCTTGAATTTGCCTAAATGCATGTTGATTTTTCCACTCTGTAAAACAATATAACTTACTGATGCATATCATTTTCATAAAATTGCAATCGTTCATTTGAAAATCCAAACACTCCTTTCGGTAGGGGGTCGACATCCCTCTCGCCGACAGTGATATGATGTTCAAGGGTGCCCACAGGGTCTCCATGATTTTGCTGTCAATCCTGGCAACACCAGTGATGAAGTTGGATGTGTACCATACATAGCATTTATCTTGATGGTTATGGACATGCCAAAGCACAATGTAAAGAGTAAATCTCTGCTGGGCTCAGCAGAAATTGTACTACCTAGTCAACAATGTTTAGGTAGATCTTAGCACGACCTATGCTGCTATACTTGCAGAGCAAGTGCGTTTGATCCTAAAAGGATTGCTAATTGGTATTAGTAGTAAAAATGCATCAGTAATGCAAAGAACAGAATGTCTGATGCTACGAAACGATGTCCGAAGGTAATCTGATGATGTCTGAAGGTACTTATCCAATGTCTGAAGCCAAAGTGTGATGTCTGAGATTTCAGACTTTCGGACTTCACGATAATAGGTCGGAAACTTTATAATGAGTGTCGGATTGCGAGTAGTATGTGCGAGTATAACGAGTGACGGAGTATGAGGTGAACGAATGGTAATATTTCGCAATGCAACTAAGAACTAAGAGAATATTCTGGGTGATCCGCAGAGTTGGGAAACTGCTCCTAACTACTGGATGATGATTGCTATGGGTCACTACAGAGTATTTTTAAGTAAGTACATAGAAATTTGGAATACTACAGGTGAAGATAGTAGCGATATATTTCGGGTCCGATGTCCTATGTAATAAGACACGAGGTGCTGCGGACATGTAATAACGCGGTCCAAATGTCAGAAAACATGCATGGAATAACTACGCACCTAGTGAGGCTAGTTTGGATAGACAGGACACGGGATGGACAAGTGCGTGCGAAGTGTGATCAGCCGATGCGATGTCCGAAGGTCTGATGTGGAGTGGCTCGGACATGTGCGAAAGTGTGTCGGACATGTGTGCGTATGTTTTGGATGTTCACATGAGTATGAAAAATCGTGGTTCCAAGCCCAGCACTGCAACCATCACTCCACCAATGCCAGGAATTATGTCCATGCCCCATGGAAGGTCGAGATATGGTGATTGCTCAACCCGCTGGTTGAGATGTTTGTAGTATTGACAATTAATGTCATAGAATGTCAATGCCCAATCAATCCCATCAGTGTTATATTTCAGAGCTTGGCACAGCGCATAATCCATGTTCATCTGCCTTTTGCCAACCGACACATCAGTTCAACATTGACCAATTTTAGATTTGGGACTATCAGCAAACCTTTCCCCCTTCTGAAAGTCCACCATTAAATGTGGTACAAAAACCTGTGTCTCGTGCACACCCACCCACCTATCCTCATTGCCTCCAGTTTGTGGCGGAGGCATTTGCCTGGTTAACCGCTCAGTGGTTGCTGCAATCTGACCTTTGTACAATGTCCTGTGCCTCGGCAAGATGCATTTTGTATTGGGCATTGCCGACCATAAGCCCAAGCCATCGGTCAATGCCACTTCATCAGTGGGATTTGCTGGATACAAGTGCTCAGCCTTGAAATTACCATCCATGACCAAAGATCTGGAGTACAGCCATGCAGGGTCGGTGTAGAGCCTTGCATCCCCACAGGCACTTCCCTCTGAATTCTCCCACTTTCCTACAAACTCCAGCTCTAATCCACAGGATATGTCTAGCGCATTAGCGCACTTATATTTACTTTGCAGATTCTGCATGCAGCCACTCGCACCGCACGTCCGCCTTCGCATCATCTGCATAACCATCCATCTGTCCTCCCACATGTCCTTAGATGTTCATTGATGTGTTTTCACACTATATTCCAATTTTGACTCATTATTTCCATGGCTAAATACTCGGCTGCGTGCTACACGCGCAGCCGAGACCCTGTTACCTATTTTGCATACTATATTTAGCTTGTTTGGTTTATCACATCGGACCTGTATGCCTAGCAGCACTTAGCTACTTTACTTATACCCCTCTATTATTTATGTACTGGGCCGATTTTTTCCGCCCACTTTCTCTGTGTCCTTAGATACAAGTAATTTTACTCATTGTTTGCAAGTGACTATCTAAAGTCGCGTGCTTCGGTCATCCACCTTCGCATTAGCATCAGCTTAGTTGGGGTGTTAACACTCATTTCACCTCATAACTCTCTAGTCTTGTTCACTTGTTTGCCTTTCGCCTTCACTCACGTGCGCTACCTTCGCATCGCACACCTCGCCCTTTGCCTTTCACACTTGTGTGTCTGCCTTCGCACATCACATCTCTCTTCGCCTTGCACTTCACGTGTCTATTAGACTTCATACTTTATTTGTTGTTTGGTTTCCCTTTACCAGTTAGCTGCCCTTGGGTTGATGTTTTCACTCGCGCCCAGGACTAGCTGTGTTTGCTTAGCTTAGCACCAACTTACCACACAGTTTAGATTCCTCATCCTCATCAGACCCATTCTTGTCTGACAAATTGACATTTACCCCAGGCTGAGGACATGCAGGACGAAAGAGCATGAGCTCCCCTGCCTTTGGCTTTCTTTTCTCATGGTTGAACCGCTGCTTCACTTGTCTCCACTGCCTCCCCACCCTCATCAATTCTCTGTATCGGTCCTTTTGGCAATTGTAAGCAATGCAATGGAAAACATCAATGTCACCTACTGGAACCAGATGAGGAAACACGCTGGAAGTAATTCACCTTAATTTACTGTAATAGTTCATCGCTGAAGTCCCGCATTCTAGGTTGTCTAACAAGAAGTCATCCAGCACCGCAAATGTGAATGCTGTCTTCAGTGAAGTGAAAGATGCAGGGAATAGGCCTGTTTGGAATAGTTGCATGTCAGGAGTCAGTGCATCAGTGCACCGACAGAATCTTATCATCAGGGAGTGCAGCCCCCGATGTATCCACCACTGTGGTCATCCGAGGATCATTGACAAAAGGCACCCTAGGCCTTCAGTCGCATGGTCTCCTTCATCATCAGTGTCACACCACTCATCTGTCAATGTGGGGCAAGGCTTTCCCTCATGACCGAGGTGAATTTCCAGCCTGATCTTGGTCAAGGAAGTCTCTTTGAAGAACCCCCCAGTCCATTGACTGATTCGATGGAAAGGGATGCAACTATGAACCATCCGACAGCAATGAGTGCAGAAGAGCGGCTCACCCTTACAGCCATGACATTTGTAAACTCCATCCTTTGGACAGACAGAGCAAGTCCTGCTGGAAGGTGGGCCATCTCACTGAAGGAGCAAGTCTAAGTAGTCCTCGGTCTTGGCCTTCTACTCATATAGATAGTCATTTTGACTCTTGATACTAGGTTTCAGTAGATGGGACAAGGCAAGTAAATGATGAGCTTGTCATGGACTTGCAAAGCCGACAAGGCTCACTAAGGTTATAGTGGTCATGGTCACCCTCCACGCGAAGTCCTCTGGTGGAACCTTGCTTGGTAGGCAATTTTCTAGGGGATGAATGAACTGATGTTGTTCCATTGTAACATTGAGCTATGACAAATTGTCCTGTATCTCCTCTGGATGTTCTTTTGGCCTCCCATCAAACCAAAGAGGATGTCTTTGGAGAACTTCAGACTTTTGGCTTTGACTTGACCATGTATCAATGTTGTGTTGCGACTGTCTGGATGTCACGGTGTTGTTTGGAATACTATGCTTAGGCTTTGAGATAGTTTGGTGCTTGAATGCAAACTGCCAAATGCAATGCATTGTATGTAATAGTTTATAGTCACTTTAGCAGGGAAATTCATATAGCAATGATGGTTAATGAGGATTGTATGTATGATATATCACAAGCTCTTCAGGGACCCCTGATTTTACTCAACACAATCATGCATCTATACCATTTGGCACTCAATGAATCTTGTAGCAGAGGCTCACTATTCAGCACCATCTAGCCCTTACATGCACTTATGACATGGATATGTAACTCGTGTGAAATGTTGCTTGTGCAACCTTTCCTTCTATTTTTTTTGTTCCATCAACCATATCTACACTCTTACACTCACCTTTTTAGGTCCTTTACTCCTAGACACCTACTGTGATATGACTTGAACAAAGATTAATACAGGAGATCAGCCCCAGCTGAATGACTGAGAGACCACCGCTCTGCAGTCCCATGTTGAGGATTGGGAGAAGGCTAGTGGGATAGAGTGAAGACACATATTTAAAGTGGCCGCCAGAGAGGCCAAAATGTTTGCTCCAAAGATGGACAAAGAGCTCTTGAAGCAACAAAAGGAGATAAGTGTTTCAGGTTTGGTGTCAGACCATGCTGCATTACATTCACCTGGGCAGAAATACAAACAGTGATTCCACAACCACAAGAAACACCATGCTGATGCCAAAGCACCCATGAAGCTACAAAAGAAATGGACGGCATGGCAAGTCATTGAAGAGGAGCAGAACCCTCCTGTCGTTAATGTATCTCATGAGTCTGATGCTGATGATGAATCAGTGCAGCTCAGGCCAGCTAAGAAGCTGATGAGAACCATTGCACCATCATCAGCTGCAATTCCCAAAGGACAGCGCCAGTCTACAAAACCAGCTCATGTCAATTCTACTGATGATGAGTATGATATCACTGACACAGATTGGTCCCTGCTGAATGGGAAAAAACAAGCCTCTCACCATATAACAGAAGGTGCAAATGCCAAAGATAGTGGCATGTCAGACCACTGACCAGTGCCTAAAAGCTTGGTGAGGACTGTCAGAGTTCAGTCTGTCCCCATCTCATCCCATACAGCCTTGTCTGTTCAAGAAGACCGACCAATAGCACATCTGGTCAAGGCCCCCAATCATGGAAAACCCTCCACTGCAGGGGTGACCAATGGATCAGAAGATGAAAGTCCCGGCTTGACTGCAAGAAAGGCTAGACATCAGTCAACTCTAGATAGCCACCATGCCCATGACTTTGGCCCACATTCAACTTGTCAAGGTCTTGAACACCTTGTTGCATCCACAGCAGTACTAAACCGGGTGCCAAAAAAGACCAGGGGTACTAGAGATGCATTGCCAGTCATTCATCACTGGGCAACAAATAAGACAGGGCAGGACAGAGATGCATTGCCAGTTGTTCAAGATTGGGCTTCGAAGAAGACCAGGCACAATGGAGATGTATTGCCGGTGGTTTAAGACCGGGTGCCAAAGAAGACTGGGCGTACAAGAGATGCATCGCTTGTAGTTCAAGACCTGGTGCCAAAGAAGACTGGGCGTACAAGAGATGCATCGCTGGTAGTTCAAGACCGGGTGCCAAAGAAGACCGAGCATACAAAAAATACATTGCCAGTGGTTCAAGACTGGTCACTGGTAAAGACAAAGGCAAGGAGACCTGTGGCTGGCCGTGTTACTGATGTACCAGCAAAGGGCACCAGAAGCAATGATGCCAATGCACTGGGCACCAGAATTCGGCAAAAGCCAAAGAAATATACTGACTATGTGTGGTTGATGATCATGCATGATTACAGTATTACAAGCTACATAGTCTGAAATGTAGATGATATATACAATTCATAGCTACTTGCTCTTCTGTACCTCTACACTACTCACTAGAGGATTGTCTTTTGCTCATTCTACTTACTGCTAGCTCCAATACCACAAGTGGATCATCAATCTGCCTGAACATTTGCATTAGATGTTCAATCTTGGCAACATCTTTGCTGGCTGTGATAAATCGGTCACACGCATGTTTATATTTGCCAATCAATCCACTGTTGGCATGTAAAATTTCAACAGATGCCTCTCCTAGGTCATCCCCTGTCCAACAGTGGTCAATGTCATCATGCTCATAATGAGATAAATATGCACTTACCCATCAAAACATTGATATGTTCAAGCTTGATGGTGGCTTGGCGTCACAATTCAGTTTGGCCTCGCTCAGCAATAGAGATACCGGTGATTCCAAAGCTTCAGTGGAGGTATTCTGGCACTTTGCTTTACTGTTAGTTTCTGTGCTAAATGTTCAGTCCCAGTTAAGAAACATGTATTCTTGACCTACCTTGATTGCCTGAGTCAAGAGTTCGCACAGTTGTAAGACCATCCATACCACCATGTCCACCTGATGGCAAATCTCCCCAACACATGTCAAAATCACCTGGAAATCATAAGTCTTGATCGCCAGCAAACATTTCCAATCATTACCTTTGTAATCTGCTGCTGATGCAGATGGTCAGTCATCCCAACACAAGTCATATTAACTTTTTGTAGAGGGTACCATGACATCGATGGTTTCGACAGTTGTAGGCTCTGGTATCGCAGCCGACTCCACTGCTGCAACTTGGTCAGTCATCCCAACACAGGTTGTATTGACTTTGGCCAGGGTAAATGCTGGCGTCCCAGCACATGTCGTATACTAATGAGTAGATCAGATATGGGCAATGGTATGGCAGTGCTGGACTCACTATAATTACTGACTTTTCATTCGGCTGATGGTGTTGCAGTTGGTGGTGCTTCTACCATTAGCACCTGATCGTTCTGGACATCCCAGTATATGTCAAATACTGACATGTTCAACTATTAGGCAAGATCTTGTAAATAAAAATCTTACATTCATGGTCAAACTCTTTCTTGGCAGGTCCATTATTGAATTTGTCGCTGGATGACATGGTTGAAGGCATGGATATCTTCCAAGTACTTTTGATCAGTTGTAGTTTGTAGATGGGAATTGTATAGAAAATTACAGGAATCCTGGTCTTTTGAAGTGATGGAGTCAGCCACAACTTTGGTGGCACCCACTGGTCCCACATGAGAAAAAAATTCTGGTCAGCTTTGATGTGCTTGTCCTGTATGCTTCAAGCTTTGTCAATTGAATTCTTGTGGGAACCCATATTGTTTGCAATGGCCTTTGATAATTCTGTCCAGGGAGTGGGAATATGGGGGCATTGAGTGGATCATAATGCAAAACTGAACAACTATAGCCACAGCTCAGCTGATTCTGGCAGTGTTAGCAATGTCAACATTTCAGCGAATGCCAGCAGTGTGAATTGTGGCATCAACATTGTCATTGAATTTTTCAAGTTCGATCCACATCCACACAAAGTTATTCGTTATATAACTAAGTCAATGCTCACCTGCTCATTTCCAATCTTTCCAATACCTCCCCAATGCCCACCCAACATGAATCTGACACTGCTTTAGAACTCGCCGACCAGTCTTTGCACAGTTTGGTTGGCTGAGTCATGCATTTGGAAGCAGATGACCGGGTAGTTGTTGATGAGGGTCATGAGATTGCGTGGCTAGTGGTATGTTCTTTTTTCATCTTAATTGTTCTAATATGTTTATCTTTCAAAGTCTCAAGCACTCTAGCAGCATGGCAGGATGGCCTCGGACATTTCACCATTACTTCTATCTGCAGCCACCGAGGTCCAAGCGACCATGAACTAAGGACTTGCTCCGCAGTGGGACCATGTGCGAGACAATGATGTTCACATGAATCTTCATCCTTTCTTCCCAAAGATGGTCGGATATAGTGAGTAAGTACATATTACATGTTGTTATGACTTGGATGGTATCTGTTGGCGACGCTCAAACAGAGCATGTGTCGTCAACGGTCGAGGACGTCCTTGGGCTAGCCCAAGGTTAGGGGTCTTACTTGGCGAGGCTTTGGCAAGTAAGATTTGATGCCTATGTCCAAATCGGGTAGCTTACGTCAAGCGGGTGCTAGACGATGAGCTGTATCTGCCAAGGCTTACGACACCCGAAGGTTAATCGTAAGATCGTCGTTAATTAGAAGGACGGAAGTCCGACTAGTTAACAGGGGCTTTGCTCGTCGACAAAGTCAATGAGTAAAGATTGAGACTAAGGACTTATCCGCGAAGAGCAGATAAGAAGATAGAATATAGACTGCTGGCTAGGCAGAAAGGATCACTCTGGTGAGAGTAGGAGGTCAAGAACCAAGTAGATTCAAGTTAGGGAATATGTTACATGGTAGCAAGTTTATATAGAGGACAGGGAGCGTATTAGTGGATGATAACTCGTACTACCAAGAGAAGTAAACGGTAAAGGGCATAACCATAAAAGGAAGGCACGTTCGAGGTGAGACACGGGTGAATCCTGAACGTGCAGATAAGAAAGTAAGTCAAAGATCAGAATAAGAAGTGAAATGCGCAGGGGCACGATCGTGCAACTGCGGAGCTAAATATAAGTAGCATGTGTGACTGCGCACTGAGTCATAGATCAAGAAAGGGAAAAAGGTAAAGGGGATGTGTCGTGCATCATATCATAGGTTACCGTCCTGACGGTAAGAGCAGAGGGACTGTCCACAGGATCAGTCAGGTGGTGGAACGGAGCATGGATATGCTTCGTCAGCGAATGGATCCGGCCAGATGTACTGGCTCTGCTGAAGCGACAGGTAGAGAGCGAAAGGGAATGCGAGGATGACAAGGATGACAAAGGTAAGGTCGGGGTAAGGGTATGATGCGAGGGCTGATACGAGGAGGATTAGGAGAAAAATGGTAGGGGCCCAAGCGTCTAGATGTTCTTGTAACACATGTCATTATTACTGAACATTTTCACAGCACAATTAGAGCCTGCTCCTGCTCCTGCTCCTGCTCCTACTCCTGCTCCTGCTCCTGCTCCTGCTCCTACTCCTGCTCCTGCTCCTGCTCCTGCTCCTGCTCCTGCTCCTGCTCCTGAACCTAAACATGTACCAGCACCAGTATCTCCCAAAGTAATGTTGGTTCTGCCGATCAATACACTTGCTGGCCGGATGACCAACAAGGGCAAATGGCCTGACCACAGATCTCACAGATTAAGAGAAGATGACTCAGATGCTGAGACCAGCAGGAAGAAATGCAAGGTTCTCAAGTGAATCTCCAAAGCCATTATCTCCGATATGGAGAATGAGGATGATCAACCAACAGGGACCATTGTGATTAGACAGGTGCGTCTTGCCTTTATCATCTTCAACTCACCACTCACATTCACTTAGCCAACTAGGATGGGTGCATCTTTGCCCGCAGTGCCAACAAAGTCCAAGGTAAGTATGATGGCGACATTAGCCAATCTTATTGCTAACTTTTTGTCAGGATGCAACCAAAGAGGTAAAACAGGTGAGATTTACCTTAGATGTCTTTGATAAACACTCAACTAGCTTTAGGTGGAAGTGAGGACTAAGATTGGCCGAGTGCAGCCAAAGACGAAAGGAAAGGGAAAGGAGAAGGTCGAGAAAATTACCAAGCCAGAACAGGTGTGTTTGGGCAACTTCATTTCAGTGACCAATTACTTACCATCTCATAGTACATACCTGGCTGTCAGAGATGTGACAGCAAGCCTTGTTTGGTTGTCATTGGATGCAAGGGGCAGGTAATCAAGTCCTGCTTCAAGTGCCACGTCATGAAGGTCCAATGTGACTGACCAGAATCGGTCGATGATGTTGGTCCTGCATCAACTCGTCAGATGCCAAAGTCACATCCCTAGGCCAAAAAGCCCATCTCTATAACCACCAGAGCAGCCATGCATCAGTTTCAACCAACACTGATCTTGGTGTCTGAGGATGCTATGGATGATACTGGTCAGTAAGTTTCTGGTTCATGATGACAATATTTAGACCTATCTTTCTTTCAGATCAGGTTGTCCAAGGTAATGATGACACTGATATGCCCGATGTCACTGACCTCCAGCAGGAGACTGATATCGCTACCAAGATGGTGATTGAGCCTGAGGTGAAGGATCAACACACAGCAGGCCAGTCTGGAGCTATTGCTTTGGTTGATGACTTTCCAGCCGACCATTGGCAGAAGGAAACCAATGTCATCCCCTTGCCCATTTATCCAGCAATGCCTGCCACTGATCGCCCTTCTTCAACACCTGCACCATCCAACACTCATGAACATGTCCTTGCCCTTGCTGCTCAGGTCACTGCCATGGAAATGGCCAACCGGAATGCTGTTGCCAGGGTCAATGCGATGGAACAGGACTTCAACTCACGTATCTCCTCCATGCGTCTCAAACTTTTGGTGATGCAGCTCAATGTCAGCACCACGGTAACATTGGTCAATGGACTTGTCAGCATGGTAGAGAAGCTTCGGCAGAAGTCATTCCAAATCCATTGTTCCAACCACCGACAATGAGCTATGGCAATAGTTCCTCTGCCACAGTATTTGGCATGAGGTACTTGAACAGTATTTTTGGCCCTTTGGTTCCTCCCATCCCACAGTCGGCCAATATCGGTCAACAGTCAGCATATGGCCCATCCGCTTGTCTTGACATACAGGGCACCACATTCACTAGTGGACAAGCATCTTCCGCATCTAAACTCGCTGGTCCCTCATCCACTCCTGCTGCTGTTGGACCCCATTGCCCTGCCACATCACCTGTTTCTACCATGCGCCCCCTTCCCTAATCATCTGCAGATTATAGTTGTACCATGGAATTTATCACACATCATGATTTGGTTGACTCAATGCTCCAGTAGATCATTCAGTTGTGAATAAATAAACTTTGGCGTGAATTCCATGTATATTGATTAATTCAATTGTTGAGTATGTTAGCTATATATTATATTTTACCAGGAACATTTTGACTGAGATAATCTTGTAAAAATAAAAGCCAGTCACTTATGACCGACAAGTGGCCGTTACATATCAGTGTAGAATTTCGGCCAATCTATACATATCACCAGCAACTATTGACCAACCACCTCATCCAGCATATTCATATTTGGCCAAGGTGGTCCTGAAATATATACATCGTGTAAGATTGTCCATGAATACCGACACATTGACCAATTAGTATCCATAACTCATTTATATGCTTAGAATGTCGGCCCATCTGTATATATCATTACCACTGCCCACTCAGCCCATCTGGTTGGATCTGGTATATATTTCATCTGCTACCTACCAATGTCAATAGAAAAGTGTACACTATACACCATGGGCCCACTGTTGGTATCACATACACACTTGAGGCCAGCCCACCGGTTGCTATCAGATATATGCTTGAGACCGTCCCATCTGCTCATATCAGGTACACATTTTATACACTAATCACCAAAGTACATAAAAAAGTGTACACTTATCTACTATACCCTAAATCACATACTATGGGCCCACTGTGGGTATCACATACGTACTTCACCAGCCCACCTGTTGGTATTGGATATGCACTTGAGATCGGCCCATCTGCTTATATCAGGTACATAATTTATACACTAACCACCAAAGTCAATGAAAAAGTGTACACTTATTGACTATACCACATACTATGGGCCTACTGTTGGTATCACATACACACTTGACATTGGCCCACCTGTATTTAACACAACAATACATTGATGGATCCACATGGGCTGGCCTGTGTAGAACAGGGATATTTCAACCTTGGCTGTATGTATTATACAAGGATAAAGTGACTGCAGTATGTGAAAGAGTCGTGGGAAAAAATTACGAAGCTCTAAGTCAAAGAGCTTGAAAGACCAGTTCTTGCTGATGATAATAATCTGTGATTGCCAGTCGCATAACTTCAAGAGTCTGGACCTCCACCAAAGTTAGTGTTTGGGGATTGTGAAGAACATGTATCAGAAGTGGAATATATGAATGTGAGGTCTTCTTGAACTGAAAAGTAGTCAGCAATCCTAGCCAAATACAGTTGTAATATTAACAGTTTACCTGTTTGGTTCCATAGGGAATGAAAATGATTTCGCCAGCTTTAAAATAGAAGTTAGGAAGGCAAGCTGGCTTTGACTAATAAACAAACATTCACAGTCACTTGCCTAAGCCACAGCTCATTTTAAAACATGCTAACACTCACTTTAGAAATCGTCTGAGCCTTAGGCCTGCTGTGAGATTGAGAAGCAGACTTTAGTCCTTGGTTGGCTTCGCTATTTGCCTTCCTAGCATCATCTATTTGGCTGCTGGTCTGTCATTTGCACTTTGGAGTCATATGAAAAATTAAAGAGAAAAAAGAAAGATAAACAAGTGATTGGTGATAGAAGAGACAGTAGTAAAATTTAAGTGAGCTGTAGATTCTTGTGGTACAAAAGTGCTCAGTCATGACCAAATTCAACCACATCACCTGTCATGTGATCTGTGGCTGTAAATACTGTACACTTAAAACTTAATATTGTCAATTTCAAGCCAGTCTCCTTGCTTGTATATTGAGAGTTTAGGTACTATAATTGTAGTTAGCTATTAGAGCTATTGTGATACCCAATACTACTGGTATCACTATCTGTGTCACTACTAGATCCAACATCAGTATTGGTAAGCTTCAAAAGCCTGAACATAACACCAAGTGCTCGACACCATTTTATTGCCCTAGGTTGCCAAATAAAATCAGGCAAGGAGATGCATAATTCCTTGGTCCTCTGTCGTCCTGACCGAAGAATTTCATGAGAGAGATATACATCATCATCTCATTCATGTAGAAAAACACCAAATCCTTCTGGAATGTGCCCTGCCTCTCGTACTTGAGCAAGAGCTTGATGAAAAGTGTGAAGAGTAGCAGAGTTGAATGGACTGGCATGCTTTGGAACATGAACAGGCTTATATGGAAATGAGCATCATGATCAGCAGCAATAAGCTGAGGAAGCTTTTGTAGATCTTCTGTTTTGACACCTGGATCCTCAAAATCATCGATGTCTTCCCACTCCTCCTCTGATTCTTTGTCATCTGTTTCTCCATCAGTAGATCCAGAAGCTGAGTATACCTCATCTGAGGGGTGACCTGCTCCAGTTTGATGGGGTGCACGATGTAGAAAGCTGATCTCTGCTGGGCTCAGCAGAAATTGTACTACCTAGACAACAAATATTTAGGTAGATCTTAGCACGACCTAGTCTGCTATACTTGCAGCACAAGTGCATTTGATCCTAAAGGGATTGCTAATTGGTATTAGTAGTAAAAATGTGTCAGTAATGCAAATAACAAAATGTCCGATGCTGCGAAACGATGTCTGAAGGTAATCTGATGATTTCTGAAGGTACTTATCCAATGTCTGAAGCCAAAGTGCGATGTCCAAGATTTCAGACTTTCGGACTTCATGATAATAGATCAGAAACTTTATAACGAGTGTCGGATTGCGAGCGGTATGCACAAGTATAATGAGTGACGGAGTATGATGGTGAACAAATGGTAATATTTTGAAATGCAACTAAGAACTAAGAGAATATTCTGGGTGATCCGCAGAGTCGGGAAACTGCTCCTAACTACTGGATGATGATTGCTACGGGTCACTACAGAGTATTTTTACGTAAGTACATAGAAATTCGGAAAACTACAGGTGAAGATAGTAGTGATATATTTCGGGTCCGATGTCCTATGTAATAAGACACGAGGTGCTGCAGACATGTAATAACATGGTCCGAATGTCAGAAAACATGCACGGGAATGACTACACACCTAGTGAGGCTAGTTTGGATGGACAGGACACGGAATGGACAAGTGCGCACGAAGTGCGATCGGCCGATGCGATGTCCGAAGGTCCGATGCGGAGTGGCTCGGACATGTGCGAAAGTGCATTGGACATGTGCACATATGTTTTGGGTGTTGACGTGAGTATGGAAATACGTGGTTTTGAGCCCAACGCCGCAACAATTGCTACAATGATGCATAGGCTTGCCTACAGTTCCATAGTACTATCTGATGATGTCAGGATGGATTTCTTCACAATCGTCAGCATACAGCCTATGTTCAAGCTGGTCCATGAGCCTCATATCCTAATGGCCACAAAACCAAAATTCCTCTATTTAGCTGATCATGTTTGAGATATGAGACAACATATATTTGAGCTCTAATTATGTCCCTCTCCCAAGATAGAATGTGCATTCTATTCAGCTTAAAATATGCAACAGTCAGACTCAATCTCTTCAAGGAAAAGCTCATGTAATAGCCAGAGATGCTGAGCATAAAACACATCTAGTCCATGAAGCCTCTCAAGCCAATAGAGAAATGCATGCCACATGCGAGCAAATTGGGTCCCAACTTCAACCTAGGACCATTCAATCCTGATGTTGTGAGTGTTACGACTTGGATGGTATCTGTTGGCGACGCTCAAACAGAGCTTGTGTCGTCAACGGTCGAGGACGTCCTTGGGCTAGCCCAAGGTTAGGGGTCGTACTTGGCGTGTCTTCGGCAAGTACGATTTGACGCCTATGTCCAAATCGGGTAGCTTATGTCACGCGGTTGCGAGACGATAAGCTATATCGGCCTAGGCTTACGACACCCGAAGGTTAATCGTAAGGATCGTCGTTAATTAGAAGGACAGAAGTCCGACTAGTTAACAGGGGCTTTGCTCGTCGACGAAGTCGATGAGTAAAGGTCGAGACTATAGGCTTATCCACGAGGAGCAGATAAGAAGATAGAATATAGACTGCTGGCGAGGCAGAAGGATCACTCTGGTGAGAGTAGGAGGTCAAGAACCAAGTAGATTCAAGTTAAGGAATATGGTACATGGTAGCAAGTTTATATAGAGGACAGGAGACGTATTAGTGGATGATAACTCGTACTACCGGGAGAGGCAATCGGTAAAGGGTATGACTATAACAGGAAGGCACGTTCGGTCGAGGTAGAACGTGCTAGATAAGAAGATGAGTCAAAGATCGAAATAAGAAGTGAAACGCGCAGAGGCACGATCGTGCAGCTGCGGATCTAAGTATAAGTCGCATGTGCGACTGCGCACCGAGTCAGAGATTAGGAAAGGGAATAGGGCAAAGGGGATGCGTCGTGCATCGTGTCATAGGTTACCGTCCAGACGGTAAGGGCAAGGGGACTATCCACAGGATCAGTCAGGTGGTGAAACGGAGCATGGGTATGCTTCGTCAGCGAAAGGGTCCGACCAGATGTACTGGCTCTGCTGAAGCGACAGGTAGAGGGCGAAAGGGAATGCGAGGATGACAAGGATGACAAGGGTAAGGTCGGGGTAAGGGTATGATGCGAGGGCTGATACGAGGAGGATTAGGAGAAAAATGGTAGGGACCCAAGTGTCTAGATGTTCTTGTAACAGTGAGTTGATCTAAATGAGGGACAGATTTTAACTAGACCAATGCAAACAATAAAAGTGTTTTTACTTACGATCCCCACATAAAGCATCAGCAAACTACAAATTTTGTGACAGACCATACAAGGTGTCACAAGACATCACAGATCTTACAAGCTTGACAGACATATAATAAAATATTACACCAATGCTTCTAAGCTTATTATAGTCTCTACTAGTGTCCTTAACCTACTATATGTCATTGTAATAACTGAAGATATAGTTGAAATATGTACCATTAACTTGATTGAACCTCCAATAAATACTAAAAGTGCAATATCTCCCGATCCTGTAGACCACATTTGATGAATGTTGGATCATATTGAAGCCCTGATTTTGCTGCATACACCAGGATATAAAGTAAACAAAGTGTTCAAAAAATGGCTGAGATATATCCTAATCTTTATTGTACAAGGTCTATCATCCCCAAGTGAAACAGGATTTATATATATTAAATATAGTTTATCATTCAATTACATTTGGATTGAGCTACTGTACTAGAATTTATGTAGTGGTGAATAGTGGTGGTGTAGTGATAATTGAGTGGACTGACTTAGTGAAATTTTCGCATTTTTGTCATGTGGCTTTTGGTATATATATTTAATATTGTTAGGATACATAACTGATCTTGTGGCCTAGTGGTAATCATGCTGTACATATATTTGCTTGAAGGATTGAGTTCAATCCCTGCCAATTGCAAAATATAATGTGTGAAGTTGATCATGTGATGTGATATGTTATATAATGTTAATCTTTTGGCATGTGTTCTCCGAAATTCACAAGCCCCACAAGCTTTACAGGCTGTACAAGGTGGCCTTTTAAACTGTTTATCTGTATACTGTTTATGTGTATTTACTACTACTGGTGCAGATGGTTAGTATCTGTTTGTAAACTGTTTACTTCCTCATGACACAATGCTAGAATGATGACTACTCAAGGAGCCTTGACAGATGTCAGATTATAGATATCATATGTCCCGAGACACATCAGGCTTGCTGTCCAACCAGCGACAATGTAGACCCGAAATGATAATTTTAACATGAGTGCAAATATGGGAAGATATCCAGGATCTGCACCTCCTACCATAATCTTGCACTGAATGTCACCCAGCACTCTGCCTTGAGTGGTTCCGTAACCTTGACAACGATGGATACACCCAAGCAAAAATAATTTTTAAACATTTCATTGCACGCTATGAGCTTGCAACACCAGAAGTGGTTCCTACTGCATCTCACATGCCTCCACCATCAACTTCTCCTGATGAAGATTCTTTTCTTTCGTCACTGATTAATTTGTGTTCTGATGGCAAATCCCACACAACGTCAACAGTACCCATCCAGTCCGAGTTCAAGCGCTATGCCATCCTTGCACAGGGTGCCAAGGACCCAAATGCCTTGAGCATGCCTCTTATATGGTGGAAGGTACATTTTTTTCTTATTTCAGACTTGAAAAACTAGTTGACTATCTACGAAGGACCATTCTCATGAATTTCTGACTCTCTCTTGTATTGCGCATGATGTCCTTGCCATTCCAGGTGCCATTTCTCCTGTCGAGCAGCTCTTTTCAAAGTCATGCCACTTGTGTACTGACCAGTAGTCTTCCCTTGCTGCAGCCACCATGATACAGTTGATGTGTGTGAAGCTATGGATATTGACCCTCTGTCTTTTATATGTAACTCATTTAGTATATAGGATTGGTCTCGCTTGCTGTACTCCATGGCAAGTGTAGTCAGCATCCTGATCTGTTGACTTATGTTAATAATGTCATTGATAAGGCTGTAAATGACCGCAAGGGGGTCAGGGTGAGTTTCTCCTTCTCTCAATTCAATATATATATCTAATAAGCTGGATAGCCTGATCATGGGGGGAGCTGATTCGGTTTGGCTGGAATGCAGGTCCCTGTCATGCACATGTCTTTGGTCTGGTGAATAACCTTACCAATAGAAGCTGGCAATGACTGCAAGGCAGCAGAAGGACTCCCATGCCTTAGGAATTTTGGCTTTGAGCTTGAATTTGCTGGTCACTAGTCTCCCTGCTGAGGTCAGTACATCATGTATTGCAGCAATTGATGAGGCAGGCTTGCCTTCTACGATAATCAAAGGCAATGACTCTGGTGAGTATCTTACATATAATCTCTGTGCTATTATATGAACTCATATATCTAGACTCCGGGTATACCCTGGACTTATCTAATGGTCCTCTCTACTTTTCGACAGCAGAGCGGGTTCCCTCTGAGGGATACATATCACAAAACTACGAGGTGTGAGTAGGTTGCATTTTATTAGTAGTGTTGCTTCTGATGTCACTTCTAGCCCCATCCACACAGATCAACTCTATGCCTCATATGCAATGAACTGGGTTACTCTCCATAGTATTGTGGATCCTGAGCAGTGCCAGCTTCATGGTGATTGTAGCTCTGGTGGGAATGATGTTGATGTCTCACTTCAAGTGGTGGTGAAATGTGCCACTGACACAGTCATGGTGATTTTGTCTCTCATTGTGATTCAAGCATTTTTGCTGATAATATATCTGACAGAGCATGCAACCAAAGTTCAAGCATGGTACAACCCTTGCTCAAGAGGGTGTCTGCAGACAAGGAACTGCGATTAATTTTTCAAGGCATATCAAAAATACATTTGACAAGGCAATTGCAATCGAAGGTGATGTAAAGGCAATGGTGACTCAACTTGTAGAGGAGAAAAATGTTAGCATTCAACTTCAACACCATAATTAGATTTCCCTTTTTGTATTGGACTCTTTACATATGGCTTATAGTTTCTTTGTCTTTGTTTGTTTGTACCTCAGCATCTTTGTCCATAACGATGAGGTATGTTCGATGTATCCTGCACACCGCTCTCATCTCACACTATTTTGTCTTTAGATCTTGTTTCTAGGTACTTGGAATATTAGTGTCTTTGTCCATAATGCTGAGATCTTGTTTCTAGTTTCACTGTTAACAGGTTACGAGCCCCAGTTCATTCTGAACCCTCACTCAAAACTATCAAACAGAATCTCTATCTGTGTTAGCCCACCACTCTTATTACCAATCTTATCATACTCCTCCACCACAGCAGCATTACTATGGGGAAATTTGATCACATTCCCAAGTTGTTGGGATTGAAGAACTACGTCAGATGGTCGACAAAGATGCAATATGCACTCGCATGCGAAGACCTATGGTGCCACGTTAATACGAATCCCGATCCTATGGACATTCTCGGTCTTCCTTCTGTCCTGCCCGTCCCTGTTGATCCAGCAAATGTCACCGCTGCTGAGCAGACACTTATGCATGAATGGCTCCTAAACAACATTAAAGCCAAGGATCTCATTACACATCACATCAGTCCATCTGTAGGAGTGCTGGTATTGCGAGCACACACAGTCACATCCCGTATGGTGTGGCAGATACTCACGGAGCGTTTCGACTGCATGGACACCCGTGCCCAATATCAACTTCATCAATGACTTGATGCCTTACACATGAAAGACTCGGCCGATGCCACTGATTATGTTGGTCAATATGCAGTGCTTTGCAAGCGCCTTTGTGACTCCGGGGCTGCTCTTCGTGATAGTGACGCCATCTACAGCTTGTTAATTGGACTTCCGCAGATGCCTATATGGCAACAATTTAAGTCAATGCTTGAACAGTGTATGCATGACGAAGTCATGATGGCAGCAGCGGGCACAGCCTCAATCTTCACAGTCGAAAGCTGTATCTCTTGCATCACAGCTGAGGCTGCACAATACGTACATACTAAGGCCATTCATTCAAGACCAGGTTCTGAGTATGCTAATGCAGCCTCCTCCAATTCAACCACCCCCAGTACCAATCCAATCACCGGTCTCTGCAAGCACCGTCACAATCCAGACAGTGTCTTTTGCACCATGCCTGGTTGTCATAAAGGCAACCACGATCATGCACATTGTTATGGTAAGGGGGGTGGAATGGAGGGGCAAGCGCCCTGGTTGAAGAATAAGAGGAGAGAGACAGCTGTTGCAGCGGCTGCGACCACCTCTGCCCCCACACCTACTCCTGCTCCTGCAGCGCCTGCTATCGCAGCAGCAGTGACTGGACTTAGCAGTTTGATGGCTGACATGTCCTTCACATCAGTCTCTGAAATTGTCGATGATGTATCCTGCCTCACCTCCCTGCCATTCTCTACCATACTCGACTCCGGGATGACTGTAACTCTCGTCAAGGACAAGAGGCTTTTCCACACCTACACAATGGAGGTATTGGTCCCTGTTCGCACTGCAAACCACGGGACACTGGAGACGACCAGATGAGGGACCTGCATGGCCTGGCTGAGCATCAGACAGCACCGACTTCACATCAAATGATCAAATTGTTTGCACGTGCCAAACACAATGCTCAACCTACTTTCTGTCAGCTGCATGGACGCGAAAGGGTGGGATGTGAACTTCAAGTCAAATATGACCTGTGAACTTGCGCACAATGGAAATCTTCTCGGCGCTATCCCAGCAATGGGGAAACTGTATGTGTTAGATCTTGAATTCATATTGCCCATGTCACCATTGCCCATCTCCTCTCAAGAACTGGAATTGTCTGCTTTTGTGCACATTCCCCTCACACTCGACTTATGGCATGCGCATATAGGGCACATTGGCAAAGAGGCCGTTATGCGTCTTGGTCATGTCGCGAAGGGTATCACAATTGATTCTGTGACCCCCTTATTGCACTGTGAGTCATGTATCATGGGGAAACATCCACAGCAGGCTTTCCCTTCCTCTGAGACACAACAAGCCTCCACCTTTCTGGATCTTGTCCACAGCGACATCTGCAGACCAATCCCTACCATCACGCCCCACGGCAAGCACTGCTTCATCATCTTCCTTGACGATCACATGCACACCCTCGACTTACAGTTATTAGCTTCGAAAGATCAAGCACTTGATGCTTGGCGGTCTTTAAGAGCTCATTGGGAGAACATGTCAGGTGCACGAGTGAAGAGTTTTTGCAGTGATAATGGGGGGGAATTCATTAATGAGGCTTTCACTGCTGCACCTGGAGGAAACTGGAGTCCAGTGTCAACGCTCTGCCCCCTATGCTTATCAGCAGAACGGTAAGGCAGAGAGGGTGATGCGTACAATTGAAGGTCGTATGTATGTGATGCTGGACTTTGCATGTTTGCCTCCTAGGACTCTGGGGGGAGGCCACTCTCACCGCATGTTATCTGTTCAACTGAACTGAGTCCCGTGCCCTTCCTTCAGGGAAAACTCCCTATGAGATGTTACATGGCGTTCAACACAATCTTGCTCACCTTCGTGTGTTCGGCACACGCTGCTTTGTGCGAATCCCGCCAGAACTACAACAGAAATTGGGTCCTCAATCACAAGAAGCCATCTTTATGGGCTATCCACCTGGAGTTAAGGCATGGAGATGTTGCGATACTGCTACGGGCGCATTCTTCAATTCTCGAGACATTATCTTTGACAAGGGTTTCACCAACTGCTCCTTTTTGGACAGTGATGACAAAGATGATGGTCTTGCAGCTCGCCCCATGCACAGACCTGCAGTCACTCCTCCAGCCGCTCCTCCACCTATTGACCCTCCTCATACCACCATCATTCGTCGGTCTGGAAGGATTCCTGTGCACACGGAAAAGGGTCAGTCTTACAAAGATCACATCATTGCTGACAAAGCATGTCTCAGTCATCAATGTGAGATTTGTGCGGCGCAAATCAATGGCGTTGTGCCTCCCGTCAGCAAAATTGATACCATCAACCCTCCCATTGTCAACCCACCAATGCCGATGCCTGACCCACCAGCTCCAGAGGTGCCTGATCTGGATGCAATCATTCCAGACAACAATGAAGTTGGTTTCTCGCAAGTCATTGCCAACCTCATTGTCGTTGAGGTGGTCCTACTGTCCGTGTGCAGCGACACTCATCGTAATCCGCTGGCACCTAGCTACGACTTGCGCATCCCACCGGCTACATACAACGAGGCATTGAGATGACTGGACTGCGATCACTGGCTCGCAGCTATGGGAAAAGAAATGAATTTGATGTCAGAAATGAATGTATACGAACTCGTACCTCTACCCACGAACTGAAGAGCCATTGGGTGCCATTGGGTGCTTGAATTCAAGGAGGACCGGCTCTGACAGTGCACGTCTCATAGCTCATCTTCTCTCCTCACTCTATGGGCTGAAACAAGCCACGTACAATTGGTACGAACTACTGCGAGAGGTTCTTCAACACCTCAGGTTCCTTCAGTGCGAGGCAGACTACGCCGTTTTTATATTTGACCATGTCGATGGAGATGGAATGCGAGTCATCTGTATTATTGCCTGGCATGTCAACAATGGGCTCGCGGGTTCCAACAATTGTGTGTTTCTCAATCGCACGAAGTCACAGATCGCAGAGCATTTCGGAATTACTGATCTTGGTGCTGTGATGAAATATCTGGGGATCCAGTTCATCCGCGACCGCAAAACACGTGAACTATGGATGCATCAGGAGGACTATATCCTGTACTTACTTGACGAGCATGGGATGACCGGCTGCAATGCTGTGTCCCTTCCAATGGACCCCGTGTTTCCGTTCAGGCGACCAACAGATGTTTTCCCACATGTTGAAGATCTCTCAATGGAGTACAGGAAGCTCATCGGCGAACTTCTTTACCTCACCATGTATACTCGCCCCGACATCGCTCTTGTCGTCATGCGGCTCTCTCAACACAATGCATCACCCGAATCCAAACACTACGCAGCGGCTAAACATGTACTTCGTTATTTGGCTGGGACAGTCACCATGCGAATGCACTATGGGGGTACCGGGATCAATCCCAATCTCCATGGCTTCTCTGACTCAGACTGGGCTTCTTGTCCCGAGGATCGCGTGTCAGTATCAGGCTACGTCTGGTTTCTCAACGGTGGCCCAGTCTCACACTCCGCCAAGAAGCAAACAACTCAGGTGTTGTCATCCACCAAGGCAGAATATATGGCACTTACTGCAGCCATCCAGGATGGCCTTTGGCTGAAGTCACTCTTTGGTTGCCTTAAATTCACCCTCTCCTTGCCATTACAACTCTTCACTGACAACACCTGGTGCCATTGCACTTTCCAAGGAGGCGGCTAATCACATCCGCACAAAGCATATCGACCTACACTATCATTTCATCAGATGACACATTGAAGAGAACTCCTTCATACCCATCTGGCTCTTGACACACAAAAACACTGCGGACATCTTCACCAAGGTTCTTCTGTGCCCCACCTTCATTCATCATCATTCCGGCTTGTCTTTGGTATCTCGTTGAAGGGGGTGTGTTAGCATTCAACTTCAACACCATAATTAGATTTCCCTTTTCATATCAGACTCTTTACATACGGCTTATAGTTTGTTTGTCTTTGTTTGTTTGTACCTCAGCGTCTTTGTCCATAACGCTGAGGTATGTTCGATGTATCCTGCACGCCGCTCTTGTCTCACACTATTTTGTCTTTAGATCTTGTTTCTAGGTACTTGGAATATTAGTGTCATTGTCCATAACACTGAGATCTTGTTTCTAGTTTCACTGTTAACAAAAAAGTGGTTATAGACTATGTGAATGAAGTAGTCTTCAAGTAGTACATACTGATCTACAATTTTATGTTGCTGAATCTGCACAAATTTTGGGGCGACACAATTTCCTTTTGGGGTGTCACACAATTTTAGTTTTCAGGGGGGCACACAAATTCAATTTTGGGGGCACAATAATATTTGTGCAGATTCAGCAGCATAATTATAATCAATAGCAGTGTCGCTGAGTCTTAAGTTGGAGGCTGAATACACTGCCCTTTTGGATGTGACCCATGATATCACCTGACCTTCCCACCAGTCAGTGTTCTGCCGGTCGCCAAATGTTCACCAAAGTCAGTGAATGTACATGATGGTGTTGGAAAGTTCCAGGAACCCCTTGGTAGACATTTTAAGGACCAATTTTCACACAAGCCATTTAAATACTGATGTGTCATGGCACGTTTACAACAATGTCTTGAAAACCAGTGCATCAGGAAAACCCTCCTGCACAAAGCTAGACAAAGATAGTCAAAATTATGTGAACTTCGATAAAAAGACAAGAATATTACAAACTATGAATAAGATCAATAATTTCTTGCTAAAATTCAACATTCTATAACGAAGTTATAATGTGCTATCTAATTGTCACAAATGTATGACGATCAATATAAGAATTAACAAAAAAAGTGTTACATTGTTCGAGGACTTCGCTACTTGTCCATTGATGAGGTGTGACAGGTCCAAACTTGGGAATAAGATGAACACTTCAGTGGATATTTGCGACAGGTATAATGCTTGCAACTCTCTCACCTGATTATACAACACGGCTGACTTTGAACATTCCATGGTTTGAATCAGGTGTAAGAGGAAACCGAGTGAACCACTCTACATAGGCAAGATGTTTGGGAGGCTGGATTGTGGTAGGGAACATCATTGGGATAGAATTCTTCAGGATCAAGAATATGACGTGAATCTGACCCACACGGTAGCCTGTTGAAAATATATCATTTGTGACTGTCTATCATCCTCGAGAATCACAAACTGACCTTCAATACCTACAGAACAGCCAGTCCCATCATTAATAAGCATGGTATCAAATCGTGCTGGGACATCAGTGCCTGTTTGACTGGTGGCTACATGGTGAGGCTTGATGTGCATGCTATCCACCATGACACACCGATCACCATGTCCCTGTGCATCAACAGATTGCCATTTGACTATGTGATACATGGGAAGTGTGTGGAATGGAAGGTGAATTGTGGCAGCAAGATCTTCGAGGCAGCGACGAGTGGTGGCTTCATGTGGATGATGCAGTTGTGCAACATATTTTGCAAGTGCCTCGTGAAAGTATGTGGCCCCATACTCCATGACTAATTTCTGAATTGGGACACCTTTCACACTCAGATGCTTCGTTAATGTTTGAACACAGTCGAAAGACAGGTTTGGTGGACATGGTTGGTGTCGAATGAGATTGTTGTGGAGGCGCCATGTGACATACCTCTCATGTCAAACAATCTTTCCTTTGCATTTGAGCCATTGAGTCATTTGGACAAACTCATCTTTGTGGTTCATCGCACGATACACATCTTTGGCCAAGTCAATATGAAGGTGTTCAGTATATTCTGTATTATAATTGGCAGTCGTGCCAAAAGTTTGGATCATCAACATATAGTGCCGGGCTGCATGGAGCTTTGGGAGATTGAAATTGTTTTGTATTCCATGGTCAACAAAGATCTGCTTGTTGTCATGAAAAAGATCAAGAGCTTCCACAAGGAGACTCAATGTTTCAGAGCTATGGCAAGGATATTGCGCGAGGTACAAGAAGTCAAGTAAACCTCTGATGGCTTGTATGAGACGACTCAGTGCAAGTTGGTTGGGGAGTTGGATGTCGACGATGATGCCAAGTAGAAAACAGCATATCTGGCTATGCTCCGTACCACTAATTCATGAGAGGCTAGTGATGCCTTTTGTAAATAGATGAATATGATGATTTGGGGGGAGCCTCCAACATCTGGCATCTATTTTGGCTGCTCCAAATGCCTCGGCCAGCCAACCAAGGAGATGCTTGATTAGACCTTGATATAATTGGTGGAGTATATCTGGTGTGACAGCTTGGAAGATGTTAGTATAGGGTAGGGGCTCCCAGAATGGATGTATAATAGGCTTAATTCCAGCTTCACGGCATGTACACACAAATTCAATATCTCCATAGTCAATTGCAGCCAATGCATCAAGGACAACATCAAGGTTGTGCATCTCGAAAGGTGTAGCAATGCTTCCAAGTTTGTCTGGTGGTATGTCGCATTTGGGACATTATGTGGCTTTGACTCCTGTAGCCAAGACTTGCTCAGGGTAGTCACCAATGAAACAAGAAAATAAGGGATGACCACGACGCAGGATACCATCGCCACTTTTCATAACAATACCATCTAAACCAGCTTCCTCCAGCGGTGCTAAGATATGGCCCATGCACGCGTGATACAGGTTTGCAATGGTTCGGCGTCATGAAGCCTTGTTGGTGATGTGCTTGAGACAGGTGGTAGGAAGATAAGCAAGAAGAATATGGGCACGGCGAGAGGGCTTTCAGGGAATTTCCTTAGAAATATTGCCGATAGTAAGGTAGACAGGGTAGGCTGTTTTATTTCTGAACATCGTCACTTGAGTCTTGTCACTCGAGATGATAATTGGAATGATAGTAGCACCCAGTTTGCACTGATCAAGCTTTTTCTATTTAATATGTCAGTTACGTTCAATGAGCGGAAGTCTTCAAAATGCAAACTTACCTGGGTATCCCACTACCATTTACCAGTATGCATATCATGGAACAATCGGACAGTTTGTTCCTTGTCTGCATAGTGGTGTTCTGGTGTGAAGACCAGAAAATCTGCAAAATCTGGGTCGCCATACAAAGCCTTGACACACTCTATAACATCCCTATAGAAAATGTCGAAGGCCTCGCCTGCAATGACAATTTGTTCACGCCTGAACTTTGGGTGAACAGGAAGCTGCTTGTCGATTATCTTGTTCAATTCCCTTGAGTTTTTGTAAGAAAGACCAAGCTTTTCATGGAGCTGGCAACAAAAATAGACAGATTATCTACAACACATGTGAGATTAATACACAATCACTCACTCCATTGATACCGAGTAAGTCCGAAAATGCAGTTGAAGTTGGACCGCATAATTTAGCCCATCGTGCAACTTCCCAGTCCACCCAAGAGTTGAAGGGGGCATAGGGATTCATAGTGTCATTGATAACGGTAGCATATGCAGTGTTAGCATTGCAGATGTCATCTTGTGGGACAGGCTGCCCTGCTTGAGCATCAGGGTATCACACAATAGTGATTTTACCTTCCTCAGGCTCAAGCACATGTTGCTCGATCTGCTGATGCAACCCACGATCCTGGCTATTCATCTCTGTGTTGTCTTCTTCAGCAGCTCCAAGTTTGTCCTCTAAATCCCTTCCAGTTATGGGGGGTTCCCATTCAGCATTGTTGAGGCCAGGTATATCATCCTTGGAATTTGAGCTGTCACTACTTTCACTGCTACTGGCATACTGTCCCATGTTGTCAGTCCATTCAATTTCATCTTCCTTGTAAGTACCAAAGAAGTCTCCTTCAAACTCAGGTTGTCAATCATCAGCTACTTCAATTTCCATAGGATCATCTGAAGGAGTTGGAGTAAGAGAGCAGACATTTGAGCGTGATGCAGCAAGCACCGCCATGCAGCATCGATTCCTGGTTTTAGCCAAATGTTGACTTAAGCCCGTGGCCGAAAAAGTAGTGTAGCATCCAGTGCATTGGACCATAGTGATAGCAGGGAATTGTACACCAGTACCAGATACTACTACCCCATCCACTGTTGATGTCATTTTTTAGGCTCCACAATGATATATTGTTCAACAAGTCTGGAGGTCAGATTCGCACACAATAAGATGGACAGCTCACCACCCTCATCTCCTGTTCAGTCAAGCAGTCCACCTTCATCCCCTGCTCAAATGAACAGTCCCACAATTCAGTCTTCACCTGACTCCTCAAGTCCATCAGGAATGACTCTCTGTAATTCAAGCCAAAGATCAGTCTCCTCAGGCTCTTTAAACTCAATTAACACAGTGTTAAATGCCTCACATCTGAGTGTTTCACAGCAAAGCAAACCTGCACCTTCTCAAGCAGATGAGAGCCTATTCTTCAGGAGTGACAAAATGTCAAATTCTCAATTGTCAAGGAAGTATCTTTCATACCCCACCAATCCAGCTCCATTGGAGCTTCATTATGCAGCTCAGGTGATGAAGTCAAAATTCCAACTGGAATTCTCATTGGAAGAAACACAGAAGGTATGATATATTTACTTCCAGACACCAATAACTCACTGATATGGTCTGAAAGCTTCAAGAACAATTGGAGAGCGGCCTCTCCCAATTGTCAACTCCAACCTTGTACAAAGGATACAAGGCCAAGCTCGCAAGTCGTGAGGTTGCGCGCCAACGCATGGTGTTGGCAACATGGGAAATTGATGAGGCCACACAATATGAAGCATTCCTCATGAGCATCTATGGTGAAAATGAACAACAGTTCAAGATGGCAGAAGGGGAATTGCAGGGCTTCAAAAGAATTTTTTCACAGTGTGGCCAGGCAGAACTTGAAGACAATAAGCAATATCTTCAAGCCGTCTATGAGGACAAATGCGAGATCCTCCATGTCAGTAGTACCCAAACTGACCAGATTGCAAAACTCCTCAGTTCACGTGTCAAGCAGGCATTTTTGAAGCCTACTGCAGCATTTCCTCTTCACCCTAACAGTGGACTTCCCTGCATCGGCACTAGGGAACCCTCTGAACCCTCAGACCCAGAGATGTCTGATGAATCTTATCTAGACGAGTTACCAGAAGGCTCGGATCATGGCTCTGAAGATTCATCCAAAGGTGCGGGCTCTGAAAAGTCAGCTGGCTGATAATCGCCCTTCCAGCGGTATGGGAAATCCTCAATTCATGAGTATTCAACTCATCACAAGTTACAGGCTCCCTTTTACCACTCAAATCGCACTTCTTGTCCTACATTCAAACTTTTTTTCTCATACAATCATTATTGATATGGAAGTATCTATTGTGTCCTGGTGATTCGTGAATTCATATATGCACTTACAATGTACTAGAGATTACCCCTTGTGTTGTTGTGTTATTACACTCTTTATCATCCAATGAGAAGTATTACATTTCCTCATGATACAATTGCAATACAATTTGCATATGGAAGGCTGAACGTTCGAACAGAATGTTCCATATATGTCACTCTTCCTTGTACCTGTGTTGATTACCCAATTATAATGCTGCTTGCCTGCCAAGTCCCCTGATCCTCCTCAATGTAAACATGATCAAATACAGTTTCGCCCAACCAGTAGTACACTCATGACAAGTCAAGTATTCACCTCCATTCCCCATCTGTTATTGTACGTGAAATACTTGTGCCCTCTCTTACCTGTTTACTAATATCAACCAATTAGCAGCGCAATTGTTAAGCATCGGACTGCGATCACATGACTAGTATCCAGTTCTACTTAATTTTTTATTATGTACAAGGGCCTTTCTACAACATGTTTCTGGCGCGTGATGCCAGCTCTCCCACCGTGATCACCATCTTCTTTTTCCCTACTGCCATTCTTTTCTCCAAGCAAAGTATGCAGGCGCAGGATAATGATGACTTGGGCAATCCACACTTCCACAACCAACTTCGAGATGAGTTTTTCTTGTCGTCAGGCTATGATGAATTTACAGATGGAATTACAAGTTTGAACAGTGAGTACCAAAGTTAGTAGAACATCAACCGCTTGTTAACAGATCAAGCAGATAACGTCATGTCTCCAATTTCACGATTCCTCCATATCACAGACCCCCAATACATGACAACTACAGGTAGTCTACCACAGTCGCTAACAGATGAGATAGATGCTGCACCATCATCTAGCTCTAGCATACCCATCCCTGGGCCATCGTCTGCCAGCAACCCACTCAATGCTGGTGACAACATCCACTCTTTAATTCCTTACTCAGCCCAACTCGACTCTTTCTACCATCCACCAGTTCCTCAGTTGCCGGCAGAGTTGTCACAGCCTGAGCATCCTGAGAGACATAGGCGCCCTTGACCCTCTGTCACACCATACTTCATACCTGAGCCCAGAGTTTCTCAGCCGTCTCAGCCAACATCCACAATGGCTGCCCTCGATACCATGCAGCACTTCATACCTGAGCCCAGAGTTTCTCAGCCATCTCAGCCAACAACCACAACAGCTGCCCTCAATACCATGCAGCCCATGATGCCCCCTACCACTATTCCCGCCGCTGTGCAGCCAACCACAGCCCTTGTTGTCATTAATGTCAGGCCAAATGTGAAAAAACAGATTGTAGATCGTGCAAAGTGAAGAATCCCAAGATTTGTCTTGACGGCATCTGCAATGGCTGGTACGGATGCCGAGAAGGCTGCACTTGTTTCTCTCGCGATCTCAGAGGCAGCATCTGTGCCGGGTATGAATGGTATATTTTTTACAAATAAGTTGCTGATTTGGATACTAATTCATATTTATGTAGTTACAGTCAAAACAACTAGTAATCAACGTCAGCAGGTGGTGGTCATGTGGAACAACACTTTTCGCAAACTATAGGTCATGGTATGGAGTTGTCTCGCCTTGGGCTACAGCTTCTACCCCCCACTAGACTCCAGTCTCACGCCGGTCCAATTTGTGGCCATGTCTTAACTGCATTGATTAACGATACTTGTCACCCGTTAGCCTTCATGCACAAGTTCACAGTTGATGCAGTATGTTTCACTTTTATTTTCAAATACATGCTAATTTTGATCTTTTTTTTCAGGATGGGAATGTCACCATACTTGATGGGGTTCTCGATAACCCCTTGATATTTCATGTCGCTATCCGTTTCATATGGTGCAGTGACCTCTGCATCTCGGAATTCCTTTCCACCTCAATGTTGCACTGACTCCAACAACTCAATTATGCCATCGCTTCTATTGGAGCAGTTGCCAAGTTAGTGCTGCGGGAGCAGATTCCCCATCCACCGGACATCCTGCCATTCACGCAACTTGAAGGGAGCAAGACTTTCAATGACACCATGCACCATATCGGTAACCTGGACAGCATCCAGAAAATTGTGTTCGACTACCAGAAATCTCACATGCTAAACGTTGGGGACTTGCAGGTCTCATCCACCAACATACTAGCTTGTACTCTATCTTCGAGTTCCACACAAGCACTAAGGTGCCCGCAGCAAAGTTGTGATCTCAGATGGTGTTTCGGAACTTCGTTTCAAATTCTCAGATAGACTGGAACCTTGCTTTTGTGACTTTGTCTTTGACGGAATCTAGATCTTCCTGCCGCTTCATAAGTTGGCAGGTGCGCCATGCTATAAGTTCGTTGAAAGTTAGTTTCTCTTGGTTCGGTAAGTCAACTAAGAAGGTTGCTTTGGCGAGATCAAAAGGAAAGATTGGTTCTACTCCATGTACCATGAAGTACGGCGAGAGTCCGGTGGATACCTGGAGTTACTCTCTCGGCCCATAGTACCAGCGTGCGCATATTGATACCAGCGAGACTCATCCCCCTCACAACTTTTCATGATGGCCTCCCAGACATCTCGGTGACGTCGCTCAATGATTCCGTTAGCTTGCGAATTGTACGGTGATATTCGGACATGGTTGATGCCGTATCGTGTGACGAGGTCCTCCATTGCTGATATAATGGTTGGGGCATTGTTGGTGACGATTTTGGTGATTGGACCCCATCTGCAAATTAGCTCTTCAAAGATAAATGATGCGACGATCTTCGCAGATTCCTTGCGGAGCATTCGCCATTCCGGATATGCGGTGAGTGCACAGCGAGCGTGAATGATTCGGTCAAACCTGCCGGCCCTCAGCATCATCATAATGTCGATGTGTACCCTTCGGAATATTCCTCCAGGTATCGCAACTATCGACGGGATGTGCAACTTCCGGGTCTGTTGGATCTGGCACTCATGACATCTCCTGTTATACCATTTGATGTCATTGGTCATTAGTGACCACCAAAATCTGAGAAGAAGACGGGTTCGGATCGTAAATACTCCCTTGTGCCCAAGGTCATCATGTGCCTCTTTGAGTAGCTGATACCGCTTCACTTCAGGGACAACGAGCTGATGCTTCCTCTGCATATGTTTCCTCCATAATCTCCCGTCGAAGATGAAATACTGTCGAGATGCGCCAACGAAAGTCTCGAATTCTTCGTCCGAAAGTTCTGAGGGTCGTTCTCAGTTCTCTAGGAATTTCTGAATTTTCAAGATTCTCACATCTTGCACTTTAGCAATCTCGGAGCGCAGGATGCGGATATTGTCAGAACCACCTTCAATGGTACCTAAAAACACGGAAAGGACGGGGGGACGGGTTAGCAGGTTTGGTACGGATATGGTATACGGGTAGTGCGGGTTATTGGAGTCTATCCGTGCAACAGCATAAGTGCAGTCGTTGAGAATTTCCATAGAAAACGAGTATGAGCGGTCGAGCCAGTCCTCATGGTCATCGCTTTCGTCCGGATCTTCGGGTGCATGAGGTCTCCTTGAGAGTCCATCAACACCTGCATGCTTCGCTGTGGGAACATGAATTAGCGAGAATTGGAATAAGAGAATACCAGTGATCCATTGGTTGATCGTTGTGTTAGGCTGGAGATCAGGGTTATTCATCATCCCTTTAATATACTTCACGTCGACCTCAACCGTGAGGTTGGTGACACCGAAAAAACTCGGACTGCACAAAGTGTGTGGAACAATCCATATAACTCGAGTTTTGCTTGTGAATAGCGGGTTTCTACTTCTGTAAGTGCAATGGATCCGAAGCGGTTCGGGTAGTGTTTTCTGTCTTCGCCAACTTGGAGAAGAATAAATCCTATGGCAATGTTGGAGGTGTTGACGGCAAGGATGACTTCACGACCACATTCATAGTTGATCGGACGGAGTGCGGGAGACTCTAATATCAAGTCCTTAAGTGTCTGCATTGCTTCCTGCTGTTCCGATCCCCATATGAATACTGCGTCCTTGCATGTAAGGTTGACGAGAGGTCGGGTGATCTTGGAAAAATTCTTAATGAAGATACGGAGGACTCCGCATGTTCTGAGGAAGCCCCGCACTTGTGTGACGTTGCTACACTCGGGCCAATCTCGGATTTTCTGCCCTTTGGACTCTTCCGGAACCCTGCCTTCAAATGTGCATTTGTGACCAACAATGATAGTGGTTGGCATGGCTAAAATGAACTTAGTAGCAGATACAGTAACACCAACGTTTTCGAGCCTCTGGAGTATGTGGTTGATTACCCTGCAATGCTCCCATATGAACCGGCAGATTCCCAGGTTCTCCGGAATAGTCTCGTATGAGCCGTCAGCTCGCTGATACCGAGTTTTTACTGATTTAACGGGGACATCATCAATAAACGGAGAAGTATACTCTGGTATCTTGTGCTGCAGAATGAACACCGTATCCCCTTGGTATACTTGGACTGCGTTAGCATGACCTTGTGGCAGCGTAGTTAACCGATGAGGTCTGAGTGGGGTTTCGAAGGTTGTCAGGTCGTGCGAGTCCTCGTGCAAGGCTCACTGATCATAGCCTGAGTACAGATCCATCATACCATATACTGTGTATCCTGTGAAGGACTCGGCGAGTTGCTCAATGAATGGCGGGACCGAGGAGTCTCGTATGCTTACTGCATTGAGCGGCTGCAAGTCATGAACTAGACACAGGGACTTTCCGTCTTTCTTGACAACGCAGAACCAGCGAGAGCAGTATGCGGCGGTAGACGGTTCGTAGACTCCGGAGTCAATTTTCTCTTTAATGATTCAGATAACTTTGCCGACGGTTGCGGGTGGAATAGGGATGTTGTGCTGAGACCATGGGGTATGTGGGATCATTGGAATTCTGTACGGCAGAAAATAGGTTTCATTGAGACGTCCGTGTTCGCTCGCGTCCCAAGCAAATGCCATTTTGTGTGCTCTAATGAGCCAACGTATGAGCTTCAGTTCTTTGGGCCATAACCAATTTGCCAGGTCTAAGTCTAGGTTGTCAGATCTCTCTTGCGTGTAGCGGATGCCCGGAATGAAGTCAGGCGGAATGGATGGCAGTGTAGGCATGCTGGCCAAAGGATCATCAGGTAATTTCCTTATAACTCTATATTTGGGGGCCATAGCCGTTTGTACAGTCCGGACTTTCTTCGCGACTGGCTTATAGACCAGCACGTGCTTGTTTTTGTTGAATGAATATACACTGTTGAAGGCATGGACAGATGAGCGGTTAAAGACCAAACAGGTTGTTACGAGATAATTATAATGCGCCGAGAGGAATGTGCGGAGTATTAGTGCTCCGTGAGAGCGAGGTTTGCACAGATAGTGTGAGGCAGTGATTAGTTTCGGAAAATAAATTATAAGGAATGATGGAGGATGCAACAGTTCGTAAGTCTCCCCGCGATAGCAGATCATCGGTACTTAAAAACCCTTCGGACTCGGATGGTCCACACACAACATATTGTGCCTACACTTAGCACACTTTCTAGCCCAAGGTTCCGTAGGTATCCTGATAATTTTGCCGGTGTTCGGATCGGTGAGCGTGACAACCAACCGTGACTCAGTTTAGACGTTGTAAGGTCTTTTATCGCCTTCCGGATATCCGGTGAAGCTGTGATTATGTCCCTTATCAGCAAACTTACGTCTGTATCCAGAATCTTATCAACGACCTTCTTTTCTGTGTCCTTATCTTCTAGCGGGAATGCATAGCGATATTGCGGTGCTTGCGATGATGATGCGGCGGCGGCCAGAGTTGCGATAGGTGCCTTAGTAGCCGGTTTTAAGACAGAGGTTCCAGGGTTCAGTGCTTTCCCAGTCTTTGCCTCTTTCACTTGTGGAGATACAATCTCCTCCATTTGTTCTGAGGTTTTTGACGATGGGCCTGGCCTCGGGCAGTGATGATACATTGACACCGTCAAACCATACACTTTTCCCCTTGTTTGTCTTCTTCACGTGCTCGGCAGTAAATACCACATATTCTTGGTTTGCATTCCAAGTGTTCAAATTCTTCCTCGTCTTCCGGTGGTTCGCTGCGGGTATGCATGAATGCAGATGAGTCGATTTCCACAACTATCTCAATGTCTGGAGCTGCGTGGCAATATAGCCCAGCCTGGACCTGAATAGTGTTAGCTCCTGTTGCTGGTGATTGACTGGCGAACGTGTTAATTCGTTGCTTCATTGATCTGTCCTCTCTTCCGCTGGGAATCCTACTACCATCTGGCATGAATACCTTACTGTCCATCTCGATTATTCTTCCGCTTGTAATGTACTCTCGGCGGTGACTGCAGTACCGAGCGATGTGGTTCCGACCCCCGCAAAAATAGCACTCGTATTGCGCATTCTGCAAGTTATATTCCTGTTTCACAACGACACCGCCGGAAGGCTGCATTATCGGAACCGTACTTGTGGACATGTGGGGAGCTTGGCTAGTTGTCCGAAGAGGTATACTGGTGGCGACTACTGCTGCTGCTCCCGGTAGTAAGAATACTGCCGCTTCGTATACCTTATCCATTGGGTATGGTTCATCGGGGTGATGCGAGGTCATCATGATCTCTAAGTGCCTGCGGATGTTAGTACTTGTAGTATTGTGAATACCCTCTAGAAACAAGTGGTCTCGTTCGAGCTCAGCAAGCTTCTTCTTTACCATTAAGAATTTTGACACTTTCAGAAAGCTCCGGTAGTATGTACCGAATTCGTCGCGAGTCCAGATTGGAATCTGAGCTTGTTCTGTGCACAGGTTTTCTAGGTCTGTACGCATGTAATGTCGGTCTCCCTCGCATCCTGGGTACAAGAGTTTTAGTGCGTTGTAGAACTTATTTCAGTCTCTCAGTCCCGCTTCTTCTAATATTTCCCATGTTTTGGACTCATCCACGGGCGCATAGCAAATGGCTGCTTTTATGCGCGCTTTGTCTCTGAGACCCGCATGGTCAGCAAGTTGGATGACATCTTCCAAGTATGGGATGAGATGGGTAGGTGTCCCATCGAATTTCGGAGTGGTGTCCGTACTGCGGAGGGGCATTCTAAATGGTGCAGATGACATAGCTGCAGGTTGCAAGGTGGGTAGCGATATGGGTTTTGTTGTGGTTAGCTGCGAAGAGGCTGTGATGAGTGGAGCGATATTCAGAGCGGGGATCTTTGGTCCAGATAGTGAGGGTAGGGCTGCGACGCATTGTCTCGGCGAAGGTTTCGGTAGTTGCGGGGTTACATCAAGAAAAGGGTTATCTGGTGATGGCGTGCAGGGAAATGTCGTGTTGTGGCTTTCTGAATCTAAATAAAATAAGGAGTGGATTAAATTTAAAGGATTGCCTGTGTCTTCTTCTTCCCAACGTTCGGTGAGCTCGGTAGAGTTGAGGGTACTCGGGGAGAGTTGCCGTATCACAATATTTTCAGATGACGACAAATCTGGGATGACCGGTATCAAAATATCTCTTGGAATAATCTCTAATGTCTGGAGAAAGCGGTGAGGATTAATCCGAAGTTGTTTATCTCCGACTGTAAAGGAGTCCCTCGCGGTGTCCTGCATGATGTGGGAATCATGCATGGACATGAATACTAGGTGACCCTCAAAAGATAAAGTCTGTTAGCTTAGTCCTCAGACTAGTCAACCCATACCTTGGTTTCAAACCATGGTCCATATTTCCAGTTTTCCCCAAGTTTTATGATCTGAATATGTTTTGACGAAAAAAAAAGTCTAATGTGAGATGGGAATCACATTTAGACCTAGTTGATGTGAGAAGAGAAATGAAGGTTAAGGTATAGCCTTGCCTTTGGCTTATTCACTTTGGCTAGAGAAAACCATAGAGAAAAGTACAAAGCCTATAAAAAACCTATCCAAAAAGACCGTGTTTCAATTCCTGCCAACTGTCTTATTTTTGCTACCTACTTTTCTCTAGTGTTTCTTTACTTTAATTTTTCATTAGGATGCTTTGACTCACCTGACACTTCATAAAATTGTACCCATAGGGTATGATGTCATTATGATGTCATAAGACTCCACAGATACTCCTGCAGGTATTCTGTTGAAAGATATTATGTCATCAAGCTCTAGATTATTCTACTCTACAATGACATCATTCATGATGTCATTTCCTTCTAGAATATTCTGCTCCACAATGACTCACTCTGACTCACTCATGGAAGGTTCTGGAATCTTTTGCTCCACAATGATGTCACTCTTGATGTCATTATGATGTCATTACTCCACATTCCAGAATGTTCTGCTCCACAATGATGTCATAGCTCCATCTTTCACTTGTATTTTATTCTTTTATTGGGTTTGACCCAATATTTTGATTGGTCCTTCTTATTTTTTATTGTTTGTGAACCTAGGTTACTTTCCCACACAAAATGTATATAAGGAGAGCCCATTCTCCCCCCAAAAAAATATGATCTCCCATTTGTAGCTATCTGCCTATCAGATCTTTCACTTGCAAAGTTAGTCCCTTTGAAGTGAGACAAGTGCAGGGAAAAGAATTCCCTTGAGATTATAAGTTTCTTACCTTAGAAACTTATTTAGTGCTATAGACCAAGCGTTCTTGGTCATATATATAGTCTGAGACCCCTTTGTCTTATTGCTCTGTGCCCTTTGACTAAGCGATCTTAGTCATCTATCATATTGTTGAGACCACGTCTCACTAGTTGTCCCATAGACCAAGCGATCTTGGTCAAGTTATAGTCCCCTTTGTTCAAGCGATCTTGAACATATATTGTATATTTGAGACCATTGTCTCACAGTCAGGTGTCCATAGACCAAGCGATCTTGGTCATATTTCGTATATTTGAGACCACGTCTCACTAGTTCCAGTATCCAAGTCCAGAGCCTAGAAGGAGATTTCCTAGGCAAATACATTCCAGAAACCGAATTACATGTCTAGAAGCTTATTCCTAGACAAGAGATTTGAGTTTCAATAAAGAAAAGTAAAGCTCCAGCTAGGTTGATCTTTATAAAAAGATTAGTTTAGCGAGCCTCCCAAGAACTCACACGTTATCTACCACGAAATAGGAAAAGTTGTAGACCATGTTAATCGAGGACTGGCAAGCAGTCTTATCCAAAGTGTAATTGTGGTGTCATTACATTTACACGACTTTATATAAGACCCTCGGTTATTAAGACAGCGGTGGGCTCCAGTTGTAAAGAGTAGATCTGGGCTGGGCTCTACTGAATGTGAGTCCCTAGTCCTGAGAGATGTGAGTATGCTTCGTCCCAAGAGACAACCTAAGAACTACCTTGATAATGCAAGGGAAGTCTTATACAGTTAGAGAGTAGACAAGATATTGGAAGAAAACCTCTTTAATGTTTGTCCGTAGTTCCGAGACTATTTCTGAAGTACCGAGGAACTTGTCCGATGCGACCGAAGGTCGTCCAAAGCTGCGAAAGTGTTGTCCAAAGTAGCGCAATGCCTTCCGAGGCTTGCGAAGGCTGTCCGAAGGTCAATATATGTTGGTGTGTCGATGTGTCGGTATGTCGGTGTGTCAAATAACAGTATAAGACTTTGCGAAACATCCAAAGTCCGGAACGACACTAATCTATCGGAACTCAAGAATAAACGAAGTGCAAAATTGGCAGCGGTCTAGCCAAACAATCGTTCTGAATGAACAAAGATTGATTGCGCAGTTACGATTATACTGAGGTGACTCTACTAATTACTATTCGAAGTATGGGAAGTGAAGTGTCCTATCAGTAGCCAGTGAGCAAGATTATATCCTACTTCCGTGAGAGACCAGAATCCATAGGTGAAACTAGTAGCGAGATAAGCAAGTCCAAACCTATGAAATAAGCCGCGATGCATACTGCTTATACGTATTCCGAGGCTCCCGACAGGATGCCAATGGAATTGTTATCCGTGTAGCATTAAGACATAGTCAACATATAGTTAGAATAAGGGAAAACACACCAGTGAAGTCAAAAGGATGAGACGTAGGTGTTGGATTGCCTGGTTTCGAGCCCAGCGCCGCAACCATCATTACAGTGTCCTGCAACTCAACAGAAGTACCTAGTACTACCAAGAAATGCCAAACACGTGAGCACCAACTTGTGATATCATGATGACTAATTTAAAAGTATTGTCTAGTTACCAAACCACAAGATTCTGATGAAGGCCGCATGAGCCCTGTCGCACAAATGAAAGGTCAGTCAGCTTCATCTTAATTGTATTTGGTAGTTCAGCAACCTTACAGGTGTGGCAGGAAGAGAAAATGAGCAGCGGTCAGGCTCTTCCCAGCAGGCAATTGACAATGGTTTTTTAGCAGATGAGCCCATCAAGGAGGTCTCTGATTTCCAACCTAGTCACAATGACTCGGAGGAGGACAGTGAGGAGGAAATCGAAGACGATTTGGAGGAGCCCAAGTCCTTATCAGCTGAAGTAAGTGTCATTGTTGTGCTTACTGTTGACAGTAACTGATCATACCTTCAATTGGCTTCCCTCAGACACCAGTGTTTGTTTCAAGGTTGAAAGCCGAACGTGCTAATTTCATTTTGACCCAACCAACCTGGCCTTCCACAACCACCTCAAAGAAGCTGACACAAATGGTTGAACCATTCCCCTTCCCATCGTCTCAACCAAGGACTACCAAGGTAAGTTGACTCAGATATCTACTTCTGTGTTGAAATTATAATACCACCCCTCAGATAAACAAAACTCAGTCTGCACGTGATCATAAACGAGCAAATGAGGTGAGTGAAAATTCTCTCGCAGTTATTTTTTGCACTCAAATGATTTGCATCCTCTGCAGACACCTGTCTGGGCAGATACTCAAGTTGTCGTGTCAGACAAGGAACCTAAGCTGACGCGGACTGCTGAATCATTCCCCTTCCCATTGTCTCAACCAAGGACTACCAGGGTAAGTTGGCTCGGATATCTACTTCCTCGTTGAAATTATCATACCACCCATCAGACAAAAAAACTCAGTCTGCACGCAATCATAAACGAGCAAATAATGTGAATGAAAGTTCTCTTCTTCATTTAATCGATACCGATCCTCTGCAGACACCTGTCTGGGAAGTTGTTGTGTAAGATGAGGAACCTGAGGCTGCCATGGCATCATATGACCACAGTGACTCTGAAGAGGATGACCCAGATGCTCCTATTGATTACTCTGGAAGGCCCAAGGTCGTACAGTCGGACACTGGTAAGTTAAAGCTGACGGATCAAGATATTGACACCCATCGTGTGGTCCAAAGAGCAATATTAGAGGCAAAAGTTCACATGACATTTGTCAACAGCTATCCGGAGCTCACGGAGAAGAGCCTTTTCATGCGGGATGTACTCTTAACAGCAGCTCATGTCTGCGGTGTTTCACCTATCCAAGATCGCCTCAAGAGTGATGACTCATATGTGACAGCTCTCGCCACGCTGGTACGCTCAAGAGTTAGACTCTGCAATATTACTAGTTGGTTGAACCTCGCATACAGGTCGAGGCTCGAGTGCCACTTTTCCGCACTGAATTAAAAGATGATGCTTGCGCTCAAGTATCAGTGTATTATCGTCTTGGCCCTGACTGTGTCAACACTGCAAAGGCTTTGCTGATCAACCATGTCTACCACTATGAACAACATTTTAATGTAAGTGACTGTGTTCCTGGTTATGCATATTGATTTGCTCAGTGTCACGCACACTCTCCAGGAGAAGAATGACTTCATTCCGCAGTCAAAAAAGCCAATATTTTACCATATCTAATGAAGGGGCGCTACTTCAATGGGCTCAAGTCAGTCAGGGTGAAATTTTCAGACCACTTCAAGAAGATTGCGAGCAACAAGGCCCAGCAGCCTGAGGTTACAATTCCAATGGTTGCTTTAACCAGTACTTCAATATATTTATTGATCTACTCTGAGCCCAGTCCATGTACTAACAATGAGCACATAGGTGTATGCCGCACTCTTCTGGAAGGCTAATGGATCCCCATCTAAGTTCAATTTCACTGGCAATCTATTCAGCGAGGTCTACTTTTTTCACGTAAAATTTCTTGAAGACATGAAGGTGATGGCGCCACGTAAGTTTCACAAGATGTGGCTGATATTTTTGAGGCTATCCAGTGAGTTCATTTTCGTGTTGTGTTAACTCATCTGTCTGAGTCTCACACCTCACAAGGAAACTCTGCACCAGTAGCAACACTGCTTTAGTAGGATCACACAAGTCTGCAATGGCTTTCCTTGATATCAACGGCATGGACGATGAGGAGTAGATTTCTTATTTTACATCATCGCATTCACATATGTGACATATATTGTTCTCGATGTTCCTTTGTTGTCTTGCTCTCTATGAAGCTATGCCGATGTAGCAATGGTCGCGGCATTGGGCTCAAAACCACATATTTCCATACTCGCGCCAACACCCGAAACATATGTGCACATGTCTGACGCACTTTTGCACATGTCCGAGCCACTCTGTATCAGATCCGGCACATCAGACCTTCGGACATCGCATCGGCCGATCGCACTTCGCGCACACTTGTCCATCCTGTATCCTGTCCATCCGAACTAGCCTCACTAGGTGCGTAGTTATTTTCGTGCACATTTTCTGACATTTGTACCGCATTATTACATGTCCGCAACACCTCGTGTCTTATTACATAGGACATCGGACCCGAAATATATCACTACTATCTTCGCCTGTAGTTTTCCAAATTTCTACGTACTTACTTAAATACTCTGTGGTAACCCGTAGCAATCATGATCCAGTAGTTAGGGGCCGTTTCCCGACTCTGCGGATCACCCAGAATATTCTCGTAGTTCTTAGTTGGATTGCGAAATATTACCATTCGTTCACCGTCATACTCTGTCACTCGTTATAAAGTTTCCGACCTATTATCGTGAAGTCCGAAAGTCCGAAATCTCGGACATCGCACTTTGGCTTCGGACATTGGATAAGTACCTTCGGACATCATCAGATTACCTTCAGACATCGTTTCACAGCATCGGACATTTTGTTATTTGCATTACTGACACATTTTTACTACTAATACCAATTAGCAATCCCTTTAGGATCAAACGCACTTGCTCTGCAAGTATAGCAGCATAGGTCATGCTAAGATCTACCTAAATATTTGTTGTCTAGGTAGTACGATTTCTGCTGAGCCCAGCAGAGATCAGCTTTCTACACCGATATACCCTCTTTTAATGAAAACTTAATTTGTTCTTGTATAATGTTCGAACGCAAACAACAAAAACTGAACAAACCATCAAATAAGGTTCTCATAACACTCTGTAAGTTTGTGAATTTGTTTAAAATTATTACTAAATTAGTGTCCATGAGTAGGATCTGGTGGGGCAGTAAAAAAGATTCTCTAATCTGCTAAGTTGTCTACTTTTGCAAAATTACAATGTGTTAGAGAAAATTTTATTAAACTTCACATACTTAGTCTAGGTTTGTATCAGAAGGTTTTCCTGATGTGGTCCTGTGGAGTAGTAGAGGATGCCCAGCAGTGCATTTTGTATTAGGGGTGTGATGTATGCTGTAATGATATAAGTATTTCAACAATTCTTCATAACAGACAGTGTCATGGAAGTGTTCATTTGGTTGATGCTGAAGGGACGAATGAAGAGGCCAGAGGGTTAACAATAGACATTGATATTTAGCAAGCAGCAGACGTAGCATTCGTGTTGGTCGTGGAGGCAAGACAAAATATAACAAAGGTCAGCGCTAAGGGCTCCTCAGGGTCTTACATAGGCAATTGCTCGTACCTTGAAGTGACACAACTTCTGGGAACCGGACAAGTAACAGGGATGGGTAGTGTTGCAGGCAGAGCTCTGTCATTCTGCCATGTGGCAGGGCAGAACCTCTGAGACATAATGTGGCAGGACACGTGTCCGAATTACACCATCTAATCATATTACCCCAACACACAAAAGAAAGCCTATGACGAGACTATGACCCCAAAGGATCCCACTCTGAAGCAAAAAAAAAAAAATGGCAGGACTCCCGCATATGCAGAACCAGTTCAGTGTATGATAGTGTCAATATTAATTGAGAAGCTTTAAGACTCTCTATAACGGCTACGAAGTCTGGAGGCCAGCGAGCTCTGAACACGCATGAGCACCTCATCAGGAAATTCTCACATTACTTTATTTGTCCTTAAACAGACTTAATACACTTAAGTGTCTTGTTGAAAGGTGGATCTACTTGTCCAACATTTCAACTTGAATATATTCAGAAAGGAAATGTTGAGGTATATTGATATATATGTTTTATTATGCTTCACACTAGAGAAATATGAAATATGCCAGGTAAATAATGTGAGAGAGAGCAAACAAGTTTTGAGATAAGTAGGTTAAGCTGATTAAGGAGATTAAGGAATGTGAGAATTTCCTGATGCTCACGAGTCACGTGCTAGCCTTCGGTATCATATATCCACCTTGGGAGAATGCTGCTGATAGCAAGTCAGCGCAACGTCAGACGCCGTCACGCTCACATGCATACAAACAAACTTTCAGGCAGTATACAGAGGCTGCCAAGCAACCCAAGATCGACTTTGCATTTTTTTTCTTCACAACAGTCTCTCCGGTGAGAATGGTCTAAATCGATCTTGCTTCATGAGATTGATGCCGAGGTTGCTCGACTCAAAGATATTCGTAATGCAGAAAAAGTGATGGACATGGAGTTTGCCTCAGACTGGGACATAAATGGGAAAGAATTTTTAGAAGAAAAAGCACTCGACACGAAGATGGGAATTGGAATATTGATTCTATTTTGCTGTCGAATGGTAGCACGATTTTCGCAAAACATGGTTCTGCCCGGTTCTGCCAGGTTCTGCCGCCAGGACTACCTTAGAATAGTTCTGCCCACAACATTAGCCGGTCTGGTCACTGCGTAAAAGAAAGTAAAGGAATGCCGCAGAGCATGAGGCGGCATCCGGTTTGTCCCTGAGCATGCGACAATAAAAGTGCTTGGCTGCACCATACACTAATTGTGTATAAAAGCCACTCTACTCGTTTCAGCTTAGAAAACTCCACCATGAAATTTACTTCACTCACCACCATTGTCATTTCTGCCACAGCAATGGCTGGAGTAGCCATCGCATCAATACACGTGGGCGAAAACTGCCTCCCCGCCAGTGAGCACTCTTGCAGCCTGCCTAAGACCCCGCACTTACGGTTTATCCACAGATTCAGCAGTGTGCTATGTGGACCTCGACAATGTGAAGAACAACGATGTCGGGTTTTACTGCGGATCTGAAGGCACAATCATATCAATCGAACCATGCGATTGTAGAAAATGCTGTGTCGTGGATACTTGGACATCATTCAGCTGCCAAACTGTGAATCTGTCTTTCGCTGCTGCCTTTCGAGTCCGAGTGCTAATGTGATTGATTAGAAAGGAAAGCTGTGATGTAGTATCAATATTAATTACCTTGGTCATACAAGGTCTCTCCAATGACAATTTTGTAGTTGTGGTGTTTCACAACCACCCGTGTGAATTGTTCGTATCGTTCAACATGTCAGGACTCTCAGCAACATTACTGAAGATGCTATTTTTCAAGCTTGCATAACCAGTTCTCCTTGCGTCTTATAACTTCGCGACTGCGTGCGACAATCGAAATACACGTGTACATTAGAATAGACTTGCATGCGGCCCGTCAGCTGGATCAGGCTGTTATGTAGATTTAGATTCGGCGCCTGTCCCCAGCTCCTCAACATATCCACCAACTGGCAGAAGCGTGAACCTCACATCGACTACCAGAAACCCTCCATCCCAATTTCCAAACAGTTTTCAGGTAGTGAGCATCTTCCGATCCCCGGGAAGCGAGCTTACCAGCGAACAGTATTTTGCTATGCCATCATCCAACGTCCATTCTGCTAACAAGGCGCCGATGTCCCAGCAAGGACAAGATACTGGCTTCAGGCCCGTTGTGCCTCTCGAATTATCTGCTAATCGTTGGGTTCCTACGAGCGCAACTCGCAAGGGTTCGAGTCAACTTAATGTTGATTCACCTAAGTTGATCGACCGTAAGGTTAAAGCACTGCTCGACAGGCTTACGATGGAGAAATTCGAGACGATTTCAAACCAGATCATCTACTGGGTCAACAGGAGTGTGAATGAGAAAGACGGGCGAACGCTCATCCAAGTCATCCGGCTGGTGTTCGAGAGGGCAATCAGTGAGGATGTGGACGGTTGGAGTGAAATGTACGCGAGGCTGTGTCGGAAGATGATGGAGCAGATCAGTCCTGAGGTGCAGGATGCCGATATTAATGATATGGAGGGCAAGCCCATTGCTGGCGGACAGCTGTTCCGTAAGTATCTCCTCAACAGGTGTCAAGAAGACTTTGAGCGCGGGTGGTTCGCCAATGAAGCTGCTGCTGCAGCGAAGGCTTCCGACAATCATGCAACCCGGGCTGCTAATGACAAGAAGGGCACGGAGGAGGCTGAACTCTATTTGGATGAGTACTACGCTGCACAGAAGGCGAAGCGTCAGGGTCTTGGTCTCATCAAGTTCATCGGCGAGCTGTTCAAGTTCCAGATGATCACAGAGCGTATCATGCACGAGTGTGTGAAGAAGCTGTTGTGCAACGTCGAGAACCCAGAGGAAGAGGAGATTGAGAGCTTGTGTCAACTATTAAAGACAGTCGGCCAGTTGCTTGATACGCCGAAAGCCCGCGCGCATATGGACGTTTACTTCACGCGCATGAAGGAGTCTCAACATCAACTCTCGTGTGCAGTTCATGCTTCAGGTGTGTGGTATTTCGGGGTATCTTTGTCGGTTGTACTCACTGTGATCTCAGGACGTTATTGAGTTGCGTGACCGTAAATGGGTCAGCCGGAATGCTGTTACTGCGCCTACGACGATCGCCGCTGTTCACGAGCTGGCAAGATAAACCAGTGTCGCAGAAATATTTGGACTGACACTTATGTTACAGGCCGCTAAGGAGAAATCAGCTGCAGAGAAGGAGTCTTTCAACCGTCAGATAAGCATGTCCCGTGGTGGTTCTCGACGCGGCGACAACCGCAACCAAGAGCATGGCCCTGATGGCTGGGCTGTTTCAGGTGGCAGCTCTGTTCCGCGGGCACCTTCCAAGGCCGGTGATCTGTCGCAGTTCGGCAAAATATCCAAAGGCCCAGCCATAGGGATGGTAATGGGTCCGGGCGGCGTCTTCGCGGCCGGCAAGAAGAATAGCAAGCGAGAGACACTTTCCCAGACGAATTCAAGTTCGAATATGTTCTACATGCTCAGTCAGAATCCTGAACTCGCCGCTGAGGCATCTACGAAACCTAGTCGTTTGTCGAGTCGGAAACCAAGCGTTGACCTTGGCCACACTAGTGTTCCTCAGCCTACCGTACAGCGCAGGAAGCTCCAGCTTCTTCCACGGTCCGTTCATACTGAAGAGAACACCATGACTCCTTCAAAAGAAGAGCCCGAAAACGCACCTACTAGTACCGCCATGTCAGAAGCAGACGCGAAGAAGAAGGTTGATGAGGACGTGAAGGAGTTCTTTGCTGTTCGCAATCTTGAAGAGGCGGAGGTCTACTTTACCAATCTTCCTGACGAGCACCGTTTCCGGCTTGTGAACAAGCTGGTTGCGTCCGCGCTTGAGAGCAAGGAGGCGGATGCGAGATTGGTCGGTGAATTCTTCGCACAGGCTACTAGTAGTGGGCAGTGTACGCTTGAGGTTATTGAGAGGGGTTCATGCCTATCGCGGAGCTTTGGGACGATACTTGCCATCGATGCTCCAAAGGTGTTTGACTACATGGCTATTATGCTCAAGGGCGCTGGAATCGAGAATGAGCCTGAGAGACTCCGGCGGATCGCTTCGAAGCTCGAGAATAGCGACAAGCTAGTCTCTCTCGTTGCATGATCTGTCCTACTCGCATCGCACATTTTCGATTCCGCACCTGCATTTTCGTTTTCATTCCTGTTTCTGATCGTATGGCACACGTTCTTGGTGTTCTGCAAACTAATATGTACATCGCACGACACTTTTGTGTTTGTCCCTTTTTTTTTGTTGTCGTTCACTACAGCGGCATAGGCTGTAGCTAGCAGTACAGTAGGTACCAGCAATATCATTTCAGATCCTACCGTTGGCTTGTTTAAATCCGGTAAGTATAAGGCAAGCCTCATTGCAAGAAACCGTATGGACACAGTCATACGCGGCTCGTCGGCTGGATCAGGCTTTTTATCACGCAGATTGGGCGCCATTCTCCAGCTCCTCAACATGTCTGCCACTTCGACTACCAGAAATCCTCCGTTCCAAACAGTTTCCAGGTGAGCATCTTCCGATCCACAGGAAGTGAGCTTACCAGCGAACAGTGTTTTTCTATGCCATAATCCAACCACCGTTCTGCAAATAGCCCTGCTAGTGACTGAATTGCGCGCTCCGATGGTGCACACGCCCAGCCAGGTTAAGACGTGTAGTAGTGCCAACAAGGCACCAATGTCCCAGCAAGGACAAGATACGCCAAGGAGATAGCAGCTGTAGAGGAGGGTCAGACTCGAATGAGCAGTGGATCTCGAAGGATCATTGACCGCAAACAAGAGGATGGTCCGGTCCTGATGGCTGGGCTGTTGTAGCAGGTGAATATATTCCGCGGGTGCTTCCCAAGGCTAGTAATCTGTCACCGTTTGGCGACATCACCAATGGTCCACCCAGTCCAGGCGACTTCGGGGCTGACACAAAGGATAGCGAGCGGATGGCACTTTCGCAGACACGCTCGAGCTCAAATATGCTCAACGAGAACCATGAAACCGCCCCCGAGGCGTCCACAAATCCCAGTCGTTCGTCGATGCCGAAGGACTCAGTACATGCATCGCCGTAGCAACTCCTGAAGATAGTACTAGTATGTCATGCAGGACAAACTCAGACTTCTGCGTCGAGCACTCTGTCCCGCTATCATGATGATCTTTCTTGGGATGTGTTCGCCAGGGGTGGGCAAAACCAGGAGGAACGATCACGTTCTCTGTTGGGGCGACTTAGGTAGCCTGAGGGACTTTAGGTTGAATGAGACCGTTCCTGCATATATAGATTCTTGAGAACTTGAAGTGGAGTTGTCGGAAAATCGGTCTGGCTGGAGTTATGTAAGTATGTAACGTGACCTAATTATCTAAATATAGCAACTCACCCGGCGCTTTTTCCTACGGGCTTGTCTACCACTTGTACTACTTTGCCTGGAATGAGCGCCAGTCCTACCCGACCTAGCTCTAAGCGCATCAAACTCGAGTCGTCTTCGACATCTCCGCCATTGTCAGACAACCCTTTAACTTTGAATGATGAAGACCTAGGTCATGATCACTGCGTCATTTGTCTGCAATCCCTGATTGACCGAACTGTTATTCCAACTTGTTCCCATGAGTTCTGCTTTGAATGCATTTCGATTTGGGCAGGTGAGCCCGGCCTTCGTTTCTACTTCAGTCATTGGCAAACATGTTTTCTAGAGCAATCGCAAAAGTGTCCATTGTGCTCCCAATTGATTGGTGAATATGTTATACATCATATACGTTCGCAGTTCGACTATCAGAAACATTATTTGCCCCCACCACGCTCCTCGTCACCACAGTTATTACCAACAGGGGAATCCCGTGTACGAGTTGTCCGACAGGCACGTAGGAATCGCTACTGGGGCCGCAGGGATCGTGATGATGCTGATGAACTTGAACGGGCAATCGCCAGAAGACGTTGGGTGTACCAAAATCATCTTTATGCAAAGGTATGTGCTACTTCTCACATTCACTCACGCATCTCACCTCGCCCAGCATGTCGCGTCTAACTCATTCACCCGGTACCGTCCCTACCCTAGTCCAGCCCAGTTTGCAGCAAGTCCAGACATGATAAGTCGAGCCACCATCTTTCTCCGCCGTGAATTGCGCGTCTGGCAGAATCTTGATGTTGAGGTACGTGCGTCGCAGTCGCTTGTGTGCCACTCTGCGCCTTACTCGCATCGCTGACTTATGTTCTAGTTCCTCACGACGTTTATCATTTCTCTCATGAAATCAATAGACATACGAGCTGAATCTGCTGTCAAACTTCTCTCCGAATTCCTAGACCTTGATACTCCATACGTCGAGGGCCAAAGGCACCCAAACGCCGAACATTTTGCACATGGTTTGTGGTTTCTTTCCACCCATATGCAACACCGTTTTATTTTCTCATCAACCTGCTCCTAGAAATATACTGTTTTATACGGAGTGGCCGTGATCTATCGATTTATGACAAATTGGTGCAGGTGTGACACTGTCTCTGAACGAATTTGGGAATCCGCGCTGAATTTGGGCAGTATGATACCTCCCCAGTTTCTCCGCCTCACGAGCAGGAAAGAGAGAGTCGGTGGTGTCGTGATTACCGTTCTCGATCCCGGTCGTCTCATCACCGGTCCCAATCTCGATCTCCGTTATCTCGACCTCCTTCCCCAACTCTACGTCCTGAGCACAGAAGGATTCCTCCCGCAACCTACCTTCAAGAAAGATCTATAGACCATATCTCCCAAGATCGCAGAAACCACCGACGAACTCTCAGCGCAGTCAGCAAATGTCGAGATATACCTGATACCTTGAATGACCAACAGGATCACCTTGACGACACTCGGGAGCAGCTGATTAACAATTCCACGAAGGCAAAAGGAAAAGAACCAGAAGGTCATGACACACCTCTTTTTGGCGAGTGTAAACATCCCTCGAGTGACACGCCACCAAGCATTTCAGGTGAATTTATGCCAAACGCTGTTGTCGAATCCAAAGAAACAGCGGAATCATATACCCCCGGAAATCGGAAGTTCAATACATCTTCTGTAGAGTCCGGTGTTAGACCTTCCCTTGTCGCCCCCGGGCTGGCTCATGTTCCAGTGGATGCTGCTGATAGGATGGACGTCAATTCAGGGCCTGTAGCTCCTACATCGCATAAACGCCCAGGAACGCTTAGTCGTCCCCCTCGAAACCGTACTTTACTAGCATCAGTCCAGGCTCATCTCTCCCAACCCACATCATCAAGAAACAGGCATCACGCAGGCATAACCGTACGCAAAAATGATGTTGCTCCTCAACATTTACCTCATCCATCACAATACCGAGATGCCCGTGATGATAATAGTAGTGGTAATAGTACACCTGTCCTTCTTTCGCAGTTGTCAAGCCTTCCTGCCAATGCGCCGCCTGCTTCTCATTCTTCTCTCGGGGAAGAACGTACGTCGGCGGTAGGGCATCAACGCGAAAGAACTCGGAGCTTGCTTGCCGATTCTATCGCTAAATGCACCGATGAAAAGAACATGTTAGCTGGAGAGGAAACTGTCGTTTGTCCGTGCGGTACGCCGGGCGGAGTCACAGATAAATACAGAAACAAAAGCACGGAAGAACAGCAAACCGATACATCGCTGTGCCCCGTCATCAGCTCTGGAACCGTCAGCGTGCATCCCGCCCCTTCATCGGGACTACCCCCGGACCCAAACTATATTTCAGTGCCGCACAACTCTAATCATGTCGATATCCTTTTGGACGTGGCGGAGAATATCCATCGTGGCAATCGGGAAGTTGCGATATATGAATATCGGAGCAGAATAGGTGCATCACCAGCACGCACTTCCACAGATATGCGGGCAGTGCTGTTGCAGAGACTTGGACAGGAGCAACGGTTGGCTCAGAGAGACGTTACGACCCCGATCTTACACCCTGCGTCGCTAACTGTAGATCCCCTGTTGACGCGTCCTCCCAGTAGTGAGGAAGCTTCTGCGCTGGAGACGAGGCTGCGAACCCGGGCCTTATTGCGCGTCCGTCTTGCGGCGATCAAAAGCAGCTCCAATAGTACTCCGATTGGATTGTAATTCATTTATTCTGCCTGGATCGGGAGAGGGCGGCGGGAGCATTAGTTGTAAGACCGTGGGGTACGTCCTCACCCGGCCACCCGGCCAAGTGGATGATTCTATTGATGTTGGACCCGATATGATTGCGCAATCTTTTTTTTTTCCGCCACATATGTGTGGGGGATGGATCGCATTTCGCGGGACACGGGGCCGCACGTAACGGAATTCCCCGTTCGTCGCCGTGTTTGACTTTTGCTGGAAGTAACGGTACCTTAGAGAGCCCCATCGGTTAATGAATTAACATTAATAACTAAAATTGAGGGGTGACTGTAGCTGGTCTCTGCACAAGGTATGCAAGGTATCAAATCGGTAGTGTTAATCAAAGTATAGAGTTCGGTATGCCAAAGTTAAATGTATTGTTGGCAGGATGCGGAAGATAGTGGCGACAAGGATAGTTATGTGAAGATGGGGAAGTGCTCGAAAAGAAAGACATAGGTGGTAAAAGAACACTGGTTATAAAGGCTATACTGAGATTAGTATGACGAATTTCCGTAGAGATAAACGATTAAGACACGAGGGATGATATGAATAAAAAGGGTGTGCGGCAACGATCGAACAGATAACAATGACGCAAAGGAACGAGAGCGCGGAGAAGAAAAAACGAATGATTAAAAGTTGTACTTTTGTACGGTGTTTCTGGTAAGGAACGAGCATGGTATATCGAATTTGCTAGAAAAACTCATCATTTTTTCTTCATGGAATGCGTGAATATTTCAATCGTGAACCGAAATGAGCGCAAAAGCATCAGCATCATGCAACGGGTGGAGAAAGAAGCCATCAATGGTTTCGGTGGGGTTCGTCGTCATCTGAGCGCTTGCAGCTGCCGTCTGCGGATGAGGAATCCCGTGCATGGTGCCCTCGGGGATCATTCATATCGCGGAAAGTGTTTGACGAACGCAGAACTGAGGATGAGGTGGACTGGCGCTCGGCTAAGAACGGATGAGATTCCCTTGTGCTGGGCAATTCTGTGGAGAGGCGGGGAGCAAAACGATCACGAGATTCAGAGGAGAAGCTCCCTGACGCGAACTGTGTGGACCTTGGTGGACTCGAAAATGAAGCGAACTCCGGGCGAGTGAATGGTGCGAAGCTATTCGGATCCCACTGTGGTTTGGGTTGCAGTGCGAATGGGGGAGGAATGCCTAGCACTGTGGAGATGCGCTGTTCTGTGTAGCGTGTGGGCTCGTGGTGGTGCATGATGCTGGTAGAAGATGGTTTAGAGGGAGGGAGTGAGGACGTTGGTGACACGTAAGGGTCAGTACTGATGCGTGATTGCAAGGCACTAAATTGGATTGGTGGGAGCATTCGCGAGGAAGGAGGGGACTGTGCACCCTCGTGCATTAAAAATGAGCGTGGCGCAAGCATGCGGGGAAGAGGTTCGCGTAGCGTGAGGCTGGGGAACTCCTCAAGGCCGTGAGAGCTGCGGTTTGGTATTGATGAGGTAGAGTCGGGGCTCGGTGCAACGCGGGAATACTCCTCTGAGGAGGTGGGGTAGGGTGACTTGCGCCATCCGGGTATGCCAGGACCTGAGAGCCCAGGGTCAAGTGATGGACCTGATCTAGGCACGGGGTTCCGCGAAGCACAAGCTCCTGAAACATCAGGAAATGATTCCGACATATGGACATCAGGAGCTGTTTGGGTGGAAGAAGCTGACTGTGGGGCGCTTGAGAAGGGACCAAAATGGGCTGGACGAGATAACGGTGCAGAATCGCTCTGAGGACGCCTGGCTTTCTGACGCTGATTCTATTACGAGTCTATATTGAGTTTAAATAAAAGAGTCTGGAAGGACTGACCTGGAACCAGATCTATTATCATAATTTGTGAGCAATGAATGATATTCGTGTGATGATATTACATACTTGGACTTTACGAGCACTGAGACCAATTTGACGGCCTACCTCCTCGCGCATTGTTGTTGTCGGGAAGCGGGACTAAAGTGAATGATTAGACGCCCTGATAAGGGTGGTTGGTGTATGAAGAAATATACCTGTGCGAGGAGTGCGTGTAAGACAGCAGATTGGTGGGGAGTCGTGAGAGTGCGTGTGCGTTTCTTCTTATTAGGAGCTGGTGCAGTTTGAGCAGATAGCTCTGAATGTTGTTCTGGTTCTGTTTCGTTGTCTGCCATACCACTTTGTGAAGAAGTGTCGGAGGCAGAAGAAGGATGTTCGACAGTCATATTTTGTGAATTTGTCCTTCGTGTACGCCTGTTCGTATCGTGATGAGGAGGAGGAGGGTCGTGTTGAATGCGTCGTGAAGGAATCGGAGGGGACGTATGACACTTTGATGGAATATTAGCGGTCGTCGGAGTGGACATTGAATAAAAGAAAATAAAAGAATGAAAAAGCTGATGGTTAGTTGTGAAATTTAACGACACATGGACAACCAGTAAGCTGAGAGGGCCGATATAAAATGAATGAGTCGGGTTAAAATTTGGAGGTCACAATTGTAAAGTTAGTTTATGTATATTGCATCCGCCCCGATTTCCTTACGTGTCATTTCCGGCAACGTTTCTTGCCACAAAAAAAGTTACATGCATACTTTTTCTTCAGGAACAATCCTATTTCGGCTCATATTAAAGGTCCATTAATTTCTCATTTAAACTCCGTGGCTGTGAAAATGATATCGAGAAGCGTTCATTTCACTCAGTCCATGGGAATTCTACATTATCCCGTAATCCTCCGATACCTCACGCGATTAACTTTAATCACTTGCCCGGTCCTCCGTCGCTCAAGTCCGCGACAGTAATAATCACCATGACACTCACAGACAGTATTATGTGGGACCCTGAAAGGCACCCCGTCAGCTTATATGGCGACAAGCGGAACATACTTTCTCACTCCTGTTCATCCATCGTGACAAAGTATGGGCAGCATTTCTTGACATGCACAGCTAAAATGTTAGTTCCTGTCCGACGGTCGTCGCCTTACCTCTATGTTCGAGTATGTAAACAATCACCGCCGGACGCGAGCTCTCGTTCCTTTGCGCACCCATGCATAGTTACACAGGCCTCGATAGCCGCAAATTCACCACTCTGGTGTGAAGCGTTGCAATATGCGTCACGATGCCAAGTCCGAAGACGACGAGAACGGATCCAAGTTGCGCCCGGATACAACCTAATGCCCATAAAATAGTCAAGAATGAGGCTTATGCAGGGACAATGATTATAGTTAATCAGCGGCAATCTCCCCGTAAGTTCACTGCGCCACGACGCAAGGATCAACCTGTGGAAAATAAAAGTACCATCAGCCCTGAGAGCATCCCAACCACAACGTTCGAATTTGAAACCGATTGAGGTGGCTTATAACACGCGTTAATTATATTCCGTTTGAAAGTAATGACCCGGGGTACTCCGCGGCCATTTGAATAGGTTTCCGCGCTGATTCTAAAATGAATTGTCATAGGAAAATATTAATTGACCTCGAGCGATATGTTTTTGAAATTCACATCGCACCTATAGCAGAACAACACACGGCGTCTGCAGCCTCGTGCCACTGCTGCTGTGGAGCCGGGGGTGAGAAAAGCCAAGTCAACACGGAGGAATATCCCATAGATTCCGCGGTAACCGCACAATGAAGTGAAATTATTTCCTGCTCGGTCACCTAGGCCTCACCTAGAGGCTGGCGCAATTGTATATCGCAAACCTCCGCTAAGCAGTAGGTTCGTTTGAATTCGACAGCCATAAACGACCTCTTTGAAATGATTCGCTAGTGCGGGGATAACTTGAATTTGTATGCAAGAAGTCGTTACCTGGCGATGGGCACGGACGCTTCGGTAAAAATCGATACGGCATAAATAGCAACTCACCCTGATACACGAATGAATTGACTCGTGTATGAAACTAGAAATGCATAGATTAGTACCGATGACAAGCCATATGGACGACACTCGGGGCTAAGATTCAGATCATCATGTCCCTGCTTATCTCGGGAACCATTACATAATCAACTCACCAACTGTTCGAGCATGGACGATTTCGACTCTTTTGCAGCAGATGAAGATGGTGCCTCCACGTCGCAATCAGCTGTCGAAACAAGGCAGAACGGTCACGTTCCATCCGGAATTACGCTTGTCTTACCCTCGCTCAAAGCCATCAAGGCCGCGAAGATGGGAAAGAAGACAAAACTGAAAAACTTTGGTTCCATGCAGGATGTAGAGGTGAAGAAAGCGCCAAGGCCTATGAAGCTCAAACCATTGAAGGAGGTATTGGCGAAGCTGATTGGCCAGTTAAAGAAGTGAGTCGTTGTTTGTGACAGGGGTGTTTAGGTCTCTCAAGGATGTGTGGCATGACAGGAAGGATGATTATGCATTTTTTATTTCCCCTGTGGATCCGTCACGAGTTCAAGGATATGCGGAAATGATCAAACATCCTATGGATCTTGGGACTATGTCTACGAAAGTTGCTAGGGGAAAGTACCGTTCATTGGAAGAGTTTACGGTGAGCAATACTCCTTTTGTGTCTCAACTCTGCTGCAGTGGGTCTCCACGCCTTTCATTCGGTCTTGCGATTCGTACAACTATGTTTTTACCCAAACAATCAAACTGGCTAGACCGCGTGGTTTGATAAAACGCTTGCAGAGGGGGCCTCACGCGACACGAGCTGAACTCTGCATTGTCTCTTTTCTTCAGACAGACTTTCGCCTAGTTGTCAACAATGCCAAAATCTTTAATCCTCCCGGAACGATCTATCACACGGAAGCTGAACGCCTTGAAGCATGGGGACTTGACCATATCGCCAAGGCATCTGCCCATGTTATTGAATACGAGACGGATTGGAACATTGATGTAGAACAAGATGAGGATGCTGCTTTGAATATCGATGAGGACGACGATCATATCACTACGTCCACTCCGAGAGAGATCGAGGGGAGCCAAGTTGCCGCGTCACCCGCCCCGTCTTCTGTTCCCCCACAGTATATGAAGCGTGGGCCTCGAGGACCTTACAAGAAGGGTGTATCGGTGGGTATCTCAGAAGGCATTGATGCAGAAGGAAGACTTCCTGGTTCTAAGGATGGCGTCGGGGCATTCCCTCCCGGTTCTGACTGGGCAGAAATGATGGTTGCGCTGAAAATCAAAGGTATTGTTCTATGGGCAGAATATCGAGTCAAAGTTTCTGATGCCATTTGTGTCAAGGCAAGCGTTATAGAACTAAAAAAGAACGACTAAGAATTGAGAAGGAGGGCCTTCCCCATCTTCATGATGGTAGTCTCGACTACACAGAGAGTGCGAAACTTTATATTCATGCGTGCTGCATACGTCTAACAATAGATTAGTGGAAGATCCGTTTTCTATACTCAACGTCTTGGTGCCTGAGCCACTATCTAAACCCCAACTTAATCCACTTTACCCTTCTCTTCGAACAGATAATACAGCGCAACCCCTCTTTCCAGGTCCAGTTAATGTGCCTTCCGCGCGTCCCTTTCCAAAACTGGCTACTCTTGCGGCCTCGACTTCACAACCCACACCACGGCGCAGGCATTGGACAATTGCCCGCAATGCATCGACAAGAGCAAAACTAAAAGAAAAAGAAGACGAGGAGCCTCGGTCAACAGAATCCCTACGCGATATATTTCCATCTGATTTTGGTTCTTTTGCGACGTTGGGGGCAGAGTTGGGGGCGTCGGCATGTTCCGAAGAGACACTGGCTACGTCAATACGAGCCAGTATTGAGAACCGCCCTATTAAAAGAAGCTTGAAAGCGGGAGTTGACAGTGAATACTGGACGGATGAGAAAGCCGAGGAGGCATGGGACTACGTACGGGACGTGGTATACGGTGGAGTTAATGGCTTCGCCTACGTCAGAAGCATAGCCGAATTTGTTAGCCCGCCAGAAGAGATTTCTGTGAGTCATTCATCCCTTGATCATTCGATGTTGTTCAACCGCTCACGTGATGCACAGCAGCAGACAGAGCATACCCACCCCCTGGGCACGTCTGTGGCCCGATACGTAGAGCAACATCTAGTTGATGTCGTCACTCGTGGCCGGCATGAACTATTGTGTACCACGGCGGCGTACCTGCACTCAGTCTTGAAAGAGCCTCTGTCACCAGCGATGGAAGCACAGATGGCAGCCAGCCTCACGTTCCGGCCGACGGTGTTCCGTCTGATACAGGCATTACAGCACGAGCAGTTGGATATGGCAGCGCTTATCCGATCTCCAGATGAGTTGGAGAAAGCTGGTTTAGGCGAACTCGGAATTCCCGAGGGCCCTGCAGTCATAGAACAGGCATTGGAGTGTGCCGTTCAAGCGCTAGATGAACTCGACAAAAAAGTACAGAAAAATGATGGGGTGAAGGTGGAGGACGATGCGATGGATATGGATGGGGCAGAAGAGGACCCTGTAACTAAGAAGCTGAGGTTGACGTTGTTGGCGCTTGCAAAACGCGCCCCACTTGACAAAATTGCGCCTTTACCTGCTGCGCTTGTTCCAGCTCATATTCGGAATATTGTACCGACTATTTAGGACGCTGTTTCTTATTTACGGCGGACAGCCTGGACTGTATTAGATTATAGTATACGTGTAAGCATGATGGTAGAAGTAATAACGCTGAGATTAGATTTTTGCCACGGATTTGGATCTGGCTCTCATCTTGTACAACCAGGGTTTTCAGTGTTTTGTTACCAGTCATAGACTCGCGAACGAATCAATGCAACTTCCACTCCCTGCGCGGGTCCCGGTGTCATGTAAGTAGTACAAATACAGCTAGCTCACTGGCAGGCTGAGGATCAATGCCGCGGCTGCGCAACGCTATCGCTGGCAATACATCACTTAAAAACGTCTTACTTCCGAGTCATCGTCATGATAGGATCTATTACTCAAGTCGGTGGGAACGCCATGGCGGGTTTTACAGCTTGTTCTTGGACCACTGCTTCGGTTGTTTTCGATGAAGGTCAGCAGTTTATCTTTGCATCGATATGCTCACTCTACAGCCAACTGGCTCCAGTTTCGGCAACAGGACGCGATGCACCGGCTACGAAAATTACCTGAGGAGATGTCGAGATTAGCCCAACACTCGTTCGCGCGACCGCCGTCAGATTCCTCGTTGCACTCTCTTTGTATGTCGTCCCGCACTCACGGGAGCTCATGCGCCAGTGATCGACGACCCTACCACGACATCAAGCCTTCTCACTGCCCATGCTTTTGTCATTCACCTCATACCATTCATCTCACTGTCTCTCAACCCCGCTCACACTCCCACTCCCACTCCCACTGACAAAGCCCTCTGCACATGCCGGAGCACTGAGTCTAAACCGTATCATGATTAGTACGATCGCAACCTCACTGCAACATATGTGTATATTGTGTTATCACCTATCTTAGCACTGTATGTCGCTCTTTATACCTGTCTATGATAATTGTCACCTCTGTCAACGGCGAACTGTATCCTTCGTCGAGGAATTTCTGCATATGCCTCCGTGTAATCTTGCATATTTGATCATCTCCCTGCACGCCTGACATCAAAATCAGATCAGTTGATAGCTAATCAGATTGAGGGCAACATGACGCACAGACAAGGGAACGCTCAATGATTGCATACAGACGGGCGAGTACTTCGTCGAGTGCTGCTTCCCCTTTATTCCTCGCCATTCTGATGGTTGTCATGACTTGATCAACGAGCCTACCATATAACTCGTTGGCCTTCTTGGAACTAAACTGCTCCTCGTTCAGATCCTGGGCCTGATGTAAGACAACATTTTAATCTTTATGAAGAGTTGAGGTTGCACCCACCTTCATTCGTTGAAACATTCCCGCACCGGATTCCCTTCCAACAGCACGATAATGGTCCCCAAGTGCAACGCGCATAAGTCCCTTCAAGGACCCACAAAAGTCCCTGCAATGACATGGTCGATGTGTAAACAGATCATGGCGGTGATGAAAGACCTTACCGTCGCATTTTCAAAACGGCTGACAAGTACTGGTCTTGTGCAGGATTGATGATCTCAAATGGATGTATATAGTTACATGCGGTGTCGATGTGTGGTGCAATTGTTGTCGTTCGTTGGGCTCGGTTCTCTGAACAAATGTGAGGTTGTCATTCAAGTTGTCGTGAAGTAGACTACTTACTGATAGCTTTGATTGTCTCGTTGGAACAATTCGAGATATCCTTCAATCAAATCAATAGATCGTAAATCGTGCGCGCCACGGTGCTTACCACCACGAGTGAATGAATTTCCGTTCTTAGAAAATCGTTAAATAATTTGTGCCATGCACTTTTTCGACAATTCAGATGAGCAGCTTTACTGTCGCGAAGTGACGAACCTTGATACATTACCCTGCAACATGCCAAGGGTGAGGTCCTCGTTAAGGTCCGTCGATCGCCATTCACCCTCTCGGCGCATAAGAGAGCGATAGCTGCGCCATGGGTGATTCTCTCCGAGCGTCTTGATGGTATTCAGACTGCGCTCAGCTGCCTAGTGGACAGTCAATATTTCATGAACATTACCGGTCATTGGAAACGAGAATGCGATACTCACCTTTTTACCTTCAATTCGAAGAGCTTGTTCCAGTTCGTCCATGTTGTTGTCAATCTTAGCTCCTGAAGTTTTGCATATCTCTTCGACAGTCTTTTACTTGAATAAGTACATTCGTACTATAAAACAATACCATGTAACTCACATCTTTGAGAGTTTCCAGCAGGCCTCTTGCTGCATCTTCATAGGCTGCGAGCCTCGAATCTCGCCGTGAAGAAAGAAAGTAGCTCTCAATTGATTCCCATAGTGAATTTGACCTGTACGCATAGGCATTGATGTCTGAGATCGCTTTCTTGCAGCCAAAATCGTGGATATAACGACACAATTGCGGAATACCAGTCTAGAATCGGACAGTCATCAGCAACAAGATTTCTGTGAGCCAGAGGCGAGACAAACATTTTCAAGATCAGTAAAAACCACCGGAAATGGGTCTCGTCTATCCGCCACCAAAAGTTGGGTGTAGTCCATGCTTCCAATACAGAAAACAGGTAGCGATGGGGGTTGACAGGCCAAATCCTAACAAAAGAAAAATTAACTATGGTACATTTCGAAAGGTTGGTCTACACACCTGCTTAATACTACAGTACACTTGACGATAGAGCTCCAGAAAGACACTTCGTGCCCTAGAGGATCGTTGGTGCTGACGAAATGTTCACGAGTAAATATCAAGACACTGAATAGGTATACACACTGCAATGTACGTGTCTTTGGCAGCTGTTGCCACTTGCAGTTGACTAGCTGCTGGTCCTTCTGGATCGCGAATTAGGTCAGACTCATTTATGTACTCGAAGTAAATGAACGTCAAACCATTTCTCTGTTCAAGCGTAGGCGTTCCCTCAGCCCCTCGAACTCAGGGCCATCTGTCGGAGCTATGTAAAACTCGAGAAAGAACATGTCCAAACGTTTAGCTTGCTCATCCAGGCTTTCGCTGAGACGGACAATCTCCTACTGCATGCATGAGTGCCGTGAAGCTGGTATCAACTTAACCTAGCTTATGCACCTGACGCATGTTCTGGATTATCTGGCGTTGGTTTGAACTAAGATGATGCAGCTGGTCCTCATTGATTCGTATCTAGTATAAATGTGTGAGGTACATCGACTGAGGGAAAAAAAGACGACATACGTCCGCTCCGGTAAGCAAGACTAACAGCGATTCTATGCGACCATCTATTGCGATAATTTGATGCAAGCTGCAACACGTGAGCACACAGTTCCAGGAAGTTGTTAAACACTTACAATTTCTCAAAGTAGGTATGCATGGCCTACGATGGAATTAACGAGTCAAATTAGATCAGTATGTTCGTCTGTCTTACCTGGTCATCAGCTGCACGCTTGATGTCTGCAACTGATACAAATATTAGCGGTAAGACGAAGCTATTTATCTTTCTTTTCGGACCTAGTATTACTACCTCGACATTTTTCAGGTATTCCGCAGTACGCTTGGTTCTGCGAAGATGATGTCAGTGTAAAGAAACAAATGTCGAGAACGCTACCAAACCTTGTTTTGTTGGCATCCCCAAAACCAGGGACGTCCACGAGTGTGACGGCACCAGATGCAAGCACTTCAAATGCTCCGTAAATGTGGACACTAAAATTGAAAATGAGGGCACCACATGATCAGTATCGCTGAAATGTTTACCTGTCGACAAGGTGCCATAGGGACGGCTCCGACTGGAAATGATTACAGGCTGATCCACATCTAAAATTTCGAGTTACACACCGGTTGACCCCCCGACGAACTCAGATATTGCCGGAGCTGTATGTGGTCAAGTTAGATATTAATAGGATAATATTTATTGCCGACTTTCCTGCGGCTCCAAGTTGTCAAATCCTGCGCCCGTCATTTGAATTTTGGTACCGAGTATGGACGAAACAGGCTCATGTTCCAGGAGCGTGTGTACGTCTTGATGAGGTGGGGGGAATGCAAGTGCACGAAGGCTGCGGCAAAAAAAAACAGTGAATGAAAATTCAGCTTGAATTTGTTAAAACTTACTGAGGATAAACCTGTAACAAGAGCAACATCAGTAGTAGCATTGAGAGAGAGAGAGAGAAAACATCCCTCTTTCAGAATCTCCCAAGCATCTAATGCAGGCCTGAAGTCATCCCGCCCAATAGTTAGAATCCCGCCCGGTTCACAAACAGCACTGTATGTGATAAATGTGATGTGCTAAAAATATTTTTTGTGAACACCTACCTGATATCATCTAGGAGGTTATGCAAAATCTATGGAACATCAGCTCGTATTTCGAGTGTAAGAGAACATCATAAAAACTCACCTTTTTCCACTCATCTTTTTGTATGAAGTCGACACTTGCTCTCCACGTTGAAGGGAGTAAATTTTCGTATATTATCTCGGTCTGAACAGATGTACATGCGCTGCGCACAAGTGTCAGAACAAATATGGTACAGTATGTGAATATAAGCTGACGCCTGGTAGTCCCAATCGGTGAGCGCTTACGGCGCTTAGGCGACAGTCATCACTCACATCTGCTCGTGTTGATAATACTTGCACTCCCAAGATGGCATTTATGGCCGTACTTTTGCCTGCACCTGTCCTACCAATGAATGCGAGTTTCCTCCTTCGAGGTTGGCATTTGCCAAGTTCATGTGCTTCCGCTTTCCAACCCTGAAGGTCTTTGTCATAACCCTCGCGCCCTCTTGGACCTACTCTTTCGAGCTCTCGTTCCAAATTCTTATTCATGCGCCAGATGAGGTTGTAACACGACTGTGCGTCGTGCGGCAATGTCACGTATATCCCGCGATCTTCAACTTCCGAGCCGCATGCTTCAACATCATCATGTCGCTCCATGGACTGCCGTGAGTCCGAGTCAGTGATCACTTTTCACTCGCAAACACAGGGATCGTTGAAGCTTGGAGGGTTGGAGTCGAAAGCTTATGTCTTATCGATGAAATTGCTCGTACCAAGCTGATCGATTCTGATTCCTCAGGCCTGCCAGAATGGACACTCCGATACTATCAGATTGCAATGAGGTTGCAACGAGGTGTGGAGTTACCAACCGACCGGCTCACAACTTCCGCAATCATGAGGAAAGCTCGAAGTTAAAACGCCGTCCAACGCCCAAGACTACCTTCTCTTGCAAAGCGCCGAAACTTTTGCTATTGCTTTGCACTTTGAAGTTTGAAATGTACAGTCGAAACGATATTCAGCATCAGGGAGACCTGGCTCACAGCACCACTGAAGTTGAGCAGCTTGCTGGTATCACAAACGATCATGGCCAGATCAAACCGTGATAGGAAAGCTTCATGATTGCATCAGTCTGGGTAAGCGATCCTCCAATTCCTCTAATGGACAACATCAAACAATCATGGGACAGGTTCCAGTTCAGACAACGTCAAGGGCGTTGCTCTGTTCCACTTGCCTTCAGCGTTCTTTTTACCTGAACTTATCTAGAAGTAAGTTCGATGCCATCATGAAAATATACGTCGTTTGCTAATCATGAACGCAAGGAACATTCTTCAAGGAGTCAGTTCCAGGGTCAAACGGACTTCAAAACTCATCCTTCGTTGAAAGTAGATTGACGATAGCCGAGAGTACATCCTCGTACGTAGTGCCCACGCTGCCAGTGTGCTTACCCTCAGTTATGATTGTCCAGCACTCCGAAACTTAAGGTTGGGGAGGGGGATGTATCTGCAGGATGCAGGATGCAACCGCCAGTATGCGAAGTGCACCTCGAATAGCGAGGTTGAGCTCAGCTTTACTCATATACCCGCACCGTCATACATGTTGAAGTACGCGATATTGAACGATGATAGGTGGACGAATGTTGACCCTGTCCTTTATCAATCCTGGACCCAATGTGTTTCCTTCGTACTTATATACACCAAGACGACTTCCCCAGGATATCATCCAATTTCATTGGCAAAATCCGAGGTTTAGTTTCTTATACTGCCATTTCCAATGAGCCAAGCCCCAATGTCAAATGAGGATATCCACATCGCTATAGCAATGCAATTCTCTGAATGTATGATATGTTCTTGTGGTCTATCGATACTAGATTTTTTCTGCCTTTTACGACAACACACCTGGTGGTCGAGGGAGATTGGGTTGCACATGCGCCGCGGCAGCATTGCATCGAGCTGTAAAAACGATGCGTAAGGAGATTATACTGGAACAGTGAATCGCTGACAGCTCTTATTGCAAACTGTGATGCCGAACACACATGAACCCTGATGCAGATTATACTAAAATGATATCCTGTTGCATTGAAATTGTATGAAATGTGCAGTCCGTTTAACAGTCACGTTTGTCTTTGGTATGCTCTTGACGAGTTATTCTTCCTCAGAGTCACTGGATTCTGTGTTATCCTGTGGAAGGAGTGATCAACTACACAATTTGGCCGGTTAGATGTGATGACTCACATTGACGTATATTGGCACCTCTGAGCCATCCTCGCGGAGAGGCGCCCACGGAACGGGAGCAGGGATCCACCTAGCACGTCCCTCGGTTAGCTAAAACGTCAGCTTGACAACAGCAACAAGTGCACTCACAACTGTTCGCCTGTGCGTTCTGGGGATGGAGATGCCCGCCTGTTACGAGGGTGCCTGACATGCAAAAGTTCATACAGGGGGGGTGAAGCAATGCTCCGTATTGCATCCGTGGCGTGCTAATCCAGTCTGAGTATCACTCCACCATTTCATCGAAGCCTTTGCTTCAAGAGCACCAATGGGTTCCACAATGGGCGCCGAAGCCACAAGAGCCATACTGATCTTTTCGCCGCCTGCACCTGTATCTATATTGATTTTCTTCGCGATGGGGTAATACACTCACTTGTATCTGAGAGGTACAAGGAGAAAGCAGGACAATAAAACACCTTTGTCACGAGATGCATGGACTGAAGAAGTTTGATGCGCGCGAGCTTCCCGAGGGCGTCGGACGTAATGTGTTTGATGCGAGGGTTATTCATGAGCAAGACAGCGCCAGTGGCGCCTTTCTTAACCTGCCATGTCCCTTTGATACTTGCCGCAGAAATCTCAGGGACGCCTCTGGTAGAAATGATCGGAACGCGATATTAGTATCAAGACAAGACGATCGAATGATAGGGAGCTGGGAATCACGCATGAGAGCTGAGGTTCATGTCGATGCATTTGACGTTCTTAGACCAAGTCTTGAATTCAGACTCATCCGGACAGTCTTTGGCATGATGCTCATCAGATTCAGGGTTGATCCCTGCATCGACGAGAAGCTGCTTGAAGTCATCTGAGTAGATGTTGCCTTCGACGGACAAGTTCCCTGTATGCTTGTCAATCCTTCCGTACGACCCGACCTACTCGAGATCAACATGCAGCAGATGGATATTCAAGCGACCATAACACACACCTGAATTTCGGAAGTGGGTCCCAGTTGGCATACTTTCCAGTTCGATCGAATATAAGTTCGATGAACTTGCGTTGCGCATGCGAATTTGGCTGGGTTTTCCAGGACCACAGTGTCATGGCAAGCAATGAACAGCGAAACGCCCAAGGCAGTGGGCTACTATTTCAAGGCCGCATGCTGCTGTGCCGTGACCGTCGTGATAGACGGGCGTCAAAGTTTGCTAAACTTACTACCTAATGGCAGTGAGGACCTTAGTAAGCACTCTACACTGCCACCCGTCTCTGCACTTGTACCTCGCTGTGCATTCTCTGCGTGCTCGGATCTTGATTGTTAGTCGGAGTTTTGAGGTGTCAGCACAGTCGCTGGTTCATTCCAAATATACCAATCAACATTCTCACCCAGGCTAATCGTGAGCATGACTCGGATGAATTCAGTTTTCATCGGAATGAGCGTCGATTGTGTGCATTAGCAGCTGTTTCGCAGTGAGTTATTTTCTCAACTTCTTCAAATCTCTAACTTTCTGATGGTGTGCCAGCAGAATGTTACGATTGTGCATCTGAGCATCATTCTCTCTCTCTCTCTCTCAACACTTTCTTGATCTAGGGGCGATGTTTTATTTTCATCGTACATCAATCACGGAATTTGAACCAGGCCCCTGGTGAAACCTGATGCCCGTCACCACCTCACCAACCACACGATCGCTCACCATTTTTGGCCTCCTGATGATATGACAGCCCAATTTTCGAGGCAAGGCCGTGAGGCTGCGCATGAATCGACACATGGCCTGAGGATGAGATTGTGATGTGTGCTCGCAGGGAGGTATCGGTATTTTGGGTAAGATTTAATGCCTCGTGTGAATCACCTCTATTTGTGACGGCTGACTTTCTGGTCTGGAATCATGCCAACTCAACGTGCATTTGTTGAGCGACCCTGGATGAGCTGTTATGCTTTCTCGGGCCTGTGCTGGCGAACTGAAGAGAGTGGTAATAACAAGCTTTGCAATGGTCGCACCATGATTAATATGTGTCAGTCAGATGAAGTCCTTGGTTGCATTGACTGGTGCACGAGTAGGAAACTCATCTCGAGAATAGCATCGGAAAAAGGCAACAGTTCCTCATGTCGATCAATCTTTTGCGGTGTTCGAAGTGTTTTCCTCGCGCAAACGTCTTACAACCAACACCTGTATTTATTTACCTTGTTTCATGTAAAAATATTTACATCGCACGGTCATCGTCCCTCTGCGTTGTTTCGGTGACACAGGCACTGGGTGGTGGTATAACTAGTATGAATGTCATCGTCATACGTCTGCCAAGTTTGCCTCTCACTCACACACATTCTCTCCCAATATGACAGTAGTCTCAAATGATCCCACTTTGTGGCCGACTATCAGTGCAACTCGTTTTTCCAGCTATTTTGCAGGTTCGTAGAGAGGGGTTTATGTTGAAGCTGACTCAAGCTAACATTGGCTGCGCTTTCGCAGTTGCCGCCTTTGTTGGAGTGGCGTATGATTGGGGTGAGCATGATAATATTGAGGGACTGCTGATATTTTACAAGTATTTTTAGTACTTACATTCGGACAAGAGGTATGTCGATTCTATGACCGGAGCAGCCTTCTTGCTGAGAATGTTTCTATAGGTTGAGTTGATCTGGGTGAGTAGAGTCTCATATCAGACTTGGAGGAACACAGATGACAGTACGCTTAATTCCAGAGGCAATGCTGGTCCCTGATGACAGTTCTGTATATCAGTGTATGTAGCTTGTTTGTTGCGGTTGCCATGCTGTACTGACTTGAAAGTATCCTAGGCGCGCTACCTTGGAATGTTATATGCTGCGTATGTTCGGACGGCTAAACAGTCGATGTCGTACTGATTGTCTATCTCTCATAATCAGCCTGGTCGTACTGAGTATATCTCCTTAGTACATTCATTGTCTTCACCTCTTCTGACCAACAGTATACAGGCACTGTTCCGACCGTCTCGCTGACAGATACAGTAAGTCTTACACACATATACCTGCTGCTATTTCCCTCCATTTAATCGCAGTGCCCTGTAGCAGTGGGTATATTTTTTCAGTGACTTCTTGGCTCACTAATGACTGCCACACTGTACTGCCACAGATGTGAGTCTGTTTGAAGTGCGTGCTACCCGAGGCTGGTCACTCACTGGATTCATCAGGCTATATCATGTACCTCGTACAAAATTGGACGACTACTTTGGTAGTAGCGATGCTGTGGGGTGAGTTTAGCACTTGCGAGACCTCAGACTTGACTGAAATATGCTGCAAGTCATCATCATCACCCGGTTGCATGCCATGTATCAAAGATCCAGACGAATTCTGATATCCCTCACTGTCACCTTCCTGGCTGTCGAAATTTTCGAGGTAGTGGTAGCCGTAATGACAACGATCCATACTTCAGGAGGTACGCTTGATTTTGGATGAAAAAAAAACGCGCATGGGACTCATCGATGGATACCAGAGGAATACATTCTCTCCAGCGCTTATATATGCCACATCAACGATGTGGAAAATATCCTAATGCTTCTGTATTCCATTACTTGGATATTCAGAACTGTGTGGGAGGTCCTCGCACTATCTCTCGCAGTTTGGATTGCTGTAAAACACTTCCGTGAACTGCGACGTTATTCAGCAGGAGGGATTATCGGGGACTGTTTCGAGGTGTTGATGAAAACTCACTTGGCTTACTTTGCGAGGTAAGTTCATATTCTAATTATAGTTCCCTTCTTTGCTGAAGGATCTGACGTGGTAGCGTTATTGCTATCTCTTGTTTCGACATCATTATTTATCTCTCTCCAACATTCGCAAAGGTATGTCAATCTTTCACTTACCTCTGCATGCGACCGTGATTCATCATTTTTATAGGACCCAACTTCCCTAGAAGCTCAGGTTCTTTATGGCATGGTTCAGCTTTTGACAGTAGTGCAGATGTTTGTGCTGGGACCACGCATGATCCTTGGCGTTCGAGAGCACCACGCTAAGCTCGTAGCCGACTCCGATGCAGCGACTGGTATGACCTCAATCGCTTTTCAGGAGCACGTACATGTATCCACTAGCAGTAGTGTATGACACACGAGATATTAATGGTTGTCTGGTGCTCTACGGGAAGTAGGTTACTTTGTGTTTTTTCCATTACAAGCCTCGTCGCAGTATTTATGTAGTTAATTATTTAATATCCCGATCCCCGAAGTAGATTTCGATGATCATGAAATAATTTCGTCGTCGTATTTATTTCAATCATTAATATTTGCTAGCATAGGTCCTGACATAGACAATACTTCAACCAATATCCTGGATATCCCTACTGTGCTAACAAAAGATGGGTTGGCGCAATAGCACCCGATGCTGGTGGTAGTTCAAATACTAGAACGATTCTGAATTGTCACTTTGGATAATATTGAGGGACGTAGTATCCCTGACTACAACTTGAATGTTACACAAGTTACACTGGATACCATCATGAGTTGGCTTACGCGTAGAATGCTCAAACTACGCCTTTGTCGCGGTGTAACTACCATGGCGAGTGACTACCATACGTTGTCACTTCAACCCTTATCACACCCCATCACACCTCTAGCACCGGTCTTTTCTTGCTGGAATTTCTGGTAACATGGATCGTTAGTCTGAAAGATATATTGCGCGAGCGATCCTGAGCTTGTGTTGATGGAAACCACTCTATTCAGATTCTAGCTCAAACCAGAGACCCCGTCTATGCCCGGGCGACACCAGGAAGAAACAAAGCTGAAAGACCTGTTCGCTCCTAGGGAATGAGATCACGATGGGGCTTATTGTGCGCAGTCACACGTGTGGCATGAGGTCATCGTGACGCCTCATCAATGAATGCGAGGACTTATGGACAGAAAAATCGTGCGTTGTAGGAGACTGGTTACAAAACGGTCTGCTCTATGACAGCGATAAATGCGTTGGGGGAATCCTGCGTACTATGTACTGGATGCGACGGGCCCAGTGGGCTAGGAAATTGAAAAGAGATCTCTTTCCGTCATGAGCCACCCGGGAACGTAATTTCCAGTAGCTGAAGCCCTGACGTAGAACCTGGAATCGAGAAAAAACTTCGTCCATGTTCGGACGTTGTGCTGGGTCCGAGTGCATCATATCTGATACCAAACCGCTCAGAAATTCCACGCCCGAGTAGCGCTATCTTGTCTATATCAGAGGGTAAAACATGAGAAATTAATATTGCACTTCACATGGAGAAAGGTTTCTTGGATGGCATGTCCAAGATACCAAACATCAGTTGGGAAAGGGTTCCGAGGTTGATAGTTGTCTTCCTTGAACTCAGGCACTTCTCCGCCAAATATGGGTTCTTCCTAGGGCCTGACATGGGTAGCCTCTACCCGGGTACCCGCCCGGGTGGCACCCACGGGTTGTGTGCGGGTTGGGTGTTACGGGTTACGGGTTGGCTTGGGTGCTAGCACCCGGGCGGGTACGGGCATCAACATCCCAAATTTGACATTACCCGCAGGTGCCCGTGGGTCATGTCAAACTTTGCATCTTACCAGGAACGACTCAATATTACTGTTGCAGCCGAAATCAAATGGCATGCCAACTTTGACAAGTACTCCAGGAGTCTGAAGCCTGCATCTCTACTGTCCAGTCTATCTACCCGAGCTCAATATATTTCTCAATTGATGGGCAATCGACACTAATATAAGAGCGAAAACAGGGAGATCGTGAAGTCGTGCTTGTTACTACTGCAGCTGCTTGAGATGTCTCGCGGAATCACTGACACCAGCACCAGTTATTCTCTCCCCAACCAAGCCTCGCGAATTGGATTTCAAATAGAAAAGTGATGCCGATGTCCCTTCCCTTGCTCGAACGGCTCGAACATATGATGGTCGAAGTTTCACGCGACACAGAATTATCTGCCATTGTTCGAATAGCAGCGCTTGCGGCACTCGAAGTCATCGGCAAATACTATGCACTAACGGATGATAACGAGGTCTATCGCATTGCAATTAGTATGTTATTGGTTCCTTTCTGCCAATGTTGAAGGCTCATGACTTGTGTACTAGTAATGTGCCCCGACAAAAAACTGGATTGGTTCATAAAGAATGCAGACAGGATGCTGGCAGTGACTTGGAACAACTCGGAGATGACTCTGTCATACAACTCGATAGTGATTAGTTTTACCACATATGTAGTATGTACTTGCCTATGTCACGTACCCGCAGGTAGACCCGTACCCGTACCACTTGACCCGGGACGGGTACGGTCATGAACATATAGCTCAACCAACCCGTGGGTAGCATCCGGGTATGACCCGGGTCGACCCATGTTAGGCCCTAGTTCTTCCAATGGGTTGGTGTTAGATGCTTCATATTTGCGAGAGATGCCAAAGTCAATGTAGTAGTATCGTGGGGGAGAGTGCGTGCGTGTATATTGTCGGTGGGCACCTGGAAAACATCATAAATTGGCACACAATAGTTGGCTGGATCTTGGCTGAGAGGGGAGCTACTGAAATAGCGACCGATTTCTATCTCATAAGGGTGTCGCGATACGTCTATACATTTAAGCAATACGCGAGCACCGTCTTGAGTGCGTCGTGCATCTAGTAGAAGATAATGCTGAAAGGCGCATGGTAGTTGATCGAACCCTGCTATCACTGAAAATATAGAGCACCTACTGGCGACCTGACACCGTCCTCGCAATCTATATCGCTCTTGTTGGTATTCGTCCAAGAAGGCACCCAGTCCGGACTGTAGCGAACTCGTAGCTTGTAACCCTTTTTGTTGAGAAAGTCATAGTGGTCCCTCCACCAAATCTCGTATTCCGAAAGATGGGAATGAGCACCGCAGGTAGAGGCCATCATAGCTAAGAAGTGTGTGGACACTGGTAAAGAGGCAGAAGACAGTTACAAATACAAGTCCAAATAGCACCCGATGCTTTTGGTTGTTCGAATACTAGAACGATTCTGAATTGTCACTTTGGATATCCTTAGTACCTAAGTAACTGCAGAAAAGATGCTGGCATGTTATATCCCATTCTACCAGATACATATGTGGACCCAATTAATTTACTGTACAAAGTCGGTATCGTACAATATCATACATGCGGACGTGTTCAACAGTGCCCAAGTTCTGTGGCGTCACGTAGTCGGTCATATCAAAGGTCAATAGCACAGCTAGACATGGGTAAAGAGTGTGGATATATAGAAGAAAGCAAGTAAAGTGAGACTATAGCAGGTATAGATAACGAAGGTGTCCTGGATGTGTAACGCTAATTTGACCTGATTTATGACAATACGGGACTGGCGCTGTCGGCGTTGTGGGGGTCACTGTAGGGATATGGAGCTAGCCTTATTGATTCCTCGGTTGACCTACCGCCATCTGCCACTGACCTGCCATTGATCCCAAATGCATGTGCAAAATCCGTCTTCTTACTTGAGTGAGTTGACGAGGCGCCACGGGCGTGGTTAAAGAAGAACTTGAGTGAGCCCGCTATCTCTGTAACAAAATCCCCTGGTAATGTGTCAGGCAACAATATAGAAAGACGCTATAGAGCGCTTACAGTAATTGACGCTATGGAGATATCAGCATGTAATATATTTTTTCGGTCATGAAACATAGACGCACCTGTCCCATAATGGACGCCATATGCTTGTCTTCTTGTTTCCTGGCACCTTATATTCATTGACTGTGTATGCCCACATCATCAATACTGAGAAGAAAACCATCTGGCACGTGTTAAGTTAACACGAGGCTCCCGCATTGTAGGAGGCGATGACTGACCTCAATGCAAATGGTCAGCGCATTAAGACCATCTGCGATATTGGCCGCAGTCCAGTATTGGGTGGCTTTGGTGCTTATCTCAGCGTAAATCAAATTACGGTTATGAAAGGACACACCTTTGATGACGCGGCCTTCAAGTGCGCTAAACTGCAAATTACTCGGACGTGAAGTGGGTAATAGCTATAAAGGCGGGAAGAGCTTACGACAAAGGACTGATAAAAAGTGAACATCACGATGAGCTTGATGGAGAGAAATTTGGCTAATGGTCGTCGCCCAACTAGTTCCTCCTTGGTAAGTCCATAAAACAGCAAAAGACCGTAGAGTGCCACACTGTTCACAAGACAATAAGTCATGGGTCAGATCTCTATCACATCATGTGTTGGACATACCTAATACTGGCAAAATCAGCAGCCTCGAGATAGACATTGGCATAATATATGCTATAAGGGCCAGACTCGCAAAGCACGTTGTATACTTGACAGATGATACCAGCGATAGATACGGCTGCGGTAACGTGAGATGTCTATCTGTGTGTAGACTGGTTCAACCTCACCTGGTCGGATGATAACGTATTGTAAAACTGACCACTACACTAAAAATGGGCATTTGTCAAAGTACTCAGTAAATGGCTTACCTTGAGGGTATACATAAAGTAAGGCTAAAGAAATGTGTGAGGGAAAGACTCCTAAGGCATCAGAAACAGCATACCTTTGTTGGTCGGTATCTCCAACAGCAAAACTATGGGCGAGATCAACATGTAGTCGTGAAAGAAAATGTCAGGTGAACAGGCGAAATACGCACAGGAATCGGTAGCGGTCTTTTATCCTTTCGTTCAATTGCTTTTGTGGCATCACCACCTGTGGCTGTGGCTGCCACGAATTCGATCAGCAGGAGTCTGACGTAGAAACAACAGGTAAGCAAGGCGTTTATGAGATAAAAAGTAAACCGCGCACAGAAATGCACTTAACGTGACAGCCTGATCGAATGATCAGACAATGGACAAAGACGGTGCACATGGTAACCAATTACCTCGTATGCTGAAAGGATTGGGACGCCGTCAACTCAGTATACGATAGTGTTGGTACGATAACTTACCGGCTTCAATGAGCGAGTAGTATGTGTAACTCCGGAAATATCGGTAGGAAAAGAATGAAATAACAGCATATACTGGTGGCATGTACAGGATCCGTAGACTGGAAGTAGGACAAGAGATGAAGAAATAGACTCAAGGAAGAAGTGACACACGCACATTTGACGCTGCTCGCTGGGTTTGGTATAATTTCTAATGTGACGAATTGGAACCGAAAGATATTTTCAACATTTATTGGAGCCTTACCGACAATGCCCCGAGACTGAAATCACTGAAATAAGAACTGTCTGCGTGAGGTTAATGGTAAACCACTCGGGACAGATATGAACTAGTGAAGATGAACATACTAGCATAGCACATCCTCCTGCAATCGCCCATCCTATTCGGTGTTGGTCCCAGTTCAGATTGCCAGAGCTCCAGAAACTGGATTGGTCCACTTCTGAGGTGTTATCGGATGGGCAAGACGACACCATGACAGATTGTGGTGGATACTAGATACTAAAGCTTGTGTCTGAGGCGATACTACAAGGCGGCAGGTATAAGAAGTTAAAATCAGCTGAAACGCCTGAATCGTACAAGACAGTGTATGTTTATGTAAGTAATACAACACAGCTTCAAGTTATTCCTGTTTTTGCCGCACCTGACGTTGACTCGACTCTTCTGAAGGCTATACTACCGTGCTATGGGCCTAGCAGCGACTTCTTTGGTATAGGTTTTCAGCTGATCATGCCATCTGTGCTAGAAGCGACAATTTCAACTAGCGCTCTGATCATGATGTACTTCTCTTTTTTTTAATTGTGCATCAGCGCTACTCCTCAATTGTCTCAAATTTTAGGCCAGGCTTCAGAACGCGCTAGTCGAAACGTTGACATACTGCCAGTAGCACAGGCATTGGAGAGCATTTATGGTACAGCCTCAATTTCATCTGTTTTTTCTCATACATCGCGGCAGGTGTACATGTGTATTCTCGGAGCGCTTGGTCTATCATCATATCATCAACATAGCCATCCTCCTGCTTCTAAACACGTCACAAAGCGCTCGAGGTTTACTTCTTCTTCGGAACCTTGGCTTTTGCCTTGGCGGCAGGAGCCTCTGTGGCAGGAGGTTTGGCGCCCTTACCCTGCAAGATTGACAAAATTCATTGGCGTCAATAATCATTGGACAGGTTACACACTGGTGCAGGGGCACCCTTAGCGGGCGGACTTTGTGCAGGTGCTCCGGGAGCAGCACCGCCGGTGGTGGGAGCGCCTACGCATCCGCAGTAATCCCAGCAAAATAATCGAAGGTTGTAAAAATATCAAGCGCCTGTCAGACACCACTCCAATAGAAACGACGGTCAGGCATACCAGTTTTAACAGCTTTCTTTGCAGCAGCCATCGTGTATTATTTGCACGAGAGATGAAGTATGAGCGAGGGTGTGGTTGTGGTAGTTGAAGGGAGTACAGGCAGAGAATCTTTTATAGCTCTGACGCAGCCCTGCCCTCACCTTCGGCAGAGTTCGTACCGTTTCTCCCTGTGTGTCACGAATTGCGCAGCTGTATCCAGTTATCGACTGTGTCAGTTCGGGAGGTTTTCGCACCATTTATGCTCATATTTTGTTTGTGGCAGTTTAAACGATCTCTACTGGAGGGAAGATACTGCGGAAATGAAGCCAGCAGAGCTTATCCTCCCAACCAAGTCCTTTCCCCTTATCTGGGAGCCATGTACGTCGAAAGTACTCTATTTCATCACAAGCTATTAGTTTGGCTGTCGATCTGCATCCTGAAAGGGATGGTTTACCTTGTGACCACACCTGTATCAAATACCATTCTGAATCACTCCTCTACATTCCTACCAATCGCGTCGAAGCACGGGCGTTCCTATGTACGACTTCACCCCTTGCGCATTCATTTCGGTGGAAGTGTCTATCCCTGTGACCCCACCTCTCGCCCAAGCTTAGATGATCCACGTGGAAGCTTGCGTCACGGTTGACGGAAAAGATCTGAGACATAGTCACATTTATGGAACCTCAACAACAATTGTTGAAGCACTTCGAGAACACGATTTCCGCTGAAAGATCACCACGACAAATGATCTCGGTGTAAGTACTCATTGTGTTCAGTCGAGAACATTCTAGGCTTAACAGACGGGTAATAAATATAAGTTCATCACAGGGAAAACCCCCTTCACAGCATCTCAGAGGGTCTTATCGATACGATTAACTCAGATAGGCAGTGTAGCTGCTTCCCTCGCTGAGACCATTAATTCAATTGAGACTCGTCACAATGACCCGACGAAACACTCATAGATAAGAGTGTCACCTGGTCTTCGGCGACTTGAACAAGGTGCCGCCTTCTCCATTCCTCTAGCCCCTTCTCTAGAATTCGCTCATTGAGACCGTTTGGGACAAGCGTGAATGTTACGCCTAGTAAGTATACTTGACGTTAAAAGGCTTCCATCGGTTCGTAAGTTTACGTACCAAGTTCTTCTACTTCCTGATTCCTCCATTCGTCATCGAAAAACAGCTACCCAAATGTGTGTGACAAAGACCTTTATGGATAACGCTCACCTACTTACCATCTCGTCATAGGGTATCCCAGTCTTCTCATGAAGTTGCTTGAAATGTCTAATCTTGGAAGAAGGGTAGATCTCCAGCTGGTCAAAAAACTTGATTGCGGGGATTGGTTTTGCGCTGCTGTCGCTACCAGTCCTCTGGGGTATAAGTATGAGATCTAAGGCTTCACGAGCTCTTCGGTACAACATGTTAGTTTAGCAGCAGTGGAATTGTTCAGATCACTCACAATGAGGGCGCATCTGTCCGTGAGCATGCAGCGATCGTTACGCCTGCTGCCTGTAGGCGATGCATGATCTGTGGCACATCCCTGTAGAAGTCTATTGTCTTGGGTTTGCGATGACTATCAATGACTTTGCCAGTAACATGGTGTCGCTTCAATGGAGGAAGTACATGAGTATCGATCCAGAAATCCCAAAGCGTGTAGCTACATGTTCGCAATCAGTCACAATCGAGTCTCGATGGGCGTCCTTACTCTAGATCGAAAGCGACCAGTTTTGGTAGCCTTGTCGTCATCGTATCGGTTACTAGTGCTAGTAATCCAGGATCCTAGGAAGTCGACGGTCCTTGTTGGACACCACCATGACACATTGGGGGTTTCAACATTTTATCTCTTGCAACCAAAAGCAGCCTAGAACGTTCTAGAGCACTCCTAGAACACTTGGGAATGTATTTTCACTGGGTGGTAAAATATCAGTTTCGCCGCTGTGAGAGAAAGAGAAATTCGCCATCGCCTCATTTTCTCAAGCTCTCCTGACAAAAGCATCGATGACGACCAAACATTTTACATGATTAATTCCGGAGGCCCGGATTTCAGCTCCCTCTTCACTTATATGGCATTGCGGCGAGTTCACCGCGAAGGACGATAGCGGCGGCGGCCAATATAAATTTAGGGTTCCGCACGGGTAACACCGTGGGTCGGTTACTCAACACCGTCGCCAACACCGACACCTACGCACCGCGGGTAAGAGAAAGGCGGTACGGAGAATCCTAGCACGGTGTTCAGATGTTGTCAAAGTTCTCAATTTGGTAGGTCATACCCGTCCAAACACCACCAACCCGTGTTAACTTGAAAGAGTCGGGGTGTGCCAAGGGTATGAATATCGTACACCGTACCCGTGGGTTTCCCTAGCGGCCATAGGCACCCCACTCCCACTGTTTCGAGTCTTCAAACTTAATTGTACTCACGTATTTTGAACTTTGCTTTCCAGGAATTCTTCAAGTTTAGTTGTAACTTGAACCTACATAGTCAAAGTTGGCTTCGAAATCTAATATGTGATCTTCTAGCTCTTCAATTTCGGCCCTAGTGATGATGCCCACGATCAGCCGCACGGACCTTTCTCGAGGCCCTTTTCTTGGATCAGGATCACACCAAGATCGTGAGTGCTACATACCATGATCTACCTTGCATGGCCACATCGTCGTACTTTCAACCTCTTGCGATCAAAGGTTTCACCAAAATCATTCTCAATAATTTCATCACCATTCAACTCGTGAGTCGGGCCTAAGGTCTAATAGGGTATATCCATTACACTTTGGGCTCAGGCACCAACCTCAAATTGACAAAGTGGCGTTTATAGAACCGAGGAAGTTCGGACGCAGTGACATGAGGTATTAATTTTGAAGTAACAGTGACCAGCCAGAACATTTACGAGATTCACAATCGTCGGATGTGGGCCCACAACACTCGGGTCAAATCGGTGACGCTCTTTACCCGGGTCCACTCAGTATCAGCGAAACTAGCTAGACACAATGCATTCCTTGACATTTAGACATTCTTCTCTGCTGACAAGGGCTTGCTCGAATGGTCGGACGCTCTCCACATTAGCTGGCTCTACTTCGTTAGGCTGCCTACCCATGACGCACTCACCAGTCGTGTCAAAGCTCGCATTCTTCAACTCTGTAACTGGTGACGGTAGCAAGATACCATATTATCGAGTTCTTGATGTGCGTGGGGTTCCAATAGAAGGCGCTGAAGTACCTGAGGTATGTGTTGCGCCCCTTTCAAAGAAAATTATTGACGTCAAAGTTCATTCAGATCAGTAAACAATTCGCTTGGCGATTGTGGGTTGGTTTTGCAGTGACTCAAGATTGTATCTTACAAAGTCTTGAAGATATGAACATATGCAGTTGCTTCCCACGTTAGATGATATACTTTGCAGTGGTCAACGCCAAGGCAAAATACCCTTCTATGTACGTGGACAAGAACACACCTCATATCCTCTTTCTTTATATTACTTAAATTTAGGCGACTTCCGTAAGATAATTGGTCGCGCAGGTATAAATTCTAGTCGCTGACCTCACATATCTCAAGTATGGAGAAGAGGCCACTGTAATTGGCTCTGCTGCTGGACTTGCTGACGATGACGAGTGAGTTTCTCTGAACCCGTAGTCTCGTTTGAGTTACAATGAGACACTCTTGTTTCTAGAGTATTATGTTGGACAAAATTTTCCCTTATTTATGTTTTTGCTAATTCTGCCACAGCACAGTACCGCGAAACGGGGGTGCTCTTGTGGCGTGGCTTCACTCTTGATGGCATCATGGCGCAAGTTTTCGGAAATCACGAAGACTCTGGCAAAGGCCGTCAGATAGCTGTGGTGTGCCGCCTTGTGTTCTCCCTTTCAAAGCCTTGCTCAGTATATACTAACGCACTCTTAGCATTACGGCTCCAAGCAGCATCATTTCCACACCATATCTTCTCCGCTCGCAACTCAAATATCACAAGCTGCTGGCGTTGGATATGCACTCAAACGTGACCCAGCGAGACGCTCCAAAAATGTAGCATGCGCGTTTTTCGGGGAAGGCGCAGCATCAGAGGGGGATTTCCATGCTGGAATGCTCTTTGCTTCGACGCTGCCTTCGCCAACACTGTTTCTGGCAAGAAACAACGGTTTCGCTATCAGCACCCCGAATTCGCAACAATTTTACGGCGATGGTATCAGCGCAAGAGGCCCAGGTAACTTGAGCACAACGTTGCGTATGCATTTGTGTGAACACTCATCGAATGTCACTCGTAGGTTATGGTGTGGATACGGTTCGTGTAGACGGAAATGACGTACTCGCGGTAATGAACGCTGTCAAGGAGGCGCGAAGGCGGTGTTTGGAAGGTCGTCGGGCAGTTCTTGTGGAGATGATGACCTACAGGGTCAGCCATCACTCGACGTCGGACGACTCATATGTCTATAGAGAGCGTCAGGAAGTTGAAGACATAAAAAAGAATGACGATCCAATCAGGCGATTCCGCCTATTCATGGAATCTCGAGGATGGTGGAACGAGACGGATGAGGAGGAGCTCGCGTTCCGTCTGAGACGTGATGTGATAAAGGCATTCAAGCGCGCAGGGACCGTCAAAAAGCCTGACCTAGAGGATATGTTCACTGACGTATACGCGGAAGAACCCTGGAATATAGTGAGTTGATGGATCAGTCAGGGGTGCGTACTGATTTTGGCTACAGAAGGAACAACGGGAGGAGCTGGTAGCATTGCTCAAGAAATATGGACAAGTGTGGGAGCCATGGCAAAATGAACTCGGAACTCTTAAGAACGGAGGGAAGGTAGATTAATGATTGACTGGACAGCACACGAGCAATCACGCACTCGCTTAGGGGACTCGAGTAAAAATGGAAACTTCGCTGCAGCTCGGCCAGAGTTAGACAGATATCGGTCGAGGCTGAGCCGAGTGATACTCGACACACAAAGTTCAAACGACACTTGGAATTTGCGAAGCTTATAATAAATGTACGTGGAACCATGTCATGTAATGAGTAGCCACAATGAACTATTAAGTCCCGGCAAAATAATAAGTGTCAGAGGAAGAGGCTAAGACTGAGTGGCTGGAGAGGAGCTGGAAGCACGAGTCGCAGCGGCAGAGATGAGAGACTTTGATGAAGATCTGCATACTGCCATGAAGGTGAGCATAAAACAAGGACGAATGAAAAGCATGGCACACACTCGAGACCTAGAGCTAGTGAGGCAAGCGTACTCGATTATGTCACTGCCTCCTCCGCATATGCACGCGCCAACGCATGATACATCTTCGTCTCTGCTTCACGAAGGCGTATCTCTGCTTCACAAAGGCGTGTCTCTATATCCTTAGCCTCCATGCCACGTTTATGTGCGGCAGCAGCTTCAGCGTGATTAATCGCACGCTCAAGTTTCAGAAATTTGTGTTCATCAACTTGAAGAGCGAGATTGTACTTCAAAGCCATACGGTAGCACTCGTCTCGAAGTTCTTCCTGAGTGATCATGTCTGACTGCATGTTCACGATTTCTTCATTGACTGCAGATGAGGAAGGCATCATAGACGTTGATGCAGGTGGTGCCGACGGAATCAACGCGGTCTTGGACCTTCAAGTTGAAGAGCAGCGAAAGGCTACGCCACCTCGTCCGCAAGTGACAGATCCCTGCATCCTTCGAGAAGGGACTTGTAAGGCTTGCAGTCGCGCAGAGCGAGCACGAGGTGATGGGCAGGCATAACGTTTGAAATTTGAACTCTGTTCCCAGTGCCGAAGCCCTTCGCGCTTCACCGAAATTTACGAAAGCTACTGAGTCACCTACTGGTAAAATATCACTATAAGAGAGAATCATCAAATTGAACACCAAACAAGCGGGTAATCATAGTCGATGGCTGCCAGTCCAGCGGCGCGCCGTGACAAAGCGAGTACAAGGTCCTAATCACTATCGCCGGGGACCAGAACAGGTAACGTTAGAAACAATGGGAAGAGGCGGTGACGTGGGTATGAAAGGATATGCAGGGAATAGATACGCAATAAGAACTACGCACACCGAAGAGGAAAAGGGGAATCAGATAAGGGCAACGTAAACACTGCAAAAAAGTACAGAATTGTCATAAAACCGAGGCCACGGAACCGAAACACGATAGACCCATTTTCATCTTACGTAAGGCTACACTTTTCAGATCAAGTAGCAGTGCCAGCATAAGGGTCATCGTACGCTTGAGTGTAACGGTTGTTTGGCTCGCCCCCTTCCTGAGTGGAGAGGCTGGGAGTATACAACGTCCGCATGCCACTACCGTTGTAGCTGGCAGCTGGGATAGGGAATGCCAAGGAACCAGTAGGGGGAGGGGATTTCATTTTCCGTTCCGCATAGGCACGGAGCATCTCGTCGGGGGACATCACGTTGGCAGGCATGGGCATCATGCCAAGACCTGATTCTGGAGCAGGATGTACCGGGACGGGAGGAAGAGGCATGTCAACGCTCTGTTGTTCCTGGGGTAGCAAGTAATCATCTCCACCAGCTTCATTGCCTGTACGCATCACTATTTTAAAAGTCAACTTTCAAGTACTCAGGAAGCATCCATAAGAAACCTACTGCTCAAGGACGGCCAAACTTCATCCATGCTAGGACGCGCCTCCGGTGCTCCACTAAGGGACATGCGGGCACGAATATCATCCGGAGTAAGAGTAAAGGGGCCCTTGGTTTGTGTAGGAGAGAGGTCTCCCGTGTCTTCCTTGTCATCGTTGGAAGGAAAGAGGAGGCACAAAGCCAGTATGGAAGGCACGACTGGTTCCGACGGTGCGACGAGACTCCATTGATGGACGAATGTCTGTAGCGAATGATACCCGTGATACTCGCTCGCCTAAGGTGGTCTGAGAACGCAAGCCGGAACGTAGTTGAGACATCCTTGGCGCATCGAAACTGGCTTTGTCTGATATAGAAGGATCGCCTTCGACAGCAGCAGTGCTGAGCGGACGAATTGGACCAAAGGAAAATGACGAGTTGCGATTTCCTCCACCCGAAACTGTCATGCTGTGACGGATAGCTGCCGAAGCGCCAGCAGCAGACATGGACTTCCAGTCCACAGAGATCGTCGACATACGCTTGTCAATGGCCTCGCTGAAGCGTCTGCTCTTTTCCTTGGATTTGGCGCGACTTAACTTGAAATAGACAGCTAGTCCTAACCCAATGAAAATAAGCGGCACCAGGACGCCGGCAGCGATCTTGCCGCTAGAGGAAGAGCTGCTGGAAGAGAAGTTTCCAACATAGGTGACGCCGTTTGGAGAACTGAGATCGGCGCTGGCTGGGGTAGAGCCATCGGATGGTGCAGTATATGTAGCAGTAAATACAGGGCCCGCGGGAAAGGGGCTAAGAAATGGTTGCGTGTTGGAGGTGACGATGGAAAGCTGCAGGTTGATTGTGGAGGTATCATTCCACCACTTGGTCTCAAGGCTGGACTGATAGGTACCCAGGGCGTAATTAACATTTTGCCACTCGTGAATACGGCTGTTTTTCAAGCTGGGGGCGATAAGATAGATATCAACAGCTTGTGTGTTGGACAAGCAGGATGTGTCCCAGGTGATGTTGAAGGGACTACTGCTGGAAACGGTTTGACCCTGAGAGGGACTGATATAAAAACCGCCTGTTGCACATGCTGCAAAGATCAGATCTAGCGCAATGCACATCTCATTCATTTGAGAACTTACAAGAACGCTTTTGGTGCGTTTGTGGTGCACCAGCATGCCCGATGCGAACGTGCGTCAATCCTCGTTTGTTCATATCGCTGAGATTTGGATTTTTTCTTATGAGTTTGACCTCCGTTTGGGTATAAGAACCCTTCCGAAAAAAAGAGTGTATCCGCTGTGTCGCGCGGTCTGCAGTGACGAAAGGAATGGAGGGAGGTACTAGTAGTAAGTAGCTAGTGCTGCCATGCTGGTTGTGATGGCACCCCGTATGTAAAGTTTAAACTCAGACAAGACCCCAAACACCGGATAATCTGTCATAGCAACATTGAATTGACGAGACTTTGTCTTGGACTTTTCCAGGTGACTTGTACATAGCATCGAGTCACAAGGTGCAAAGGTGAGCGCAGAACTCGTGCTCGGAAAGTTTGATGTCATTTGCTTCCTTCATCGCCAAGGCTCGAGGTTAAAGCATGTATGGATGTTGGCTGACACTGAGGCATCAAGTTGGTGTCTGTCATCTCATGCCCAACACAATTTCACATGTCCATGTATTGGCGCTCACGCATCGCCTCATGAACGAGGGCTTGGGGCTCGTGCATGTCCTTTTAAAGTGCTGGAGGCAGGACAGCTCCGCTCCAAACCAACAGCATGAGTAGCCTCGTATTTTATGCTCCACCGGTAGCTCCTCTGCTTGCTTCTTCGTCTTTCAGCGACGTACGGCGTCATAGATATTCTATTTCGGCTAGCAATGAGAGACATGTTGTGGCGGACTTATCAGGCGGTGTCGTCGCAGATACAAGCGCTCCCACAACATCAGGAGGTATCACAGATATTTGGAAATGTACATGGTTCAAGGATACCGGCTCTACTAAGGTTCGTTTTAGCCCACGCGGAGGTGTTTTGAGACTGATATAGCTGGTACAGGTTGCAGTGAAGACGTTCCGGATCGAGAGCACAAGCCAGGGTGACCTCGCCAAAACGCACAAAGCACGTATCGATGCTTATTCTCAGAAGTCTTAATATAAACCATGATATGACAGAGATGGTCGCAGCAAATTCATGCCTGGGCGAAGCTCGAACACGAAAATATACTTCCTTTATATGGCATTGTCATGGACTTCAGCCCAATAGTATCGATAGTCCATCCTTGGAAAGAAAACGGAACTCTCTCGACTTATTTATCATGCAAGCATGCAACTTTGACCGTTCAAGATAAATTCAAACTTGTTTGTGTCGGGTTTTCGTTGCATTACCATTTAACTGAGGCTTCCTGGCTATCCCTGCCAAATAATAGCTCGAGAATATCGTCTCGGGACTTCATTATTGTGCGTTCAGTCATTTCCGTTCAATATTTGACATGAGCTTGAGCTATGCTTCCCTCTCCGCAGTGCACTCTCATGGCATTGTTCATGGAAATCTTTCTGGTGTATGGATGATTCCCGTTGAATTCGCAAATCGATCTAACATATGTGTGAAGAATAAGGTACTGGTAGATGCCCTTGGCAGAGCCAGTCTAGCGGACGCCGGTCTGAGTGTGCTAGTTCCAGAAATTCTAGGCATGTCATACTTTCGCCTGTCAACATCTGGCGCCATACGGTTTGCTGCCCCCGAACTTTTCAAAAAGTCCAGTCGCGGAGAAGTGCCCCTGCCAAGTATATCCGGTGATCGTTATTCGCTGGGCAGTATCATTTACTTCGTGAGTCCGTCTCTACAGAAACTACGCGCCTTGTCGATGAATTATGCAGGTCCTTTCGGGCTCTCTACCATATTCCACCCTGAAGGACGGTAATGTGCTCGTCGAGTTGCTTCTGGGAGTCGCCCCAGCATCACCCTCTGATTCGGACAGATCCATCACTCGGGAGCAGTGGCAGTTCATCCAAGGATGTTGGTCAGAAATCCCCGAAAATCGCAGGACGACGAGCGAAGCTCTCGAGTTTATAGACGTCAATCTCGCTCTCTACGTTCCTTTCAGGGCTATATCCTTGACTACAGTAGAAATGCACTCGAGGTCGAGCAAGACAGACGCCACTAAGCCTCGGTTAGTTTTGAGCCGCAGAGACTTCTCTCCGGGCGATATGTTACCTCCAGGCTAGTATGCTCGACTACTGTCATCGTAGTTAAGGTTGACCTTTTTCCAGATATACAGGCGAGTTTGGCAGTCGGTTTACGTCGCTCGCGGAATCCTGCGAAGGCTGCTGAGGTATGCGAAAAGCAATACATACTGCCGTATCTCATCCACAGACTCAGGCTGCTGTATCTGTCATTTTAAACGACATTTTCGACACAAGTCATGTTGTCCCTCGGTGGGATTCGAAGGAAACAGAACATGCGGTAGTTAGTCACGTGTATAATGTTCTGGTCGAAGATGTCAAGATGATCAGCGATGCATTACGAGTGTTGCAAACAACCAACCCGAGGTGTGTGCTCATTCCTGCGAAACGGTAATCGTCTAACGCTTGGCAGCGCGATAGAAAGGTCCCTGGGTACTCTCCGTTCGACAGTCGAACAATTGTTATTTGACGAGAGACGGAAACAACGAGTACCTCGAACCGCTTTCATGATGATCGTCTCCAAACTTCAGGACTTTTTGGACGATCTTTGGAAGGAACTGCATGCGAACAGAGGGAAGTTGTCAGGTGCATTCTGGGAATGGTTTGAGAAATGGATGGCAATGATGAGAGCATGGGATAATTCGCAATCGGAGGCTGCCGTCCAGAATACTGCTACGTGCTTGCTATCCATGCTATCCTAACACAGATGGTGGTTGTACTTCCAGCTGTTGGCTGTTCTATGTGAGGCAGGGCCATACTTTACAAAAAGGCTGCAACGCCACAGCTCGAAGAGAGCCTTGGCAACCACATCATGGCCTTCCAAGTAGGATTAAATAAATACTTCGTGCAAGATAGAGCTTGGTTACGAAGAATCGCCAGAGATGGGAGGCCAGGGATGTCACAGCAGCTTAAGTTCCCCTATCTTAGAATGTAACCCTCATCTCATCCAATGTTCAGCATCGCATTCGAGCTTCAAGCGAATTCACTGAAACTCAAAAAAGGTCCTCTTCCTGTCACACACCATAATCCTAATATATCATACGTCCAATTCACTCGAAAATGTCACGGTCGGGCGAATCAGCGCAAATGTTGCGACCAGCAGTTGGCAACAGTCGCAGACATTATAGTGTGTTTGGGCTATCGCGCCTCCATTTACCTGCATACCAGATCTCAATTCCCCAGATTTGATAAGGATGTGTGGAATGTCGCTCACATGGAAGAACTTGGTCCTGCCAAACGGTTTAGATCGACACTCGGTGTTGGGTTGCTATCCCCTTTTATGTCTTCTGAGGATCAACAATGGGACCTTGAAGTCTCTGCAGTCGTCGACAGAGTAACTGAAGATATATCATTAGATGTGCCACATCCGCGAACATTTCATGTTCATGTCTTCATTGATTCCGACTCTACTAGTACACTACTAGCCCAAGCGCAGAGTGTCTGTCAAATGTACGCCCTCTATGAAAGTGAGCATACACCTGTCTTTTCCGACTCGTGGTTCGTGGCATTATAGCTGTGATAGACGAGCTTCGTTTCGTCGGTGACTTACCATCTGCCACGTCACACAGTTGAATCTGTGCGCCATAACGAGAATTTGCAAGACCTGTCTACCAGAGAGCTACTATCAACGATCGGTAGAACATCATCTGTAGAAGAGCTGCCAGTGTCTCAGTTGATCAATCCGCCCATTCAAGACGATAACCCCATCGTCCCCGAGGAGTACCTCTACAAGATTAATTTATCATGCTTGCGCGTCAAGAAACTTACATTCAATCAGCATCCATCAGTTCTCCGTGGCGATGCCGTCGTAAATTGGGGGCGCTTCGTGTCCGAATTTGTACATTCAGCGCTCTCCCCTCAAAGTGTTGATATCCTGCGTTTCAAGCCATCTCTGGATGTACTCTTTGGCCACATTATACATTCGGATAGCTTGAAGACCATATTTGATCCTCGCCTGGCGTAATTTTAAAGGTGCGCAAGAATGTCCACACTAAATCCGTGGTGAAAGGCTCACATTCAACAGATAATCCAGCAGCATCGCACACTAGTACACGAAATGTTGCTTTGTTGAAATTCCAAGTGTAACTGTCCTCTCATCATCGCCCTGAATTCTGTCAGTGCTCGGATCCGCAAGGAGAAACAACAGCATCATGATGTCGATGTTCACCCCTTTCCAGCTCGCATTGTACCCAAACATGGATTAATGGCCGAAATGACAATGAAAATGAAGACATAGACGACGACCAAGTCCGTGCTAGTAAATGGACGAGCATATAAATCTAAAGAAATTGAGCGGTAAATTGGGGAAGCATGGATGGGCATCGAGATCTATTTATCGGGTCTATATTGAGATTAAATGCGATATGCAAGTTCAGCGTGAGCATAAACGATACAAACAAGTGAACGAAAGCAGCAACGCGGGGAGCAGGAACGCATACCAACACCAAAATCAACGTCCTCACTCGCACACCTACAAACTAAACACCCCCGCGGCCCTCCTCCTACTTTGGACAGGATGAACGAGTACCAAACTGATTCCAAGACCCACAGTCAATCCGATACTCGTGCTGATCAACTGGAGCGCCGTGTTGAACCCGCTTAGGTAGGAGGTACTCGACCCTGAGGTTTGATCGACGACAAAGCTGAATAGTCCGCCGTTTCCCAGGCCTGACGGGAGTTGGAAGAGTATGCCTGTGATCTGAGTACGCGTGTTTGGGTTGTGCGATGATCAATCACTTGATGCAAGAAATACGAGAAGAACAGAACGCACCATAACGACAAATGCATTCCCCGCGAAAACCCTCCCATAAAGATTCGACACCAGTCCCACAGCAAACGCCCCAACAGCGGCTGATATATCACTCTGGTTTGGGAACTTGGTGCCCACAAAGTGGTTCGTCACCCATCCGATGCACGAGATGGCGACTAGGAGGAACTAGGTGTCGGAATCAGTATTAGCTCGAAAAAAGTTTGACGAATGTAAGGTGTTCGATAGGATCAAAACCAAAAACTCACCAACTCCCTCCTCCCAACAACAGCCCCAAACCTCAAACTCAAAAACAGACTGTAACACGGCACACTTAGGAACGCCCACCACAAACTCGGGGTGCGCTGCCACCACCCGCCTTTGGGATCATGGCTTGCAACACACATGTAATCTACGCCTCCCAGCAGAGGTTTTCCGAGCATTGTTTGGTAGAGCTCAGCTCCGATGGCGAGCCCGAAGCCGAGGAAGAGGCTGTACACGAGGGCATAGCAGAGACGGACGGAGCCTGCTACTAGGGAGCGGGAGGAGAGTTCGAGGGAACCGTTTAGGACTATGAAGCCCTGGAGTTTAGTTAGCGATGGGATGCAATGCAAAGAGGAGATGGATAGAAAGGGAACCGGGTAAAGGAAGGGAAACATAAAATTAACTCACAGGTAAAATCAAAACCACACTGCTACTAGCAACAGCCTCATAACAAACTCTCCTCGTACTAGCAAGCGCAGCGCTCACAAAGCTCAGAAGCGTAGCAACCGTTATTTCAAAAACGTTCCCATACAACTCATTGCGGACGCTGAGGAGCTGAATGGCGACAAGGACTGAGCCGAGGGGGAAGGAGATGAGGGAATCGATGAAGCTGCCGTTGAAGCTCACGCTGCAGATGCTGCTGCTGCACATCCCACCTAAGAATACGAGTTGGGGGAAGGAATATGTCGGCTTTCTGCGCATCAGGGTGTCAAGGGCGGCGCTGGCCGAGGATACAGAGATGGTGTCGTGGATGACCTGTGGTGAGATTAGTTCATTTATCATTCGAATGGAAAAGAGATACATACATCCCAATACAACCCATGTGCCTCCCCCAGCTTCCCCACATCTAACGCACTCCCCTGCCTGATAAACTTGACATTACTTGTCCCCGTCGCATTGTCTTCGAAGCTGATCCACATGACGTCAGGGAGGTACATACAGCTCATCTCGAGCTCGAGGACACGTGCTGTGCTTTGGATCTGCGCGACGAGTCTGTGCGAGGGACCCCCGAACATCATCATTGCACGGGTTAATTTGAGGATGAATTCTTGCCGTTGGAGGATGGCTGCTACGTGTCGGGTTATCTGTGGGGTGAGAGTGAATGAGTTGAGGTAGAGAAGTCAATGATGAAGGGAGAAAAGAAACGCACATAAACCTCTGCTCTTTTCCTCTTCCGCCTCCTCGCTTTCTCCTTTTTCTCCTTCTCCTTTCTCTCCTTTCTATCCCTCTCCTTCTGCTCGTCTATCCACTTTGTACCGAAATAATCCCAACCACCACCATCTTCCCTTCTCTTTTCATCGGGCGTACCAACAGCACTACTCGTCCCAGGGGTAGAAGCCCCACTTGCACTGACAGGATGCCTTAAAGGCGTCCCGGGTATACTCAACGAAAACCCCTTTAAATGCCCAGTGGGCAAGTGGTGTGGAAGTGGGAGTTCCTTCAGGACCCCTTTCCAGCGTTTCGACTTTGGTTTCTTGGTAGAAGGGAGGGGGAGGGTTGGTGGAGTTGATTCGGAGGGGGTAGAAGTAGGAGTAGACCTAGAAGTAGTCGCGGTCGTTGGAGGAGCAAGTGTATCTGGTGAATCTTCGTCTTCCTCCTCGACATCTATCACTTCATCCTCGAGGTCCATTTTGGACTCGTCTTGAGATTGGATAGCAGCTTTGGAAGTAACTTCACCCTCACCCTCGTGGACCTCTTCGACGCGCCCACCGACTCCCCTCGTAAAATCGGTATCGGTGCTCTTCGAACGACGGGGAAGACGGAGGCTGAGACGTGGAGGTGCTGATGTTCGTTGTCTTCCGCTTCCTTCCACATTCCTTTCCTTAGCCCCCTCATCCTCCAAGCCATCTTCGAACCGATACCTAACAAGCCCGTACCCCTTCTTCATCTTCAAGTCAGGCGCTAACTCCAACTGCATAGGCGCAGCAGCACCGCTCAACGTCCCCGCACCCGTAATGAGCGCGGCCATACTTGAGGGGCCTTTGTCTTTGGGTTTGAGGGAGGTGATGAGGGAGGCGGTGCTGCTTGAAGCGGAGTGGAGTGTTTGGTTTAGAGTTTGGTAGGGAGATTTTTTGTGTTTGGACTTGGGCTCGGAGGAGTGGGAGACCCACGGACGATCGGGATTGGAGAGGTCTGATTCGTCTTCGCTATGTGAGGGATCGTGCTCGTCGTTTTCGTTGCCATAGAGCGCCAACAACGCACTCAACACGCCAGAGCCTAGTTTCGGCTGGGAAGCATGTGCCGGAGGGTGAGATTCAGGATCATAAGGATCGTGTGATTGTGCATATGGTGGGGGATGGTGAGGGGTAGGAGCGACTGAAGGGGGAGTGTGGAAATGCCACCATGATTTCTTGGAAGGTTGTTGCGGAGTTGGATGTTGTTTCTCCTCTTTGGCTTCGACGTTTGTATCACGATTCTCTTTTTCGGAGTCTTGTTCTACGACTGAGACTCGTGATCGTGATTTTGAGCGGTGACGATGACCAAGGATATTCCATCGTTTCGTGTGCGCCCTGACGACACCTGCTGCTTCGCGCGCAGTGAGGTGTTCGACATGGCCGTCTGCTGGGATTTCAGAGCCTCCGCTTGGTTGCCTTGAAGAGAGGGGGAGACCAGCGCTTTCTAGGGGGTCGATGAAGACTTCGCCTGGGAGGGCGTGTGTGCGGCGTGGGATAAACGGTGTACATGAGGTAGGGGATGTAGGCAGGGATGAAGGTGTGCTTGGGGGATAGGTATGTACGTCTATGGTAGGGGGAATGACTTGAGTGGATGGGGAGTTTGTGTGGGATGAACGGTGGCGCTCAAGTGCGTCTTTGAGCGTTTCAAACGCGTTTGGCTAGGCGAAAAATTGATGTAAGCAAGGTTGAAAATAAATCAGAGGGTACTCACGTCTTGAGCCATCTCGTCTAGTGCGTGTGGATTGACTGGTTCCGGTTCGTGGACGTGATCTGTGCTTGCCCATTGCACGCGACGGGGAGTACGAGTACCAGGGGTTGGTGACATGATACTAACTGGCATCGTGTGAGGCGATGGCGAAGACATTTAAGAAGATGCGTGCGTACCGTCTATGATTGTTTAGTGATTTTTCAAATGTGACTCCACGGAATTGCAAAAAGACTATCGTTCGATTCACCGTCGTCCGAGTCGGTTACGGTCACCGTCGTCGTTCCCGAGGTCGTCACCTAAGTGAAATATTTTAGTTTTCATGGTTGTTCTACTGGACTAAGTACTTGAGGAAGAGGTAGACGTAACGTAACCGAAGTTCTCTCACATGATGTCATTCCAGCTCCACTTGAGTGTGTTCTCCAACTCTAATTTAATTTGCACCCTGATACAAGCACATTAGAGAAGTCGGCCATATACGTCAACAACTGCGAAAGCGCCACCTACGCCGTGTCAGTCACTAATGTTAGCGAACCATCCGAACCCCATATTCAAAAAGATATCATGCGACTCACCGTTATCATGCTGAAAATAAGGCTCCAACTTTGACTGTACCTGAGACTCCCCTCCAGACAAGTCACAATATTATTACACCCGCATACTAGGTAACCACTTCGCCGCAAAGATCCAGGAAGAAATCAAGACGAAGGACCGAAATCTGTAGTGAGTAATAGTAATTCTTTAGACGTAGTCGTGTAATCCGAGGTTCACGACCTGTTCGCATCCGATTCATTACTCCATGCGTATGTATACATAGTAGCTTCAGTTTCCCCAGTCGTCGCGAATTCCGATACTGCAAGATTCACATGATAAAGTGCATGGGGCGAGATAGCAGGGCACTTACCCACAAAAAGTAACCTCTCCCACAACTGAGAGCAATGGTGTAATAAACGTTACTCAGCGGTGCGTCAAATCTACCACCAGCACCTCTGGAAGAAGAAGTACAGTGAACATCTTGATAAACTCTTGCCGACGGCCATCCGAACCAGAGGAGGGGAAGGGTCGCCGATCGCCGAATCACTTATATGGGCAGGAACCGACTGTAAGCTATAATGTCATCATACACGATGGCCTCCAGATGAGGGAAACTGGCGATAAGTGAAGCACATAGCAATTGTAATAAGCAGATGGATTCGTCAAAACTTTTGGCAAGTAAGGGTATATAGACTGGTAGGGCGGTCGGGACGTATAAAGGTAATCATTGATGTGTAGGCGGGAAAGCTTTGGCGTATTGAATCTCCTGAGCTGCAACTCATTGCACTCAGTTGAAGTCAGAATTCCAGTCTTTTACGGTGGACATAGCCACAGTTTCCCCACGCTGGCTCTCAGAAATGAAGATATCGAGAAGCTGAGAGTGTGCCACAGGTAACTTGAAGAACCAAGGACGCCTGCCGTGGTGGCGGCGTTCGTCGTTATTGTAAAGGGTGAGGAGCGGACTACCAGAGCGAGCAAGCAAGCACTGGAAGAGATGTGGAATAGATGGTCTAGGGGTTTATAATTTTCAGAAAGCACGACCTGGATGCGCGACTAGACTCCTGGTGTTGAATGTGCAACGATTCGCCAAAAGCGGCACACTCTAATGAATACTAGGGGAGGGCTGGCAACATTGAGCAAAATGGTGTGGAGTCGTGATGAAAAGACACTGGGACAGCCTGGCGTGTCATTAATAATAAGCAAGAAGACTTGTTGTAGGAGTTCCACTGGCAGCCAATGGATGTACGCCTGTTTTAATGGCGTCAAGTTGAACGGGAGAACTTGAACGAGAGTGACATTAATGTGTGGATCTTGGGGTGCTCCACCGTGACCGCAGTGGTTGCATGTTGTAGTTTGTGTATGTGTGCTTGGTGGCATTCAACGTCGCGTTCGGGTAACAGCAAGACACTTACTTAGTTACTTGGCAAAAACTTCAGGATGCCCGGTACTGAAGGAGTTATATATCAATTAAAAGATGACCTCGCAGGTCCTCGCTGCTCTCCTTGATCCTAATACAGGATTTGCGCCTCTACAACAATTATGTTGCGATCAGTGTGTATCAAATGCTTTGTCAGTAAAGCGCACCTCACTAGTCACCAGAATAATAGAGGCAGAGATTAGCGTGTCTTTCAAGGGGATCTGGATGTCTTATACATGGAGGCCAATACGCGAAACCTTCCACATGCTATAGTGCGTGAGCGAACGCGTATTGCAACTCTCTCCCCCAACCCGAGGCAATCGCAGTGCCTCCTCACAGAACTCCTTGTATGACTTCACGGAGCCGTCCCACAACAGCAACCTTCAGAAGCAATCACAGGAATATCAAAAGTCTACGAAACATATTGTTATGTGGGCTCCACAGGAGTGGTTTAGTAAAAGAGCTAGATTTTGATTCCACGAACAGTGATGGTCGATCATTAGCAGCTGATAGCGCAGTGAGCCAAATCACAACCTGTGGAAGCACTGACTAAAACTCAATCATTTCAAGGGATCTGAGAAAAGCCTAGCACAAGCGCTTTAGTTATTTGTTCCTGCTGGCAGATTGGATGAGGCACTTGGTTTTGGTGGCGAGCCATTGGTAAGTTAAGCTCCAGATATCATCCGCGCTATCTCTGATCTACTGACAGCGAATAAGCGATGGAATGGTGACGGTATCGATGACGCCAAGGATGCCGAAGAATGGCAGGGAAACCCGGGTGTCCACGATTCCGTCCACATTCCACTTGATACAAGACTTCAAGTAGTCCCCGAGTTCCATTTCCTCGCCGAGATGGATGTATATAGACCTTTTAATGATGCATCGAACTACTGGCGGTTTGCGATGGTATAGTTGGTCGAGCATCTTCATTTAGCTTCAGCGAATGCACCATCAAACTAAGAATGTCATTATGATGTAGCCGCAGGAAAGACTGAACCGATGACCTATTTACGATTGTAGGTCGCCACCTACAGTTGAATCGCTGGAGCCATCACCTTGGCTAGGCGTCAAACGAACAACCTTCTCGGGTCGCTCATCATCGGTCGCCAATGCTTGCGTGGATGAAGCGGGTACATCAGTACGTTTCCTTTTCCTTTCCAGCTTCGCCTTCTCTCTCGTCGTCAGCGTATCGAAATCCTCTTGTAGATGTGCCTTCAACCTGGGCATGCTCTCCAGGGCACGGTCGCACTTCCAGCAATAAAGGCCGCTATCCTTCAATAGCGACTCATATTGGCTGGCATCAAGCTTGATCATCTACCAAACAAACCCCGAAGTTCTGTCATTAGTGCGGAATAAGACATCCTTTGCTGCGCACGTACCCTTCGATAATACGAAGGCTCAGCATCGAACCACGAAAGAACATCTTTCAAATGCAGAAAGAACCCCAGGCTAGGATGAAACGAGTTGTAGTGCTTCTTCATCTTCATCTTCGGAGAACACAGGTCCGCAGAAAGTACATGCAAATGGAGGTGTCTGAAACGATGCCATGATGGGATGAACTCGATCGAACAATAAGATGCGATAAACAAACACTTACTCCATGCTCGAAATTGGGTGAAACCCCACCCAAATCTCCCACTTAAACTTATACAATTTCATCATCTCTTCCTCAATCATTTTCTTCACGTTATTCGCTTCCTCGTTCAAGTTCATAAGCACCTCCTTCGCGGCGCTTTTCTCGCATCGAAGCAAAGAACGCAAGTCTGTGAGATGGCGTGCACTCAATGGCGGCTGGATTCGGGGTATGACCAAAAAGTGAAAGATGGATTTGGGGAACGCATCGAAGACTGTCAGACATGTGTCTGAGTGAGAGAGTAGGATCGATGGTGGTAGAGTCGTTGGATTAGGTTTGGACGCATAACTGCGGAAGATGGCGAGATTGGGGGCGGAAGGTGCCGTCGTCATGTGCGGCCTATCCTATGCTTCTGGACGTAGATCGCAGTGATGCCCACTGGACTGTAGTACAACTCCACCTTGCCGCAATGAACTACTTATCGGGCCCATCATAGAAACGTTACATGCATGTAAGTATTACTAACCTTAAATGCGCCATTGAATACGAATAGACCCTGGGTTGGTCATATAATGGTTAGGTGATCCCCGGATCGATTACTACGTACGTCAATGAAATCTTCAATATAAAAATTTTGGAACCGGCTTGTGTATGAACCCGACATGTACTAGTATTAGCAGTGACCCGATCACATGGTCGCTAAGAACGACTCTCTTCCGAGTATTATGTCCTGTGAAGATTGGTTGAAAAGCCCTATCACGATTGTCATCACGGAGCCGACGCGGACAACTCACATGAATGGTTGATTCAAGTTGAAGTTGATTGAAACCTTTACAGTGTCGGCCGGTTGCTGGTCACGCATTTGTTCTGAGAAGCAATCTGATGAAAGTCAGGATCTGGCCACTCTGGGGCTATTTCACGTAGACTCCGAGGCAAAGTCTAGGGCTAACCTGAAGTAGCCTGGGCGCTGGGGCTTCGGTGGGCTGTGTTTGAGCGGAGTTGCAATTGATGTACGGTCCATTTCAGTCTGAAAGATTGGCGACACTTACTGGTCACAATACTAGTCGTTCCTCCAACGAGGTCCAGTACTAGAGGTCATGCGGTCTGAATCAAATTCAAATTTCACTGCATTGAGACCGCCGAGCCCTCCAGTGTTCCAACTTGAAGGGAACGGCGCGGCTCGACCCTAGTGACTGTCCCAAGGAACACCGAGAATGACCATATAACCATTGATTACTGTTCGTATTTTTTTTTCTCAAATAGAACGAGCGTCGATCTGCAGTCTCTTGTCCATCGTTCTGACTTTCAAAGTTGCGAAAGGCACCGAACTTGAACAACATCCGTGGTATATACAGGTGCGTTCTTATACAACTCAACTCCAACTCCTTTATGACAAATTTCGTAACGAGAACAGGAATCACTATCTTCCTTCTGCTGGGTACTATCAACTCGGACTTTGTATTGCTTGATGAGGTGCTCGATGTGCCATATTTAACCTAGTCTCGGTGAGCGCTCATTTCAAAAGGATAGTCACGCAGGGGCATGTTGTTTATTCTTCCCTGACTCGGAGTGTTCGCTTCATCAGCAGCGATGGCATGCTGCGTAACCGTAAAGGAGGGAGCTAATTAGCAGGGTGCCATCCATCCGACAACTCGCGTCAGCGGTTCATGCGGACGATCTATATTTCGTGCGTCCTACAAATCAATATCTCCTAGCTTCGCTTACTACCAGTACTGTTTGCTTTTGCCTACACATACAACTCACAGCGAGCTCTATCAGGTCGCATCTAGCTTACCTCTTATACTCCCGGAGTTTGGTGGGTTCAATGCTTGGCGACGGCAGAAGTCTTGTTCTGGGCATGGCTGCCTCCTCTTTTTGCTTGGTGCGCAATCCCTTAAGAGTACTGCCAAGAGCGGAGAGTCACAAGGCATCGATACCGATGACGATACAATGGGTTGTATATCCCTTTGTAATGTTCGCTGGCTGACCATTCCTCTTGAGGTACAGTAAACTATGCTCGGTTATTGTGAGTTGCACACGGATATAATCAATTCGCATCGGGCAGGGAGCTGATATCACGGCTCGTGAAAGCCGCTTCAATTTCAAAATGACGAGCCCTTAAGGCCTCACGCCAAACCTTAGATCTTGATCAGATATTCCACTCGATCATGCTTAGTATATTGACGAAGGCTAGGAGCTGGAGCACTGAGTACTGAATGATGAGGCGATGAACAGGGTTCCGATATTTTGGTTGGCTTCCAAATGCGCAATCCTGTGGAAGTGTGTAATAAGTAGAACATGCAGCGGCCAACAACTGCACAGGTGCTTGCCTTATTAGCGCCGCATACGACAAAGCCGGCAACTTTTTGCCTCAAGTAAGTACCATGACTACCATCTACTCCAACGAATTCGGGCCACTTCTCCTCCGTGCAGGTATCGACCCCGAGTCTGACGAACATCGACCCAAAGACTGTTCAGAAGAATCTGAATTCACTGCTTGGTCGAAAAACGTCAAAAGATCCGAACTGAACGTCGAATCTCACCTGTGAGTCAACAAGTCAAATTATTGGGCTGAGATGCTGGTTGACTGAGCAGCGTATGATAAGATGGATTACCCCTCACCTCCCGTGGGCATCTCTCGATGAGGATGGTCAAGAACCGCCGGTGTTCATCAATACGAGTATCACATCTCACTAGTGAATACCAGTATTTGACAATTCTTTGCAACAGAACGATGCGGATTCCGGTGACTCTGAGGAAGAGTCAGGTTTCTAAGAATGTACTCCCAGTGAATGATCGTTGGCAACGATACCTAAATACCAACCTTTCTATGCTACAAATATTGCTTGTGCTGGGATTCAGGACGAGCTTGCATTATATATCTGTAGCACGAACAACAAACATTATAGTTACCATTAGCACTGTACATGATACCTTACAATATCAAATCAAGAGCCAATGCTTCGCGTAGGAGAATACAATTCAGGCTCGCGGAAGGTGGACTGCGATGCCAGATGTCACCTCTTACCATTTGAAATTCAACAATGGTCTGCTGCGCAGGCTCCGTCGTCCAGCACCATTGGATAAGACCGAGCGCTCCTGCGCTTCATGGATCACTCGCGTATACTTTCTTATACAATCATTTCTGATCTTCCTGCATGCTGATGCTATCACGGTTATCATTGACATCCACCATGAAGATAAACCTTCAACTTTAGCCACACCTCTCACCTGCAGATACATCACAATCTTATCACGCCGTAATCTGAAATCCACAGGTTCGCATCCGGCACGACAGAGTTCATTGCTTCATGTGTATGTATACATGGGTCAAGAAAGGTAGCTTCGATTTCCTCACTCGCCGCGAATTCCGATACTGCAAGATCCACATGAGAAAGTGCTAAGATGAAATGTCAGAGCACTCACCCATGAAAAGTAGCCTATCCCACAATTGAGAGCAACGGCGCAATATTGTTCATATAAACGTTTCTCAGCGGTGTGTCAAAGGCTCCCGGAAAGATGCAACTGCTAGCATCGCCGAAAGACAATCAACTTGCGGTGTCTCCGGCGCCCCTACCAGAGTGAATTTCCGCAACATGGGAAGATGAAGTACAGCGAACATGCTGTTAAGCTCTTGCCAATCGTCATCCAAGAAGAAGGGGAGCGCGAGGGGGAGGGTCATCGATTCAAGCATCACCAAATCACTTAGTAGGGCAGGAATACGACCATAGGCCATAATTCTATCCAACAAGATGGTCTCCAGATGATGGAAACTGGGTATAGCGAGGCATATGACAACCGCGGAAGCGGCCAACAAACAGATGTGACATTTCAGAACACAGAGCTGGCGTATTAAAAAGTGTTTGGCAGAAATGGGCACTGATCCAGGCGGCATCTGCCGACAGCACACCTAAAATAATGCAGCAATTTCAGGAACAAAAATTGTCTTCAAGTTAACGTCGGTGATTCATTATAGTATATAAGAATTTTGCTGTGAGTTTCACTTCTTATCAGCAACATTTGAGCTCACCGTTGAACGTGATGGTACCAGCATCGACCACATCGAGTCTTGCAACAAGCAAGGCTCGCTCAAGACGACGGTCGCATACATTGAGGCTAACACCGACTTCTGGCACACCTGGCCTAAGCTCATCTTCTTCATCTTCGTATTCGCATTCGTCTTCCTCGTCCTTATCTTCATCGCGAACTACATCGTACTGCAAACCACCATACATACATTTGTGCGACTTGCTTACCCCTGCAGACACTGGCGTACACCCCTCCCAGATACGTCCTTCTGCAGTGTCTACACCGCCGTCATCACCACGGAAATCTTCACAAGATTTTGTCGTTTCTGCTGTGCCAATACATTCCATGCGCAATCACCACCGTCCACGGGAACGCGACTTGCTCTCCGAGAATCGTGACCAGGAACTGAGTGCAGATGATGATGAGGACACGACCAGTATTATATATACTGCTAGACGCAATCGAAGCAATCAAGACATACACCGTCACACTAATACACGATCAGCGAAGGATTCACGAGCGAGTGGGTTCCATGCAGTCCTTGGCATGGGCCTTGGCTGGCGGAGGCCTAAGTTGGAGCAGATAACGACTGCTCCAGGACAATTAGGTGCTGGTGAAACCGAGACAGAGGCTGATGAACCTGTAAGAATTTATCGTCAAATATATCATACCTTTCTTACTTGGATACGTATTTGCAGCCGCGACATCTTCCGACGACGCGTATTTTACCTGCCTCAGATCCATTGGTTCCACCAAGCACTCTGACAACTCTACTTTTCGATGCATCACGACTTTTATCTGTCGTCCCTGCTTCATTAGGCGCACTAATAAATGCCTGGTGTGTGTGGAAACCTCCAGGCCTGTACTCAGGTCAAATCGCTTCTGGTTCGTGTTCTCGAATCAATCGAGAGCATGATAGTTGGGGTCGCATCACTGTGCCGGACAGAGCTGATTATTTCCTGGCAGTGCTTTGGGTAAGGTCTTGGCTTTACGAGATGGTTAAGCTCCCGGTTGATATTTTATCATCTACAGGCGTTACTGACAGCACATCAATGCCTCCAGTTAACAACTGGACTCCTTCACCGGTGGCGTGCCTACTACGCCCCTTTATCCACGCTCATACGCCTTCTCGCCTTGCAGGCCATTTGTTGGCCTGCAACTCACTTTACGCTCGAGATCCTTGGCGGACTAGGTTTCAATGCCGATGTCGCGTTCTCTACATTAAACATCTTGGACAGCGCACTGATACGTTGGACAACAATACGTCCGGATGTGTGCTGGGCTGTCATAGGGACGACGACGTGCATTTCTCGCAGCATCCAAATATGGGTGACAAGCAATCTTCTGCCGTCAGATACAGGCACTCGCGTTTTGGCGGTACCAGATCGCCTACGGCCCCATGTGAAAATCAAGGGGGAGGAGGCACGCAAATTGGTTGGACGTCGGTGGGATTGGGGTGTCGTTGCAAAGGTCTGCATGTTACCTGCAGGGTGTTTGTATTTTGTCATGGCGTGGATTGGTGCATGGAGAAGGGAGACCTGGGACTGCTAGAGCTATAGGTCGCTTCCGTTTGTACCTGTTGTGTAGATTTGTGCATCGATATCCCCGTATTTAGATACATCAGGCCACAAGTGCTTTGTCAGGACGCTGAACTATCAAACCATAGATCTTACGCAGCCATTCCCTGAAGTTAGCTCAAGAAGAAAATGAATATGTGTATCTATGGGGTAAGGATATCATCAGCATGGCATGCATGATCTGACTTGGTTGTCCATATGTACCAGTGATACATCCGTCCAGTGTCGCTCCTCGCTGACCTTGTCGAGCGAGAGCACGTTTCGCACGGCAAACGGCATGGGTAGATAGACGGTCACTAGAGTCGATGCCAAAAGCATCGAAAATGTCTGGACTAGCGCAGATGTTTTTGTCGTAGTAAACTCTTCATGATTCCTCCCAACAGTATAAAACCCACACCATCACGATTGATATTCCTGTGTTGCGAAGGTAAAGCACAGCGCGTCGGGGAATGCGACCTTGTGAGTCGTTCAAGGTCGTCGCACATGCGGGTCGCAACGGAAACTGTTTTCGTCCAACTTGAGCGCGCGGGTCATCGAATGACTGTAAGTACATACAGTCTGAATGGTGATTGCCCGTACGTTAAAGTAACGCAATGCAAGGGAGAGGAGACGGTAGACTCCACGCAAATTGACGACCATCCTATCGCATGAGGTAGCAAACGCACTCCACGAGTTCTTTTGGTACGAGTGTATGGTTCAGCTTGGTGGACTTCAGTCAATGACGATGACATGACCTGTAGATCTCACCAATTACTTATTATACTGCTCCTCAAGACGAAATACAGTGCAAATGAGCGGGGCTGCAGTGATGGATGACGGTTGCCACTGCACATTCTCCACCGAGTGTTCTTTTCAGGTTGCCGCAGTCAGTTTTTAGCTGCAGACTGATGATGCTTCAGTGGCCAGTGTCCAAGACGTTGTCGTAAATGTGCCATGGCACAGTTTTGCAGGGTGGCGAAACTCTAGGCTATATGTTACAAGTGGTGACCTTCGGTCGTTGTGGTTTATGGACACTGTTACAAAAGTAGAATTTTATATACGATATTCGCCGTATCTTTTTCTTCATTTCCTGCTCCGAATAAGCAAAGCGTATCCTCACGGTTCTTCATGCGCGAAAGAGCAGTATACAGTTGACCATGCGCAAAAGGGTTTGTCTTGAGATCGAGAATGGTGCGAGACAGCGTCAGTCTTTGGCAGCCGTTGAAAGTGGTCGCGTAAGTTAATCTCAATGGGAATTGCTTGCGATTACAGTCCAGCTTGACCGATAAGGATGGAAAGTCAACGTGATCCGTGGAATACAGTGGTTCTCCAGATTGTTGAGTAGTTGGACCTGGACGAAACGACGATGTAGGGCGGTTATTCGTACACGCGCATTCTTTACTAACCCTTTTTCCACTGACAGGTTCCGTTGTATGGCGCATATGCAGTCGATTTTGAGGTCCAGTTGATACGGTGGAATTCCGGGCGCAGTCAGCATCGCTAGGTAGTCGGGCGTTTGCTCTGGAGCGTCGATAGGTGCGTGGTCGGCTTGTTTCAAAATATCGGAGCTTAGATAGCTATTTAGTTTGTTTTCAGTTTTCATTTAGCGCACTACCATTCATTACTGACGATAATCCCCAGGCATGGACTCCAATATGTCGTTGAATTCGTCTACCAACGTGTTTCGTGGCGAGATTGATATTTAGAAGCGTTTTGAATACCGACCAATCCGTGGAACGTTACAGCTGGTTGCCATGATAGTGAGTGAAAAGAATGAGCAGAAGACACTGAGAGAACGATGGGAGCGTGCGTCAGCGCTGCACAGCATGACGCGGTGGACACAATTAACGCGGTGGACACAATTGACGCGGTGGACACAATTGACGCCGAGCCGACGGTATCTCGTGCTTATATATGTTAGATGGAAGAGTAATTCAAGCGCTGAGTATAGCTGACGAGGCATGTAGCACCTGAGTTAATTTGCCTAGACATTTGCAACATCATATTTGCAGTCTGATGATAATATTTTTCGAAGAGTAGTACCTGAAGTACATCAGTAGCGTAGTCAGCCAATTTAACATCGTTCATCGTTCTCCAGGACTCTGAATGCAAATTGATACTACGTCATGATACATAAGTCATGCGCTGCTGTGCAACAAACAACAGGCTGCACAGCGGTCCCGCCTCTTGCTAATCAAGCACATTAACACTCGGACTCTGAAGGCAGCATGGAAAGACAGGCTCACTCAGGTCGGGCACTGTATGTTACGGTGGCCGCCAGTGAACCTGCAACAATTTTCGCAGGTACATGGTATGTATGTTTGGATTATGCCATTAGAACCGCAGTAATAGATGATGTCCTTGCCCCTGTTAAAACCATTCAGTGGACCGCAATGTTGTGCATCTGTGGGTAACCATAAGTACGCAGTCCAAGGCCTGCACGTAGGCTGCAAGAGTGCTCACTTTTTGCGTCTGATTTCGGACATTCTGAGCCTATGGGTGACTTTTCCCCGTCTTCAGATGCAATAACTATTCCAGCCATTGCTGCGGCAGAAATTATAATAGTGGTGAGTGAAGTGAATTTCATGGTGTTTTTCAAGTCGAAACAAGTAGAATGGTTTTTATACACAATTGGTGTATGGTGCAGGCAATCGTCGTACGCTCAGGGACAAACCGGATGCAAGCTCATGCTCTGCGAGTCCGTAGCATTATTTGATTTTATTCTATGCAGTGATACGCAAATGCAGATGGGTGGCTTCTCGGTAAGGTTTTGCAGAGGAATTTCTCTTAATCCTTGCTTAATATTTTAATCCTCAAACAAATTTTAGTGCCTCTTGCTAATCAAGCACATTAACACTCAGACTCTGAAGGCAGCATGGAAAGACAGGCTCACTCAGGTCGGGCACTGTATGTTACGGCCACCAGTGAACCTGCAACAATTTTCGCAGGTACATGGTATGTATGTTTCGATTATGCCATCATAACCGCAGTAATAGATGATGTCCTTGCCCTTGTTAAAACCATTCAGTGGACCGCAATGTTGCGCATCTGTGGGTAACCATAAGTACGCAGTCCAAGGCCTGCACGTGGGCTGCAAGAGTGCTTACCTCTTGTGTCTGAATTCGGACATTCTGAGCCCATGGGTGTGTTGTTGTCTTCCTGAGATGCGATAGCTATTCCAGCCATTGCTGCGGCAGAAATGATAATAGTGGTGAGTGAAGTGAATTTCATGGTGAAGTATTAATGGTGTTTTTCAAGTCGAAACAAGTAGAATGGCTTTTATACACAATTGGTGTATGGTGCAGCCAATTGTCGTATGCTCAGGGACAAACCGGATGCAAGCTCATGCTCCGTGAGTCCGTGACATTGCTTTATTTTCTTCTATGCAGTGATACGCAAATGCAGATGGGTGGCTTCTCGGTAAGGTTTTGCAGCAATCGCCCCTTGGACCCTTACCAAGTGGCACCCCGACTAGGACCCCGAAAATTCCTCGTCAACACCGCGCTCAACAGCGCCGACCTCGCCTCAAGGCGACCTCCGCCCCCAGCGGACAAGAGAACTATTACTCCAAACTCACCAGTCTCATCAAACTCATCATCCTCCTAACTAACAATCTGCATAGAACCCAAGATGCCGGTGGGCCGAAGAAGCAGCAGTGCCAGCGCAGGCTCGACACCCGCCTCACGCACCTCCTCACCACATACGGGCCTCAACACCCTGCAGAACTACAAGGACAACACCTCAAACGGCCATAGAAGCCATGTCTAGTACGGTAAAGGACGCAAATAGTGGAAAGAAGTTTCCACCTCAGGCAGGACATTTCGGTGCCTATAAGGGGTCTATCAGACCCAGTTTCTATGTTGTGGGAAACCCGTCTGCAAGACCGACCCTCCCTCCTATCCCCGACTCCCACGTTAGTGGAGGAGGGCTCTTGTCGAACTCAAACGTTTTCCCATCTCTTAAATCCTCTGCCGATTCTACCCGATTTGCTCGGGTTGACCGGCGTCAAACCCTCCTGCACGACATGTTCTTGTATGATGTCTTACTTTGATGATGTCCATGTACTTTGCCCATCAACTGCGCGTTGAGCGCGTGCTTTCGGTGAGAGTCCTATGAAATAGATACGGGCCATCGAAATGCTCAAAAGACTCTTGATGTCGTACTTGGACTCGGATGATGTCGATGTGCTCTGAACATGAACTGCGCAGAATAGGACATTCGCCGGGCTTTGTACTCGATCATTGCTTTTTTTTCCTGACGCAGTGAGGGTCCCTGCATTTCTTCCTTCGCCATCATGTCATCTGCAGTGCTAGACCTAATCGAGTTATATGACGGCGAAGGAGTCGTCATTTTCAGTAAGTTTGTCTGCCCAGTCCTGATGTACAATTCACCAAAACGCAAGGCTGATGGTCCTCCTGCTCAAGGAAGTCCAACAAGGAAGGCAGCTAAGACAGGCATGTCGTCCGCATAGTTGGAGATGCTGGTATCATTGGATGAGGTCAGATGTAGGCGTGTTTAAAGAGGCCGCATCGTTCAGGCATTCAACTGTCTGGGAGGTTTCTGGTTTGCTAGAAGTGCTGGTGGTTTCGTTGAATATTTGTGTAGTCTGTCTTATACATGTGTGTACTCTGGATGAAGCCCGTTCAAGACAGGCAGTGTGAAGGCAGGCAAACCAAACGTCGGCTGGGGTAAACTACTAGAATTTCAGGCGCATGGGTCGGGGACTCGGCGCGTAGGCGCCGTTACGATCTAGTAATAGCTTACATATATGATTAGCTCCTGTACCTCCAGCGACCCTCTCACGAGCCTATAGCACCTTGGTGGGCTCTAGCAGTACTATGCGGGTCGCCTAGGTAAGTACTTGGCACTGTCTGGCGTCTGTAAATTGAGTATCATATGGTCCTTGTGCAAGTTGACGCATTCTTCTTCGCGTCATGACCCCAAATAAATCTCTCAACATTCGTAAAGCTCAACTCATTTCCTCTGGCCTTGGGCAACACTTTGTAAGCCCGAGGAAAGCCAGGGATAAGAGGAAAACTCAAACGCTGGTTGAGTTACCTGGTGCAGAACTCAAGCGGCGTCGCCTACTTGCTCAAATGTAACGACTCTTGGATCATGCATGATGCGCCCTCCACAACAGGGTCTTCTCCTTGTACCGTCTCTCTAGCATAGATTGTAATGTCCTACATAGAGTTTGACTCTGCAAAGGACAGAAATTGGACACAAAAAAAAAAAAAAAGGTTTTGCAGAGGAATTTCTCTTAATCCTCAATGAAATTTTAGTGCTGCCGAAGCCCGGTTCGGTCCTGTTCTTGGGCCTCGAACCAGATTGATGGTTTGGCAGGTAGGGCGGAGGATCCTGGTCTACGCTTCTTCAGTGTAATGTTACTTCCGCCTGCCATGACATACTATCCTGACTCGCGGGATTCAGATAAACGTGCAAATGCTGGAAGTAACCAAAATCTGATCCTCCAAACAACGCGGAGGAGCAGGCTGCTATTTGAGACTAATACACGTAGCTTGAGCCCCAAACTAAAGACGAAATGGGAGGAAGTTAGGAACGATCGCTACAAATGTTGACCAAGATACACCTTCATGTGCACCGTGCTGGCATTATGCTAGACAAGCACATTAACACTCAGACTCCAAAGGCAGCATGGAAAGACAGACTCACTGGATCACAGGAGTAGTACGCATTCTCACTTACAGTACAACAATTTTGGCAGTGACATGGTGTGTCTGACACGACAAATTCTTCATCCCCGCACCAATACGCGTAATCGTTGTTATCGTTGTAACCTTTGAGGCCTCCTATCGCGCAATGTAATGTATCTGTGGATAAACCGTAAGTACGCGGTCTAAGTTCTGCGCGTAGGCCGCAAGAGTGCTCACCCTTGGGGCTACAGGGTAGGCCCTCAGGTACTATATGCAAGTCTTCAGATGCGATAGCTATTCCAGCCATTGCTGCGGCAGAAATGACAATAGTGGTGAGTGAAGTGAATTTCATGGCTATTGATGATGTTTTCTGGGCCGAAACGAGGAGCACGGCTTTTATACACGATTTGTGTATGGTGCAGCCGAAACCTTTTCATTGTCGTATGCTCACGGACAAACTGTATGCCGTCTCATTCTCCGTGAGTCCGTGGTATTTTTTTTTCCATGTAGGGACACGCAAATGGGTGACTTCCCGGTAAGGTTTTGCAGAGGAATTTCTCTTCATCCTCATGTCTTAGACGAATAGCTGAGCTGCATTAGGGAGGTCGGTGACAACACCTCGTCTGTGAATTCCAATCTGTGGAGTACGGGCCTGGTTTCGGGAGCAAAAACACTTTCGGCTGAGTTTTGACCAAGTGCTAGCATGGCAAGTTGGAACACAATTTGGCAAAACTCCGAGTCCCAGTCATATTGTGACAATGATACCAAAATGATACTATTTGAATTATTACATCGATGAGACACCCTCCATAGTTAATAGAGACTGTCTTTGGTTGACGCTCAGACGCCGAAGTTCTCGTTCGTAGAACGGAGGAGGTAAGCCGACTGCTAGATAAAGGTACGAATCTCAGTATTCGTTACGAAACTCTTTTATTAACAAACGTTTGTACCTAGATAAAGGTACGACTACGGGTGTGCGTTAGACTTCTGTCGAACGCACAAGAACAACAACACTTACATCTCAGTATTGGTTACGAAACTGAGATGTTTGGGGCGCTGGCGCATCAGCCTTTATAGGTGAGTGCGCCAGTTATTTTGATATAAGCGAAAATATCACAAGTAGCTGGGGGAGTGATGTATTAAATACTCGTAACTGTAATAAAGTGTGATACACGAATCATTCTGAGCTGTAGGACCGCTGATACTACATCAATGTACTGGGCTGTACAATCCCCTAATAGGCTGAGTATAGAATATGAACAGGCCATTCCCAGGCCAAGCCGGGCCAGATTGAGCCAGGCCCAGCCAGGCCTAGGACACGGCCTGACCAGGGCTTTGGCCCAGGCTTCAATTTTGCGAAGCCTAAGCCGCCGGCCCAAGCCGTGGCTTAGCAGTGCACTATCTATTTTGGTATGTAAGTTTCTGTTTATGTTTATGTTGCCATCTGGCGATGGGTATCAGCTTCTCAGTCGATCCATACCATGAGGTATGTCAGAATGAGATCACAGTGAGTCGCCGTTGTCATGTTATGAAAGCTTGCTGATATTTACCCCGGTCTTGAAAAGTAAACATTCAGCAATCCATGTGCCTCTACAGTCTTGCCTGGCACTTCAACTTCGAGCGATTAGAGATCGTACGCCCCCTTGATGCTGCACTTGAGGTATCCGAGTTATAGTATTCAGCGCTTACTCTTCCAGGCGTGCAGAATTGAAGCACTCAAGTGCTACCGATCGTCCATCTCCTCTCTCTTGTTCTCATTCTCCTCCTTGTCTTCTTCCCTTCTCCTGCTCTCGTCCATCGTCTGTATTCGTCTGAGCCACGTCAGCAGTCGCTGATGTGTGCTGGGCGTTTGCGCATGGTGTTTGTGGTGTTGGGAACAGCATGGTGGAGCTCGGACATCAATTACATGCAATTCAGCATGTGGGCCACGGCTTGCATGGGCCTAAGCCCCGGCTTTGGGCCAGCTTGGGCTCACAGCTCAGGCTTGAAATCTGGTGAGCCTAAGCCCCCCCAGGCCGAGCCTAAGCCAGGGCTTTGAACCCAAGCCGGGCCGGAACAACACTACAAATCTCTATGTAGTCTGTACCTTGTGATCTTAATCTCGTTCCTTGCGATCGAGCTGTGTTTGGACGGCTGAGTGCAACATATATATATTTATGTCTATACGAGTGATGTATCAACCACACAATTGAGGCTGCATGTTGATGATAGGTTCATCCTCGGTGTCACTGTCCGGTGGAATGTCAAGGGCGGCACTTACAAACATAGGTACATCTTTCCATAGGTCCTGAAAAGAGGCCACAAGAGACAGCCACAGTGCAGCCTGTCGACATGCGTACACAGCCAGTCCTTCTTGGTCCACAGTGGAAGGCGTAGTTCTCAAACCCTGGAGTTGACAGCGGACCAAGAAGGACTGGCTGCGTATGCATGTTGACAGGCTGCACTGTGGCTGTCACTTGTGGCCTCTTTTCAGGACCTATGGAAAGATGTACCTATGTTTATAAGTGCCGCCCTTGACATACCAGACAGTAGTGCTGCTGTGGTCCGGTTCGGTCTGGTTCAGGGGGTCCAGGATGAGAACCGAGAACTGAACCATGGTCCGGTTCTGCAAAATCTTCGAACCCAGAACCGGACCATCGAGAACTGTTCTTTGCGGTCTGGTCTGGTTTTTTTCTGGTCTGAACTCGAACTGAACCAAAATTTTTTCTATAGCGAGTGCAAAAAAAATGTTCACAAAATGCTAGTCTACACATTGAGTAGCTAGTCTAACATAGCTGCAAACTCTTCTGCCTCTGTAGCTGCTGAAACATGACCATTGCGGTAACCTGCCTTCAATAATTGGAGTGCAGAGAATGTAGCTGGGGCCAGTGCATTGTGGCGAAGTGTTGATGTGATCCCCCCACTAGAGAAAGCACGTTCTGAGGGAACCGCACTGCCCTGAATTGGTAGATAATCATGTGCATACAAGATAGTGTTGGATACTGAAGTGAGTGTAGCTAATGAATAGAGTGAGCTCAGAATGTGATAATACAAAGAAAAACATACCCCCCACCACGCCACAATATTATCTGTCTCTTCCAATGGTGAAGTGAGATATGATGAGAGTTCTTGAAGCAGGTCACATGTGTGATTGTCTGCTGCTTGACGTGCTGTGACAGCATCACACATCCAGGATTGGCCATACCGAACACCCTGCAACACTTTCATTGGCACAGCAATGTGTTCCATGGTGCACGACATCGGAGGCACTTCGTAATATTTATTAAACTACACAACAATCAGCCAATGGAATATTAAGTGAAGTAAAACTTACCAGGGCTTGAAGGTGAACCCTCCCGCTCGTGACCTTTGCAGTGCTCCAATGACTTTCAACATACGCCAACTTGTAGTTGGGGTCAAGAACTGTAATTACATTAGAAATACACTGCAGGAGAAAAAAAAAAGTACTCACCCAGACAGATGAAGTATATATCTGAGTCATTAGTTCTCTCATAGTACTTCCCCACGTTCTTGAGGCCTTTCTGAATTGCATCGGTGATTGGTGAATATTCTGCGCTGTTGGCCATTGTCTGCCACATATTGGTGAGACACTCGAGGGTAGGTATAGTTTGGGAGGCTGTTGGGTGTGCGGCTGAAGAGAATGATTGTTGCGCAGTTGCAGGGCTCCTATTAAACATAAGTAAGTAAACAAGTAGATGAACAAAAAAGAATAGCTACCTTGAGGACATTACACACAAGCTGAATTTTCTTCCAGTCAGTCCGATCAAGCTTGAAGTCACTGTAAGATTTGTTGTGCAATGTCGGGACTTTGGGACTCTCATCAGCAAGCAGGGTGAAGCGGTTGATGGCCAGATGAAGAGACATGAAACATTCCAGGCATTTGAAAAGAGACGCCCAGCGCGTTCTCACCCAGGCCAAGATCTCGCGAATGGGGGTGCCCTCTTCCTCACAGGACTTCTTCAAGAAAGTGCAGGGCTTGTGGGGATTTGTGAATCTAAATTTCGCATCAGAAAACAACTCAAAGATGAAAACCAAGACTTCACCTGTTCGATGAGAGCAAGTGCCTTTCCAATGGCATCCCCAACATCAAACCCATCCTCGGTTATAGCCTTGGGATCATCCTCCAGTGTAGCGAGCTGTTCGGTCAAGCTGTCGATGTCAGTCTCATCACCACTATCAATAGCGCCGCAGATCTTTTTGAGTAATGTTGCTTGAGGGGTGGGTGCGACTGCATCAACAAAGTGACGTGCAGCGAGATTGAGGATGTGTTCTTGACATCAGATGCGGCGAGAACCCAGAAGCCAATGAGTGCTGTCCTTGTCGATGACCTTCACCACTTCTTTCATGGCAGTGTCGTTGTTCGAGGCATTATCCGATGTCATCCATCCAACCTGTACATACAAGTAAAGTTAGTCTAATGTCCATGCAAAACATTAAAAAAAACTCACCTTCTTGTGAATACTGAACCTATCTATGGTCTCAACAAGTATGCGACCAATGTTATGGCCACTGTGGTTGCCTTCGATGCGGCTGAAATCAAGCTGCTTGTTTTTCAACTCCCACTGCAGCGGCTTGTTGGGAGGGTTCCAAATGTAATGCCCAGTGATGGAAGAAAACAGTTCACCAATAATTGAAGTCCATGAGTCAAATGTCATGGAAACTGTGCTGTCAACATGCTACCAAAATGTTTCAAAGAACTAGTCACAATATAATTAGAAAAAAACATACCGCCAGATGGTCCTTGATAGTTTGAACAATAGAGGTTGCTCGAGCCTTGATGGTATTTGTTAACTTCGTGCGATGCAGGATATCTTTTTTGGTAAGAGATGGACGTGCATACTGCAGCAAACATCGAAATGCTGGCTTGTCTATTAGCTGGATGGCCTCATCTTTGGTCACGATGAGCTCCATGATGTATTCCAGTAGGCTGTCCTTGGTAAATGCAGGCGGCCTCGAGACAAGGCTGGTGTCAAGAGTGGTTTGTGTCTCTGTGAGATCTTCACCATGTGGGATTGCACAAGGGTGCATTATAATGCCCCCTGCCTCACACCATTGTTTGTATACCTGGAAATGAGTTTTCTTGTTGTGAACAACATGTGTCCACAACATTGAGGTGCCACCACGGAATGTGTGCTTTTGGCTAGGTTCACCAGCGGCCATTACACCAAGTGAGAAACAAATGAAAAATAGATCGAAAACTTGAAACTTACTTGCACAAGTTGCAGACCCACCCATCAGAGGTGCGAGTGAATATGGTACGGAGATCTGCCGTACATTCACTTTTGGAGACCTAAACATGAGCGTCAGTTAAGAAGCAATGAATGTAGATAGAGATACATACCGTCATCTGAGAGGCATCATCTCCATTCCCAGATTGGGCTTTGTCGTTGTCATTGTCATGTCTAGGTGTGGAACATATTCTTCATAAAATGAACCTTCTTGGGTAGGGGGGGAAGAAGAGTTATTGCCCTCGTCCTCGTCCTCTTCATCAGTGTCCAGAGGCAACAAAAAATGCAAGGTGGTGGCTTTCTTCAGTGCTGGAGGATCAGTGGCGCTGGATAACGCGTGCTTCCTCGTGCTTGAGGACACATTGTCAGCATCCTGAACATGAGCAGAGGGCATTGATGTGCAAGTAGAATGTCAGGGAACCAGCTGCAGTTAGTGCTGGTGTGCGCCCAGATTGGAGCAGAGCAGTGAAGGTGTTTTTTGGTGGGACCTGCGGCAATGGTGCGTGATCGTTGGGATCATTGTAAAATACAATATCTGAGGCATCCTTGAGGGAGCCATCAGAATTCAGTGCACACGAGTCATGAGACAGTGTTGAGGGAGATAACTCACAGATTCATTGTAGGGACTCCCATTTTGTACATGGGGCAGGAAGATAACACCCGCGCAGCCAAGAACAATGATATTCCAGGAGATCAGGCAATGTGGAAAGCCGGTGGAGAATCATAGTAACCATCGAGGAAGACATATGTATAGACAGAGATAGCTACAACATAGTAAAACATATGTCAGTGGGTGGGAAATGCAGTCTGAATAGTTGGTACTTACATTCAAAAAGGCTAAAAGGCAGCCTGACCAACTAATTGAGTGCAAATCCTGAAGGTCAGCTTGACGTTGAGGCAAATGATGTCGAAGCTATGGTTCAGAACAGTTTGGGATGACCAAGAACCAAGAACCATCTTGTGGTCCGGTTCTGGCTGATGCGAGAACCATGGACCGGACCCAGGAGAACCGGACCAAAAGTCCAGTTTGAACCATGGTTCTGGACCGGACCATGGCAGCACTACTTCCACTCCACCACTCTGCCTGCCACCTCAAGGACACTATAACTCTTCGCATCTCCTTGAGGAGGAGTTCAACTTCCTCCGACCAGCGGTTTGCGCGTGCACATGCTTTGCACCACTCGACTCGAACAGCTATCAGATGTAGTCAGTATACCATCTCAAACTAGAGCTAGCAGACTCACAATCCTCAACTCACTCATTTTCTGAGCTGCTATTGTCCACATGCGAGTCCAGCCAGATCCAAGAAATAGTACCAGTGCCTTGTCTCTCCATGTCGCCCATAGGCTTCACTTGTGAGTCCAGCAGTGGGGGAAGGGACACATCCCAGCCAGACTTATTGAGTCAATGGCCAAGAGCTAACAGCGCGTTACACGCATGCCAATACTTGTCAACACTAGCACATTTCCTCTGCTCCACACCTTCAATGAGGGCCTGTGCGTGGGTGGAAGCGGCCTGACCACATACATTTTGATCTTTGTAGATATACATGTGAGACCGGAGGTGGAGATGAGAACGGACCTCATTAAGGGCATCCAGTGCTTGTGCGTGACATAGATCCCATTCGTGTTCAGCCAGCCTGTGTGGCATCCTGCTGTTGGTTGGAGTTCAGATGGGAGCCAAAGCTTGAATGCCTCAGGCTTTAGCTGTGCCATATTTGACACACCAGCATCTGAAGATCGATGATGGAGCTGGGACACAATGAGCATATATAGCTCTTGGACATGAGCCCAGGCATCCAGTCGATGTTGGAGGGTGGTGATGTGAGTCTGCATGGTAGCCTTCTGCTTGTTCGTGGGATGAAGAGACACATTAGTGATATCCGTTTTCAGGTGCTGTCTTGTTGGGATCTTTGTTATTGCAGTGAACTTGATGAACAAAAAAACTCACTGTTGGTCTTGAAGATCGATGCCGGTGGTGATTAGTCTGCTTGGGGAAATGTCGGTATGCAGGGAGACATTGATCCCAGCCTGAAGTTCATGGGCTTCAAGCTCAGCGAGCTGTAGATGAACTGCAGCCTGTGTAATAGCTGGCAAACATTAATTCACAAACTCCAAAAAATAGCATTGCTCACAAGCATAGCGGCTCTTGAACGGATTAGGTTGAGAGTTGTCTGCCTCCCAAGCTTCAACTTCTTTTCTCCACTGAAGGATGAGAGCTGGCTGAACCGTCCTCTCTAGCTCTGCCAGTCCTTCCCCATGCTCCTTCTTCCACTTAACAGCGTCACGGATCTTGCGCAAGAGCATACAACCTATTCACAGATAAGCACAAGACTTCCACCAGAGAAACAACACTGACCCAGCGCCATAACTTTCTTCCAGTTCCAATCCCCAAAATAGTCATCGAGGGTATCTCGACGTGACCCTGGGCCCATCTCCTTTGTGCTTGTTGCGACACGATTTATATTTGACCAACCGTGCTCGGGAGCTTCACCATCCATTCATCCCATGTGTTTCGACCAATTGAATGAAAAGTTTCTTTGACATGCGTCAATGTGCGCCTTCAGGTGAAACTTTGGCACAAAAAATCGGATGGTCATTGAGTTGTGAGGTATGTGAAACCTTGAGGGCATGCCTTCCATATGCGTCCAGAGCTTCTTATGCCATTGACAGGCAATATCATATGATATGTTGATCATGGTTACCGTGAAGGCCAACAGTGCTGAGAATACGAGGTAGTCCATATTAATATATCTATATACAGCAAATCAATCCATCAGTATGCACATGATATACAATGAAAGTACAACACACTTTTCACCCTTTTGTAAGTCTCTGACACTGTTGGCAAGCTTCATATCATGCCTGGCACAGTGTACTGTACCAACACTTGTTGTGGCCAGACCATGTGAAGACTTCATATCTGCCAAATTAACAGCATTGTGACTGACGCACGTACTGTGCTGTATACTACTAGTCAGATGAGTCACATCACATAATAGTAGGGTCATGTACTTACATCTTGCTTGACGCCAGCTTGATGGGCCAAGTATGTTTTGTAGTCAGCCTCCTGAACAAAATATGCCCACCCAGAGTTGAGGCTAGGGTCGACATTGTCTGATGACACAGCCTTGCATTTAAGCCTAAAGTTGGTGTTGATCGCGATGAACAACACATATTTCCACCTGGATTAGAAATAGTTCATCAGTATGAGGGCGTCGCTATAATCGACAATTAAGACTGACCTAACTGACAGCAGTTTGTTCTCCCAACCTTCTGGCAAATTTTTGCCAGGGTGGGGACATGCTGGGCACTGCAGAGCCAATTCACCCGTGGTGGTGGCCTTGATGCCGCCAGTATCATGTCCTCTTCCTGCATGCCAAAGTTGCTTGAGATGTTGCCATTTATGGACCATGCACATAAATGCAGAGTAGCGATTCTAATATCTCATGTCAGTATTCCGTAGTCACAATATTTTCTAGATACATACCTTTATAACCAACAGGCCAGCATTATTGTTCCGTCTTGCCAGTGAGTGGTAAAATTCATAGTCTTTGCGAGTCACTTGGAGCAGTTCTGCTTGGAGAATTCAATTAATATTGCCTCTACTACCGTGCTATGAACATTCGATGTCCACGATCCTCGATATATCCTATTCTGAGTGATTTGGGCGAAGGCGCGCAGCGCTGTCTTAATAACCGAGGGTCTTATATAAAGTCGTGTAAATGTAATGACACCACAATTACACTTTGGATAAGACTGCTTGCCAGTCCTCGATTAACACGGTCTACGACTTTTCCTATTTCGTGGTAGATAACGTGTGAGTTCTTGGGAGGCTCGCTAAACTAATCTTTTTATAAAGATCAACCTAGCCGGAGCTTTACTTTTCTTTATTGAAACTCAAATCTCTTGTCTAGGAATAAGCTTCTAGACACGTAATTCGGTTTCTGGAATGTATTTGCCTAGGAAATCTCCTTCTAGGCTCTGGACTTGGATACTGGAACTAGTGAGACGTGGTCTCAAATATATGAAATATGACCAAGATTGCTTGGTCTATGGACACCTGACTGTGAGACAATGGTCTCAAATATACGATATATGTTCAAGATCGCTTGAACAAAGGGGACTATAACTTGACCAAGATCGCTTGGTCTATGGGACAACTAGTGAGACGTGGTCTCAACAATATGATAGATGACTAAGATCGCTTAGTCAAAGGGCACAGAGCAATGAGACAAAGGGGTCTCAAAGACAATATATGTGACCAAGAACGCTTGGTCTATAGCACTAAATAAGTTTCTAAGGTAAGAAACTTATAATCTCAAGGGAATTCTTTTCCCTGCACTTGTCTCACTTCAAAGGGACTAACTTTGCAAGTGAAATATCTGATAGGCAGATTGCTACAAATGGGAGATCATATTTTTTTTTTGGGGAGAATGGGCTCTCCTTATATACATTTTGTGTGGGAAAGTAACCTAGGTTCACAAACAATAAAAAATAAGGAGGACCAATCAAAATATTGGGTCAAACCCAATAAAAGAATAAAATACAAGTGAAAGATGGAGCTATGACATCATTGTGGAGCAAAAGATTCCAGAACCTTCCATGTGTGAGTCAGAGTGAGTCATTGTGGAGCAGAATATTCTAGAAGGAAATGACATCATGAATGATGTCATTGTAGAGTAGAATAATCTAGAGCTTGATGACATAATATCTTTCAACAGAATACCTGCAGGAGTATCTGTGGAGTCTTATGACATCATAATGACATCATACCCTATGGGTACAATTTTATGAAGTGTCAGGTGAGTCAAAGCATCCTAATGAAAAAGTAAAGTAAAGAAACACTAGAGAAAAGTAGGTAGCAAAAATAAGACAGTTGGCAGGAATTGAAACACAGTCAAAAAAATAATGCAGTTGGCAGGAATTGAAACACGGTCTTTTTGGATAGGTTTTTTATTGGCTTTGTACTTTTCTCTATGGTTTTCTCTAGCCAAAGTGAATAAGCCAAAGGCAAGGCTATACCTTAACCTTCATTTCCCTTCTCACATCAACTAGGTCTAAATGTGATTCCCATCTCACATTAGACTTTTTCCGTCAAAACGTATTCAGATCATGAAACTTGGGGAAAACTAGAAATATGGACCATGGTTTGAAACCAAGGTATGGGTTGACTAGTCTGAGGACTAAGCTAGCAGACTTTATCTTTTGAGGGTCACCTAGTATTCATGTCCATGCATGATTCCCACATCATGCAGGACATCCGCGGGGCAGTGAAATCACAACTGTCCCCAGTTGTATGCTATATCACAATAATAGATGTGTTGCTGTAGCAATAACTCTTGTCCAATATCTGCTGGACTTTCTTGTCGTGTTGTGAGGATGGATGTGGTAAATAGATTTGGAAGTGCTTTTGATAAATATTGGTCTCTATGATTTTGCAATCCTATCTTCTGATATGATGCATACTCAATAGATTGGTTTTCTTCAGTGGTAATGACTTTTGTTTTTTATTTATTTTTGTTTCCTATCTCTGTGCAAACATAATTTTTCAGTGTCCACAGGATGAGGGTGGGTTTGGGATGGGTTATATGAGTCCATCACTTTCTGAGATTGGCTCATCTTCACTGGAAATATTGGCACTTGGTGGTGATGATTGTTCTTCTTCATCCTCAAGGGGGTCTGATAGTGATGATAGAATTAATGAGTCTCTAGAGATATAAGGTACGAGTCTAAATGCAGCTACACCGCGTTTAGATAAGACACCATTCATTTCTCTGAGAACATATGAACCTCCCTTGGTTTGTCTTTCTACAACGAAAGGTCCTAGATATCATGGTTTTGTTTTTCTATTGAGTTCTTTCTCAATTCTTGTATTGCGTACAAGAACCAAGTCTCCTTTTTGGAAAGTATCGTGATGCATTCGTAGACGGAATTTGTGTTCAAATTGAGCTTTAGACTTGAACCTAGCCTTCTTTAAAGTCTTTGCTGCATGGTCTAAGTCTTCTTGTCTTCGTTCAATTTGACGAATACGTAGGGATAAGAATTCAGCTGGATTCATATTAGCATGGAATCCTTCTACCATGAAGGTGGCTTCTGCTAGATCAAATGGTAGAACGGGATGGACACCATGTAATAGATAGAAGGGAGACCATCCAGTAGTTCGACTGGTGGTAATGTTTTCCGCAAATAGGGCCTGTCTAACCTTTTCAGGCCATTTTGTAATATTCTTTTACAACTTTTTACTATAGCTTCCCTGATATTGAATGCCCCCGTTCAACAACTCCATTGGCTTGGGATTGTAAGGTGAAATCTGAACATGAGGGATATCA